TTAGACACGACTAAACGACTAAACAACAACAATGTGTTTGATGTTCGTATGCTCCCGCAGAGTTCTCCTCTTGGCTTTTGGTGGCTCGGACTGAGCAAGGGGATCAGGGTTCCAGGAGCCACAGTAAAGAGCTAGGCTGAAGGTTGAGTTCCAGAGAAAACAACAATATGAAGCAAGTCACAAGGAGCCTTAGCATTAAGTTGCTCAGACTTATACACCAAGCAAGCCTGAAGTAACATTTATATAGGGTCTGCCAAGCCGCTACTCAGGTCTTCTGGTGCAGCTGGGCTGCAGCACAGCTGTACCTTCAGGTCATTATGTGGGTTGCACTACAGCATAGCAAAGATTAGGCCAGTAACTCAGTGGTTTAGGAAATAAGGTGCAATGGGCTCTGCTGCTAAGAATGCCCTGATGGTGTAGTGCTTGCAGAAATGGATGCAAGGTTCTTAAGTTCTGCACCTGCTTGGGGCAACTCTTCTTTTAGATATGCTTTAGCACCAGAGGCATGGAGAAGTTGGTGTGCAGATACACCCAAAAACTTAGGAAAAGAACCCTTCAGGGATAGCAGGAAAGCATTCTTAACACTCTGGCCTGGGGATATTTTTGTCCCTGCAAGTGTGATGGACGCAGCTTAATGTTGGCAGCTTTCAAGGCAAATTATTTGGCTTGGGTACTAGTTTGATTGCTTTTTCTAGCTTTACTGCCAAGGTTTGTTTTTTAAATGTTTATCTGGAATGGAATTATAGTCTACTGGCTGTCCTGTGTGACCTTGAGCAAATCAGGTGGTAACTGATTCCCTGCAAAGAACATGTAAATTAGGGACAATTGCATGAATCTTTTGATCAGAACCATTGTGAGGCCTACTAATTAAATTTCCATTTGCTTCTCAGTTCTGCAGTTTGACTCATTAGAAAAGTGGCAAATTAATTAATCTGTAATTGTGCTAGACCAGACTCCATTCACAAAGCAAACACGTTACTGTGTATTTGCCAGGCTCCCCAAACTATCCGAGTTAATGCAAAACTTGTTAGCTACTGCTTTTGCATCCTGCCCTTGTGTACTTCCAAGGCCCAGGGCAGTCATTGTATTTATCCCTGAACCAAGCCAGTTAAACTGAGACTGTATGTTTCCAAAAGTGGGCTTCAATCCAGATCTTTTCAAGTTTATATACATATATAAGACATGATTTCATCCTATTCCCTGGCATTCAACTAATAATGCAGTATGCCAGTCAGTAACTGCTTACAATTTACATCCAGAAACAGTAACTATTGCTTACAAAATCTTCCTTACGTAACTATCTGTGTAACAAGAAAGACGTATTAAGGAAGCAGGCAGTGAGGAACTGCCATCTCCCCTCACGGCTACTTTCAACATTTGGGATAGGCCCCTCTTCTGGAGACAATTATTACCAACTGCCTTGTGAGGAAGAACCCCATTTGCTTTGGGTGTGATGGTATCAATTTGGGCTACATTAGCCTACCTGCCACAACAAAGTGGCAGATTCTGCCTAGGTCTCAGACATGCCCTGTAAGTGCAACAACAACTGGCTGTATTACAGCAGTTCCAGGAGCTATGTCACCATGATTTTTTCTCAGACTGATAAGGCCTATTTGTGGGTGTGTTTAAAAAAAACATGTGATCAGCCCATTTCTATCAAAGGTGGTCATTATAAATTCTTTATAAATTAGAATGTTGTGCCTAAGTTTTATTGTTTTCCTTTTCCTTCCCCATTCTTATTTTCTTGCATGTCCTTTTGATTGTAAACCTGAAGATAGGGACTATGTTATTTTTATTGGTTTGTGAGTTGCTGTGGGAAGTTTTCTAACTGAAGACCAGGGTATAAATGCTTTAAATAAGTAATTTAAAAAAGTAAACAATAAAATTAACTGCCAAGCTAAACTCATACAATACTAGGAGAGGTAAACTCAGGGTTGTGGGTTAGAGCCTCGTGTTGGGCAAAAGATTCCTGCATTGCAAGGGGATGGACTTAGATGACCCTCGCGGTCCCTTCCATCTCTACAGTTCTATGATTCTACTACTAAGTGACAACGAATGCTGTTGGCATCTGTCTGTCTTGAGACAATGGAATGCACCTCCAGGGATGAACTCAAACCGTGTGTTAGCAATACTGAAATGACCTCTCCAGGGTCACATTACAAACTGTGAAGTTACTGTGATTGCTACAAAGCACAACTAGATTGCATGATTGCTTGAAAAGAAGATTAATGCCCAGGGGTTCAAATTATGGGCCAGGAACCCTGAAGCATAGGGGAGAAATGATTCACTGCTGTGAGAACATAAAAAGGCACTGGGGATATTCTTTGTGGCCAGCAACAACTATGTAAAGAAATCAACTATTTAATGTCTGCCCTTCATGTCAATACCGTTTAATATTTAATCATCTTAAAACGGAAGATTCTTGCATGTAGCAGTCGACTGCATCACACATTATGTGAGAATCTCCACACAATGACATGAGATCCGAGTATGTACACACGGATGTACATACGCCTCAAACCATTTTGGCAAGTTTTCTACTCAGTACACAGGGTGGAATGAAACAAAAAACAATTAACTCTAACATTGTACATACGTAATTCAAAGTCAGAAGTGGATTCTGCTGTGCAAAGGTGGAGAGAATGAGATTGTTTGAGCCTCCATTTATTGTATTCTGGAGATGAGGATTACAAATTGAAGGAACACATAGCAGGAGGTTTAAAATCTCCCCTTGTGGCACTCTATTGGAATGTTTCAGGAAAGGGGAGAAAAAACAACCCCAAGAAATTCAACAGATACAGCTTCTTCATCCACCTGATGCTTGGAAAAAGCTTCTTTTTTGCATTTCTGTATTTCATGCATGTGTTTGAGGCATAGAAACCAAAACCAAAAATAGGAGGCAGTCACCACAGTAGAGAAACTTTATTAGGGCCAAAATTCACAATGTGGTATGTAGTTACAAAGAACCGTTCCTAGGGTTGCCATATTTTGAACTAGGGGCCTTGTAGTAGTTTGATCTCCAGTAATGAGTAGTAGTTTGATCTCCAGTAATGAGTACATGATCATGTTTAAATCCATGCAAATAACGTATTTCACTGGTACATCTCCACAGGCTGGTCCTTTTTGAAAGGCACAAAAGGAGGCCAAGATATGGTCAGTTGGCAACCCTGACTCTTTTTCGAACTACAATTTCTGAAGAAGCAGATGTTGAGATATGAATATACAGTACAATGACTCAACGGAACCCACCTATGGCATCATCATCTACTCAGCCAATCACCTTTCTTCTCTCTGTTCTCTTATGATTTGAAGCTTGCTCAACAGATGACAACCGGCAGTTGACTACTGGTGCTTGAGGGTACCAGTATCAACGTTATAAAAATGATTGTCGTCTTCTTTATCTTTATCTTTTCTATGCTGATAGCCCTCTTGGAGGTAAGTGATAAATAAAAGGAAGTATCTCCAAATATAAGCTGCACTGTTTTCCAGTTTCAGACCCTGAAAAGTTAAAGTGCGGCTTATAATCGCGACCTTTTACCATATGCTGCTGAAAGTGGCTGGGGAGTGCGGACTGCCAACCAGTTTGGAGGCTAGGGAGCTCCGCACCCGTCTCCTAGCTGGTTGGCCGTGTGTGCAGCTCTCTACAATCATTTCGAGATACCGGTAAAACCCTAAACCCTAAACCTAAAGTACTGTATTTTTCGCCCTATAGGACGCACTTTTTCCCCTCTAAAAATGAAGGGGAAATGTGTGTGCATCCTATGGGGCGAATGCAGGCTTCAGGAAGCTATCCGCAAGCCTTGGGAGCCTGGCGGGAGTTCCCACCGGGCTCCCAAGGCTTGTGGACAGCAGCCTGCAGCCCGAAGCCTGGGGAGCGCGGCGCTGTGCACCCCGGGCTTTGGGCAGCTCTCCGCAAGCTTGCAAAGCCCAGCAGGAGTTCCCGCCAGGCTCCGCAGGCTTGCGTACAGCTGCCTGCAGCCTGAAGCCTGGGGAGCGCGGCGCTGTGCACCCCGGGCTTCGGGCAGCTCTCCGCAAGCCTTGGGAGCCAGGCGGGAGCTGAGGCGGCCAGTCAGTCTCTCCTCCCTCCTCGTAGAAAAGCCCGCAGGAGCCGCACACTCCTTAAAGGGTGTGCGGCTCCTGTGGGCTTTTGCGGGAGGTGGGGGAATTGCCATAGCCGTGCGCAGCCCCTCCGGCCGGGAGAGGCTGCGCACAAGCCAAGACAGCCAGCGGGATGGATCCTGCTCACTGTCTTGACTTCTTTGCTCTTTGGGGCTGGGGGGGACCCAGGCTTCCCCTGGCAGCCCCGAGAAGCTCTGGGAGAAGCGGACAGGCTTTTTTTTCTTGATTTCCCCTTCTAAAACTAGGTGCGCCTTATGGAGCGAAAAATACGGTAACTAATAAGCAGATAAAACAGATCCTTAGCCAATAGTGTTGCAGGCAAAAATGCCTTAGCTCAGGCTTCTTCAACCTCGGCCCTCCAGATGTTTTTGGCCTACAACTCCCATGATCCCTAGCTAGCAGGACCAGGGGTCAGGGATGATGGGAATTGTAGTTTCAAAACATCTAGAGGGCTGAGGGTGATGAAGCCTGCTTTAACTCCTGGGTCTCGCCAATAAAAAAATCTCAAGTTGTCATCTATTGAGCAAGTTTCAAATCATAACCGGAGAGAAAGGTGATTGGCTGAGTAGATGATGTCATAGGTGGATTGTGTTGAGGCATTGTATATTGCTGGTGGCTGGAGAAGCTGTGTGCCCACCTCCCAGCTGGTTGGACATGTGCCACCCCACCCCCACTGCCAAGCAGCTAGGGAGCGCATGCCGCCAACCAGCTGGGAGATGGGCGTGCTGTTCCCCCAGCCACCCCCAATATATAATGACTTAACAGAATCCACCTATGATATCATCATCTACTCAGCCAATCACCTTTCTTCTCTCTATCCCCTTATGATTTGAAGCTTGCTCAACAGATGACAACCGGCAGTTGACTACTGGTACTTGAGGGTACCAGTATCAACGTTATAAAAATGATTGTCGTCTTCTTTATTTTTATCTTTTCTATGCTGATAGCCCTCTTGGAGGTAAGTGATAAAAAAAAAGGAAGTACCCCCGAATATAAGCTGTACTGTTTTCCAATTTCAGACCCTGAAAAGTTAAAGTGCGGCTTATATTTGCGACATTTTACCATATACTGCTGAAAGTGGCTGGGGAGTGCGGGCTACCAACCAGTTTGGAGGCTAGGGAGCTGCGCGCCCATCTCTCAGCTGGTTGGTCGTGTGTGCAGCTCTCTATAATCATTTCGATATACCGGTAACTAAAACCCTAAACCTAAACTAACTAGAATTAATTACCGTATTTTTCGCTCCATAAGACACACCTTTTCCCTCCCAAAAAGTAAGGGGAAATGTGTGTGCGTCTTATGGAGCGAAACAGGGGGAGGCAAGCAGGAAAAGCCCCCAAGAGCCGCACACAAGCTCCGCGTGGCTATTGCGGGCTTTTCCCCAGGTGGGAGAAGGGACTGAGGCAGCAAGTCAGTCCCTTCTCCCTCCTTGTAGAAAAGTCCGCAGGAGCCGCAGGAGTACCATATACTGCTGAAAGCGGCTGAAGAGCGGGCCACCAACTAGCTGGGAGGTGAGCGTGCAGCTCCCCCAGCCACTGCCAAGCATATACTGTGCAAATTGGTTTTGTGGAAGTGGAAAAAAAGAATTTTGATCTAAAATAACTATTTTTCCATTTTTCTAAGCTGCACCAGTTTCCAGTTGTACCTGAGCTGAGTAGTGACACGGTGTTTTTGTTGACAGTGAAGATGATAAAGGGGATGCTGAAACCTTTCCAGTCTTGGCGGTGGCAGGGGGAGCTGCATGTTCACCTCCCAGCTGTTGGCGGCCCGCGCTCCCCAGCCGCTTTCAGCAGCATATGGTAAAAGATAGGCTTCCCATCAACGGAGCAAGCCAGTTTGTCCCAAGACTCAGTTATTAGAAATATCAGAGGTTCTATCTATATACTCATAGCTGTCTTTTTCACTGTGTGTGACAGATCTTCATCCAGGGATTGATAAAGAAATTCCAGGGCAAAGGTAAGTAGATGAAAGCATATCTCTGAAGACTTTTTTTTTGGTTTCCTCAGAAAATAAAGAAGAATGCTACATGTTCTATCCAGAGACGCCTTGCTGCTCTGCAGAATTACAAGCTCTGGAAGAATTGGGTAAGCTTTTAACTTAGTAATGCAAATACATGCACACCAGGTATAGGGATGATCCAGAGATATCAAAGATATTCTCAGCTCTTGTCCTGTTGCTCATTGCCCCCCCCACCTCTTCTTCAGGCACTTGAGGCAACTAGATGTGCTGAGAGGGTGCATGTGAGGCTTTGAGCAGAGTTGGGATTCTGGAGTTGCTGTGATAGCTGCAGGAGAAAGTAGAAGATTAACCTAATAAACACAAATACTTCACAGTGAGTTTATTAACTTCACAGGGACTTACTTGAAAGTAAGTGTGCTCAGGATTATATCGGAACATTTCAGCCTATGTATATAAAGTAACATTAGAAGTTGTGTTCACTAGAGGTAAGCTTGCCCACAGAATCTGCTATAATAAAAATATTAATAAATGAAATAATGGAAGAAACTTATGCTTAAACAGCAATATCATTTTGGTGCTACATGGGTGGTGGAATAGTAATTAGTGGGTCTGGGTGCTCAATGGGAAACCAATGCAACCTATTAGAGATTTAGGAATTAGCAAGCTACTGTATCTCTTAGTACCCTTTGCCGATTTAGTCCTACAGTTCCTACACATCATCATCATCATCATTATTGAACCTACTTTAATGCAACTAGGAATTCTTTTAAGACCCCATTTGTTGAGCTTTCCTATGGGCAAGTCTGAATTTGTGCCAGAGCTGAGCGGAATTTTCCTCCCAATAGCAGAGCTGAGTCCTAAAAGGCAATCCTAATGAGGGGCCACAGTGGAGCGGTATTGTGGATTTACCACTGCATCCCAAGCTCTAATCGCTTGTACTGGCCAGTGTAGAAATTGGGTGGGGACAGTCATTATTTCCTTTTTTTACTGTGTGATGAGGCCCCTTGAGAGAGATGCAGGGCTTTGAACCCAGCAGATCCAAACCCGTTAGCACCTTGCCCTGTCTTTGAGATCTAACGCTTGCGATCACCGGAGGTAGCTTGATTTATTTACGACTTCTTATCTGCCCACCGCTGTATTTATTTAATAAATTTAAGTACCTCCCGGTTGTCATAAAACCTCTAAGCAGAAGTATTGAAATTATAAATTGTATTTATTATTATTATTTATTGGATTTAAGACAGTAGTCCTAGGCCTCACCCTGCAATCTGAGGCTTGGTGACCCTCCTCCCCCCCCCTCAAATCAAGGTGCCTAGTCTGACCCCGTTATTTTGGCACCTGCTGATGCAGAAAAACCCCACCAGAACCACCTTCTAGGAACGAAACCGAAGAGCCGCTTGCCGCCCTCTCACGACACTCCAGACCAGCCTCGTCTGAGGAGAGCCGCCTCGCTTTAACCTGGCAGCATAAGTTTCGCTTGGCCGTTGGGCAAAGCGGGGCAAACCGTTGGCGGGCACGAGAGCGGCCGGCGGATTTAATTTCTGCCCCCTCCCTCCTCGCCCTCGGGAGCTTTATATGGTCTTGCGTGCCGCCGTCGCGCGAGGGGCCGCCTCCCGGAGGCTCACCGCTCTTGCGCTGCCCCCGCCATCGCGTCTTGCGTGTACAGTTGCGCGTTCCGTCCCGTTTCGCGCGCGTGTGTCCTCTAGCTCCCACACCGGGCAGTGAGTTGGGGAGCGGAGGTGGTTTTGCTGAGTTGATTGAGTCAGGCAGGCAGGCAGGCAAGGGAGTCACCCTGCTATTTCGGATCGCCTGAGGGCACGTTTGCTGCTTCCTCCCCCCCATGCCTGCGCCTCAGCCGGGCGCGCATCCCCAGCCCGCTTTGCGCGGCGGGGGCAAGATGCGCGTCAGCAGCCCCTCAGATTCCTCCCGCCCCCTCCCTCCCTCGCCGCCAACCGACACCCCCACCCCATTTCCCCGCCTGAGGTAAAAAGTCCATAGTTAGAGCCGGTGACTGGCTGCCCAGCTATGCGAAGGGCGAGGGAGGAGGAGGAGGAGGAGGAGGGTGGGTGGGAAACCCTCCTGGCCATTTCCTCGCCTCCCTCGTTCGCTCGCCTGCCTGCCTGCCTGCCTGCGAGCGGGGCTCGGGCGAGGAGCGGAGGCTTGTGGGTAACGAGGAGGCCATAGCCGGAGCAGCGATAGGAATAAGTTCCCTGAGGCGGGAGCGGGGAAAGGAGGGAAATGGTGGCGCGGTGGCTCCAGTGAAGGGGCAGGAACTTGGAAAGGGAGTGTGTGGGGGACCCCTTGAGTGACAGAAGCGGAGAGAAAGAGAGGAGCCCGATCCCAGCGAGGCGGGCCTAGCCCTCCCTCCCTCCAACGGAGGAGGAGGGGGGAGGAAGCCGGGCTCCTCTGCTGCTGGCTTCCCTCTTTCCCTCCTACCCTCCCGCCTCTCGCCTTCTCCCCGTCGGGTATTGACCTGGTGCAAAATGGCCGAGGCGGCGTGGGGGGCCCGGCCGTGACTGGTTTTCCCGCCTAGTCGGGGGGCGAGGGAGGCGGCGGCAGTTTCCCGCGGGAACCGGCCCTCCCCTCCCCTCCGCCGCCCACCTTCCCCCCTCCGCGGGCCGTTCATGCCTGGGAAGCGGAGGTGGCGGCGGGGGACGCCAAGCGGGCGGGTGGAGCAGCGGCGGCAGCGCCCGCCCCAATCGGGGGACGACGAGGAGGCGGCGGTGCTGGTGGAGGAGGGCGAGGGTGGCCGCGGGCGCCCCGCTCTCTGTTGCTCCTGAGGCAGGCAGGCCTGGCCGGAGCGGGCCGGGACTGAGCGGCCCCGCCGGGTCCCCTTGGGCCGCTCCTTAGGCCCCGAAGCAGATACCTACCGGCGGCGCTGGCGGCGGAAGGCGCTCCTCGCTTGCTGCTGCCGCCGCCGCCGCCCTCTCTTCCCGCTGCCGGACAGCCGTCGCCGGGCTTCCCTAGGCGCCCGGGGAGGGAGAGGAGAAAGAAGGCGGCGGCAACGAGGGACCCTCGGGGAGCGGGAGAATGAACCACCAGCAGCAAGCGGTGAAAATGTCCGCTTCGCCGCCGCCGCCCGAATCCGGAGGAGGGATCTCGGGGCGCCAGAGGAAGCTGGAGTCCATGATCCGGGACCCCAGGTCTCCAGTCAATGTGGAAAGTTTGTTGGTGAGTTCGCCGGCGGGAGAAAGAGATGCGAGGTTTTGGAGGGGTAGCTTCATATTGGAGGAAAGGGCAGGGATGGGAGAGAAACTTGTGGGTTGGGTTGTTGTTTTGGGGGGAGGGAGGAGAGGATTTTATTTGGTGGGGGTGCCTTGAGTTCGACCCCCGGGTTTTAAGTGACTGAAGAAAGAGGCTGGCCGCCTTGGGTGTATGGGAGCCTGGATCCCACTTTTGCTTTGGAAGGGAAGAGTTGGGTGGGGGAGAGAGGATGTAAAGAGGCACAGTTTTTTCGCTACGGGCTGGTCTGGGAAAGGGTCCTGTTTAGATAAAGCAAGGGTTAATAATCGCTGTCTGTCCTCTTCCTCCCGCCCCTCTCCACACACCCCAAAATCTAGAGGCAGTGAGGGATTTTTGGTTGAGATACTTGATTGGATGGACGGTGCAGTTCTAATGAACATTCTTTTCTTCTTCAGGGAGGAGTGAAGGCGGGGAAGGGTGCTGGCAGTCGCGTTCAGTTTGGCCTAATGAAAGCTCTTTCCCCCCCACCTTAGAAAGCTGGGAAGGGGGATGGGTGGGAGAGAAGTAAAGAAGAAACATGCCATTGAGGGTGCAGGCAAGGGTTGTGGGGAGAGAAACGTTTATGTGTCGCAGAGTAACTTTTTGTTTACTCAGTGGTGTGGTTAGGAATGATTCTCACATCATTCCTGAATGTATTTATTTGGAGGGTGAAGTCGCAGCTGAGCTTGCTTCTCAGTGTTGGTTAGGGATGCAGGGGTTCACTTTGATCCTAAACTTTCATGTTGGATGTTTCATTCAATGATTTGCAAATAGTTTGGTGTAAATCTGCCTGTGTTGAGATGTTAGTCCATGTTTCATGTCAGTGTCATCTTTGATCCCTTTGTCTTTGGCTTTCCAATAAACTTCGTTAATGGGAAACCATTGTTGACATTCCGCTTCCAAGCACTGTGCAGAGTACTCAAAAAATTATGGACGTACTTTGGGAATATCTATTTTGGGAAGGTTGTTTAGTAGGAGCTATTAACTTCATTAGCTACATAAACATAAGCATTTCTCTTTAGCCTTATGTTTTTGCAAAAAACAAAACCCTTTCCTTTCCATTGGAAAGCCCATTAAGCAAGAAATATAGGTCTGAAATTTTTCCATTTCTAAACATGTGGTGTGAGCGGTACAATAAGCAAGTTCCCTATATAAGAAAATAGCTTTTGGGATATCACATACTTTATCCCTCCTCTTGGAGAAAGAGGAATGGGATTTTTGTTTCTGTTCCAAGAGTTTCTCTCTGCAGACATTTTTTTTTGGGGGGGGGGCAGGGAGAAGCAGCTGGAGTCATTTGCAAAAATGACTCAGTCCTGCTTGGCCAAAGTACAGGAACTGACTAAACTGTGTGTGTGTCTGTCTATGCCGGAGGCAGTAGGGATCTATGCTTGTTACAGACCACTTCAGGGTGTACTGATGGTATTCATGACACTTGAAAAGTATTGCAGAATGTTTCAGTAGGCTATGCTTGTGTTCAGCAAAGAATGCTGCTTCTCAGCATCCAGTCTCCATGTGCTTATTTTCCTCTTCATTTAGTGAGCCTTCTGGCTACAGAAGCAGAAGCAGTTATGAGAGTAGATAACATAAATTTCAAATAAATACTTAATTTTGGGATGACTCTTCCTTCCCTCCTCAGCAATTCAGTCTTTTACAGTTGTTAACTGTTGGATTGTTGTATGAGTAGGACTTTATATAATCAAAGTAAGTCATTTCAAGTAAACTTTCTTCATACATGTACATTTATAAATTGCCATTTGTTTGTACATGTATAGCTGCTTTTCATCTGCACCTGTGTCAGTTTTCATCTAGTAACTCTAGTAGTAGAAAGGATGGTTGTGTGTTTCCTTTTATTATATGTAATTTGTCAGTATAGCCTTTTTCTGTGTATGGCATTGTTTGTTGATATCTATGGTTGAGACTTTGACGTATTTAGCAAATGAATAAACTCCCAACTGTGCTATTTGTGTGGAGAGGTTGCATTTTCAAAGTGTATTAATTCTCAATATAAATTGTAATACTCAGGAAAAGCAAAGACTTGTACAAGAGTTGTAACCCCCTTTTATAGGAATTTTTATAGCCAGTGCCACACAAGATGTCACAGTATACCGCCCTCTTGATCCTAACGAAGTTCATACCTTTCTAAGTTTTTTATTGCACTTTGGCTAAGTATAAGGGGAAAGAAGTCTTGTTCTAGTTGCCATGGGCAGTCTAGGCACTTTTTTGCAGTGACGTTTATCGCCATTATTGTTATCGATTTCATTACTATACTCTTATATTTTAAAGGAAAAAACTCAAAGCGGTTTACAACACATTAAAACATCTAAGAAAACAATCCAGAAGAAAACAAATTCAAGCTTCAAGGAAAATATTTCAGATCCTTCTCTAATATTAATTTAATATAGCTGCCCCATAGCAGAAGTACTCTAGGAAGCCAGTGTAGTGTAGTGGTTAAAGTGTCTGACTAAGACCTGGGAAATCAGGGTTCAAATCCCCACTCAGTCACGAAGCTCACTGGGTGACCCTGAGTCAGTCACAGCTTCTTAACCTACCTTACAGGGTTGTTGTAGGGATTAATTGAGGAGGGGGATTAATCATGTACTCCCTGGAGGAAAAGGTGGGATATAAATGCAATAAATAAGCTCTTCTGCTTTCCTGCTTTAAAAAGCTGGTGCGGCTAGCCAGGTGGAAATGTCAGTCACCAACCTGGCATTTGGAGATCTCCACGGGGCCACAGTTAGACCTGTGCCAGTCACAAAATGCTCCTGGTGCCAGGGGAATTTAATGCACGGTCTGACCTGCTGCACAATGCCTCCTCTTGACGATAGGGTTTGATCTAAAGGCATTATTTGTTGTGGTAGATGGGGAAATGCACTCCCAAACTGATATTCAACAAATACTATTCTGGATCTGATTATTTTTTTAATAGAAAAAAGTTATCTCTTTATGAAAGATAATAGGAATCCCTACTACTGTTGTGCAGACAGACCAAGGGTGAGAGAGTAACTTGCCCAAGAGCATGGTGTCTATGAAATAAGAGCACAAGCCTAAGTCCACTCTGTGAATTTCTATATGCCTTCCATGTACTTCCTGTTGAGAAGATTGAAGGACCCAGCTCATAAAACTTGGCATTCAAACAAAACTCACAGAAATCGTGATTGGTAACTTCCTGACATATTTTTATATTACTTGGAATCTACAAATATTTACATTTAATATCAGTGGTATGCAAGGCCTTAGTTTGGGGTTCAGAAAGCCCCTTGGTGCTTATGAGAATGGAATGCAGCTGCATTGAGAGGTGGGAATTCTTCCTTTCCCTCTCATGGCCGGAGCAGAGGTAACTTGTTAAATAAAATATAAGGAGAACATGGGCTAATGCAAATGATGGTAACAGTAAGAATGTATTAAAGAAATTGAGGATGTTGCCAATAGAGTGGGAAATCTGCATAGCGTGTGCCACAGAAATTAGGTGAGGTTTAGTAACACAAAGTTTTTTCGTATGCAGATTGGAGCTAATAAGTGCATTTACCTTTTGTTGAAGGTTCATCCGTATGGATTTGAGAGTAAAGGGCCTATAGTCCCGTCACAATCTCTTGAGCTGACGGAGAGTAAGGCAAGTAGACATTTTCATAACAAGCCACTCTGAATAGAATTGATTTGATTAAGGATTAGCTAAGAACAAATGCGACAATAGTGTACAACAGAGGTTTTCAACCTTTTTGAGTCCACGGCTCCCTTGACCAACTACATTATTTCTGGGACTCCCCTGTGGGGAAACATGCTCTAAGCCTCAGAAGCCAAGCTATGTCACCCCTTGCCTGCAGAGCCGGCAGCCCCGCACCCCTTTTTGAACACCCTCCGTAGTGGAGTGTGTCCTCAGCCTCTTCTCCTCTCCCCTGGTCACCACTGCCCTGGTCTCTTGAGCTGCATCCCCCCACCCCAGTGAGAGCTGCCTCCTCTCTCGCCAGCCCCAGAGGCACCATTCGCCTGGGTAGCTTGTAGCTAGGACTGCTGCAACAAACAGCCACATAAGCCTTCGGGAGGCAGAGACATGAGAGGGCATCAGAGGAGGGAGAGAAGGAAAGAGGGACAGAGGCCAGTGTTGCCCACTGGACCCCTGCCCATTCAAGGCACCCCAGGATGGCACGGCACACTGGTTGAAAACCACTGGTGTACAAGCTTGGTCTAATAATCCATTGGCTAGCGATCCATATCTATCCATTGCTCTGATAAACCTTCATTTTCTCCTCACTATGAGCTTTTAAAGCTAGAATGCACAAGCATTTTTTCTCTTCTTCTCACTCTCCACTGACTAGCCACGATCCTTTAATGCCAGGATAGCGGCAAGAAAGACAGCAACACTCAGTGCAACACCGAGTTTATTGCTAATAGGGACTCTGGGGGCTGAATCTCTCATCATGCTGTATGGGAGACAGGTTGAAGGATGACTCCTCACTCTTCCCCTTCTACTACCTATCCTGGCTATAGAAAAAATGGAAATCTGTTGAGAAGAGAACATCACAGGTGAAGTGCATCCAGGTGGCTTTTCTCTGAAGCTGAGGCAAACAGTGGTAGTAATTAATTGGCCCAATGTCTTACTCTTCTCCCATCCTCAGGTGTTCCACCTAAGACTTGCCCAGGCCACCCAAATACTGTCCGTGCTACAAAGCTGTCCTGATAATCATAGTGCTGCTCAGAATTCCATAGTATCCAAACTTCAGTCAGGACAGGCAGCAGTCGTGGATGAGGCTGTTGTTGGCGTAGGTCCCCCAGTGTAGCTTCCACTTTCCCCGACAGGATTAGTAGCTGTTTAATTCTGCAGGAGAGAGTGCTCTGTGTACAGCCTTCCAATGCAAAATACGGAGTTGCAATGTGGTGATTGCACATGTTGCAATCTGCTGTATAGAGAAATGCCGCATATTTGACTTTAAGAGTTTGTGTCTGTTGTAAATACAGCATAACATTGTGGAAGCAATACACATGGTTCTCTTCCTGAAACTTGGGCAAATACCATTTCTCATTTGGATATTTGCTTGGAGACAGTTGCTCCCTGAGGTGAGAGCTGGTGACTATATATAGAAAGACTGAGTTAGAGAATTCTGGCTTCTCAATGTATTGTTGCCCAGAAGCTACACATCTAGCGTCAGGTGTGTCACTATAACAGAAGTCCTACTTGGCTGTTATATTTACATGTAGTCTACATGCTGTTTGGGTGTTCTGCTCATGTGTAAATTTACATGGAAGCATGGATGGGTGTGTTAAGCTCTGCTTCCCCCAGGCCAGCTTTGTCTCCTTCCAATGCATGTAGAGCAAGAGTCTGAAACAGGGAGCCTCCATGAGTAAAGGAGGCTTCAAAATCATACCTTTAACCTCCATAAGTCAAGGGCCTTAAGTGGGCTTGCCCTCATTCTTCCTAGTTGTGTGTAGGTTTGCAGCTGAGCAGATTGCCCAAATAGGGCTAGAATGAAAGGCATTTCTGTCATCCAGATTCTGTTTTGTACAAAGCTGTATTCAGATTTTTATCAAGATGTGAGAAGGCTTAAAAAGTGCTCTCCCACCCCAAGGATCCTTGATTGCACAGGCTGCTCTTCAGACCTTAACATGTTTGTCTTATCTGGGCTCCTGATTATGGGATGTTTTCTAAGCATGTTCACTGAAATCCCATAGAAACCTTCAGATCTTCATGCTAAACACAGAAAGGTCTGAAAGGAAACCTACACACTTGGGGAAGTTGAGGTGAGATTTCCACTACACAACAACAACAACAATTTATACCCCACCCATCTGGCTGGGTTTCCCCAGCCACTCTGGGCAGCTTCCAACGAAATATTAAAAATACAGTAGTCTGTTAAACATTAAACGCTTCCCTAAACAGGGCTGCCTTCAGATTTAAACCCTCACATATCCAGACAAATGCTTTAATTGGTCTCAAAGTGTCTTTGGCCTTGTAATTTAAAAATTGTGGAGCTGTCATTCATTCAACAGCACCTATGGGTTGTATCCAATGTTAGTCATAGAGTACACCCATTTAAATGAATAGACATGATGTAACATTGATCTATTAATTTCACTGGATCTGTTTTGAGTAAAATTTAGTTGCATACAAAACAGCCACACCACCACCCTGAAAACAAGTAGCAAATTTGGAAGAAACTATAGTCGCTGGTTATTTCTCTCTGATACTTAGTTTTCAACATGTAGGGAAGTTTATTTTTTTGTGGGAAAGAGTTGAAAGATTCCTTATCTGTAGTGTGAAGTACAACTTTTCCACTAGATTCTGATGAAGATATAACTTGTGATAAGTTGAGATTCAGTTGCACTCTATGCTGCCAAAGGAGAATGATCTTGCCTTGAGCTAGGAATACAGTATGATAATAACCTCTATTAATTCACCTGTCTCCTTGTAGTTAGTGTGTTATTAAAGAACCATCTTCTCTAGTGATTAAAAGCAGTATGTAAACAAATGCTTCCATAAATATCCTTGCACTGTGCAAACCAATAAAACCCCCACAAAAAAGTTGTGAAGCAATCAAGCAGATAACATACATATAAAATGCATAATTGACTGCTTGCAGGTGGTTCCTTTGTGTTATCTGGTGGATTTACACTTCACATTTCTCTGTCTCTGTGCAAAAATACAGCTTACATCCTTCAGCAGATGCACACAAAATAAATCCTTGATGCAAAATCACATTTTTAAGCAACTTTTCGGACAGCAACTTTGCCCTCTTCAATGTGTTCCTCTCTGCCAACCTGTTAGGGTCTAGAGCTACCCCTGCCACTTGCTGTTCTCTTCTGCCAAACCCAATTTGCCCAGTATTGCTTTCTTAATGTTGTGCTTTTTTGTAAGTACTAGGTAAGAGACTATTTGGTTGTGTTTTGATTTAAGGGAAAGTGTTATTGGGCACCGATTCTGAAACAGGGTTAACTTGATGATGCACTGTTGCAGTCAATTGTTAACTGACTTTGGCGATCACTTGTAGCCGGATAAGATTGTCTTCCTTGAATATGGTCTTAACGGTGAGTCTGTAAGTGACTGGAGGCCAATTCTGAATTCACACATCCTTCCACAGTGGGGACATAGGTTTCTGGGTGAGAGTTGATCACGGTGAGGGTTTGCCACATGTGCCTTCCTCTTAGCTCGTTTCTACTTTTTGCCGAGTTTGTGCTTCTTCAAAGTCCAGGATGCCTTTGGTAAAGGCTGTTCTCCAATTGGAGCACTCACAGGCCAGTGTTTCCCAGTTATCAGTTTTTATACTACATTTTTAAAGATTTGCATTGAGAGAGCCTTGAATCTTCCTTTGTTGTCCATCAATATTTCACTTTCCATTCTTAAGTTGGGAATAGAATACTTTCTATTACAATCAGGCATCTGAACAACATGACAGTCCAACAGAGTTGATGTTGAAGAATCATTGCTTCGAAACTGGTGATCTTCGCTTCTTCCAGTACACTGACTTAGTTAACTCAGGCAATGTTATAGTATGGTTTGCTCACACATCAACAAGATTTGTAATTTATTGACTCTTTCTCTCCTACTGTTTGTGCAATGGGTGAATGAAAATAACATATACTCTCCTGTGAAAGCAGAGAGGTGCTGACAGTTTGTTCTTGTATCATCTTGATGTGGTTATTTAAATAGCTCATGCTGCTTCTTTTCTCCTGGGAACTATGGGTGATTATGAAACATAAAGTTTGAGCTATACCCTCACCAGTGTTCCGTACACTTGAAAACACACCATACTTGTAGGGAGTCACAAGGAACATGGTTACTCACTTTCTTGAACACTGGCACTTTGACAGCTCACACGTTAAAATTAATATATAGTTAAATGTCACAAATGCCACCTTCTGTAGGAAGTGTTAATGTGTAGGGCCTTAATTTTGAAGTGTCCTGTCAATTTTTCACTTTTCATTAACCAGTTTAATTGTGGCTACAGTTTTATTGTGTTTGGATGCTTTTATTTATGTTTTTTAAAAAAACACTGCAAAAAGTTAATTTTTCTAAAGAAGCCATAGGTTGTTGAGAGAAGTCTATGATTAACAGCTATTCCACTTTTGAAGGGATTTATCCTTATTTTAATGGAAGATGTTGCTGCACAACTTAGCAAATAGCTCTTGTCTCAGAATACAAACTGAGAACTCACTTATTCAGAAACTCTTAGTCCACCTTAGTTTTGCAGTTCTTGACTGAATTACCTAGTCAAACTGTTTATTGCATATTTGCCTTAAAAGTTTACTGTCAACTTCAAGCAGTATTGGTTAAATCAGTTCCCAGATTCTCTTTCTCCCCACACAAGTGGTCTCTACTGCCTTAAGAATACATTTTGTGGTCAATGCAAGATGTAAATCAATCATGAATATAACTGGCAAGAATTTCAATGAGTGTTGTGGTAGTTTGAAAAAGTGCTGCTATGATTGCAGAAATCACTGCTGTTAACTCGGATTAGTAGATTCACATGTAATAGTTGTCTGTGCAAGCAATGTGGAATGACTGTTTTACATGTACAGTACTGCAAAATGTCTTGTGTGATGCAGTCCTTAGCATTAGGTAAATTAGATGTTTCTTTTAAGTTAAATAGAGAGTATTGATTCCTCCCCAATAAAAAATGTATAAATTAAGCATCTGTTTATTCCAGTTAACTCTGGCTGTGTTGTGTGGGAAAGGATATTGGCTTTAAGATTATGTGCAAACTATGGGACTGTTTCCAGTTGTGATCTGAGGAAGTCTGAGAGGACCAGAAAGCCTTATTTGTTCATTTTGCATCAGGATGTGACTCCCCGCCCTTTCTCTCTCCCTTGTGCTTGTTCCTGATTCTTATGGCAGGAAAATACAAAAATAAACTTCTTGCAGTCTGTTTCCCCATGGAAAAAAAAATAACCCTTGAATTTATGTAAACTCAACTATTGATATGTGATGGTGATGCTGTATGAATTCTTTTTAAGCAACTCAGCAAATTATGCTACATTTATATGAGACAATAATACCACTTCTAGTGATACTAGATTGTTACTTGAGATGTGTACTGAAAATATGTGACAGTTTTAGTGAAAATAATTTTCAGTTCTGGGCTATTTAAAATATGCAGTTCATTTAAAAGCAGTATCAAATGTGTGTTGCAGTTTGTACTATAAATTGAGTTTCCAAGTTAGGGGTATACATTTGTTCTTGTCTAAAGGCCAGTTCTCAGACATTCTTTTGACTCCCCTCCCCCAGCCCTGCATGCAGTTACCCTAGAGAAGCATTGTGTGAACTGGAGGTATGTGGGCAGGTTAGCTGCCATGATCATGCTGTTGAGTTCTTCTATGCGGTTGCATTCTTCTGTGTGCATTTTGGGGGAAATATGGGCTCAAAGTCTAATTAGTTTGTTAGTTTGCACTATGAGTTAAAAATGTTTGTTCAAATAAACAGAAAGCAGGACTGGTTCAGAGGGCTATTTATCCTAGGTAGTTGGGACCAGTTATTGAATAGTAATGGACACCCCCATAAAGCACCAGGTTTTGCCATACTTAACACGGAGTGTAAATATGTTGCAAGGTTCAGAGTTTAAAAAGAAAATAGTTTACAACTTTACTGTGTTTAGAGAGACTGTTTTATTTTATGAATGAACATTGTGGAAATACAGTACAGAGATATATTTTAGTTCCTTTTCTAAGCTACTCCATTTCCTCTAGTTCTGTCTCCACAGTAGGCTGGGCTACATAAAGCAAGGAATCTTCTGGCTATTGCTCACTTTTGCTTTTGCACCTGCAGTGTGTCTCCTTCACAGTGTATATGAGTTTGACATTGCCCCCTTTACTTCTGTATTTGGCAGAGGTTTTGGCCAGTGATTAAGGGGGATGTTTATATGGAACACAAACTATAGGTAAATGGAGTCATTTTTCTATAGTAGATGTATTAACATCTGCTTTCATGATAATATTGAATGAGTGGAGAGTAAAAAGGCTGTCTTAATGTATAACAGTTCTGGGGAATTGTGGTCCTGTGTTCAGTCCTTGTTTCTGACATCCTGGGCCTGAAGATACTTCCCATAGCACTTTTCATGGAGGTACTTAATGCTTTTGACACATATCTTGATGGCTGGACCCCCCTGACTGTTTAATTTAGAAGCTGGATAAAATGGGCCTGCTCATTTTAATAGCAAACCTATTGCTTTGTTAAGTTAGCAATGGCCACAAAACATCAGTTAGTATTCTTTGGCTTGGAAATAGGAGATAGTACTGATATTGTCAGCATTCCCATAGTGAAATGACTAGCATTTTATTGACATACACAGGCTGCAAGACAGGGATCAAATTCTTGTGTTGTGAGATTTCAACAGTGCTTTGCATGTTCTGTTAATAGGTAGCTAAAGAGGTTCCTGGGTTGCATGTAAATTTTTGCTGAGTGGATGACACAGACAGCAAGCCAGTTGAAAAGCAATACAATGTTTATGTAACTCTTTTCAGTTTGAGCCTAGTCAGGAAATGCAATACTATGCCGTGAAGGACTTTTGTGCAAACTAATTACACAGCTCAGCACTGTAGAATATTTTGTAGAGAATCCCCCCCCCCCTTTCATTTGTATTTGTTGCAAGGAATTTTATCTCAGGTTGGTAGACTAATATCAGTGTAGATAAAATCTCTTAGGAGTTGCTTTTTAAAAAGTTAAATATTGTATTCAACTAAATAACCGTGCATATGGAACAACTTCCGGGAGCATAGCAGAATCCCCCCCCCCCATGCCCTGTCTCCAAATTCTCCTCTAGGGGGTTGGGGTAACTCCAAGATTTGAAGGGGTTAGGGGAGGAGAGTTGTGATTATCGGGGAGGGCACCAGGCTGGAGAAGGCAGCTCTAGAACAAGAAAAAGGTATGGGTTTATTGTGTATATATGCTGTAAGGAAGCTTAAATGCTGTTATAAACATATATCCTTGATAGAAAGAGCCATTGGAGTCATTGAGGCAGAATTCAGAGAATACTAGTTAGGATTTGAATGTAGGCTTTTGAAGACTTAGCATGAAAGCTTAGAGAGTTTATTTTCACAACCACAAATGTAACTGTAAAAACAACAAGATGGAAAAGGATTAGTTTGCCTCTTAAAAAAAACAAAACTATTAACTTGTGTCAAAAGTGTTGGTATGACAAACTTCCTTTTTGGAATTTGGAGCATGAGTTCACTTTGTTCAGTGCCTAATTCAAAAAATATTTTCCATTACATCTATTACTGAAAAGCAGAGAACTTCAAACTTTATTCCCACTAAAGTACTTTTTTTGGGGGGGGGGGGAGGTGGAGGAATTCATCGTTGCCTTGACTTTGAAAACAGTTGGCAATTTAGTTCTTTAAAGGCGCTCCAGATATGATTCCATTTCTGAAAGTGGATATTAAAAGCTTTATTCATAAAAATATTTATTCTGAAGATTCTGAAAATGTTCATCTGCTGTCACATTACTGATAGATGCTACATTTTATCTTAAGAATGTGCTATAAAGACTCCAGAGTGGATCCTAATTTGTTTTGGTCCTAGAGAGATTCGGAGCAAAGAGCCTTTCTTGTGAGATGAATTGCAAAGCTGGTTTAACAGATAAACCCTCATAGTCCCCCTCTCTGTGCTTCCACACCATATTTTTGTAAATTTTAAAGCCTCTTAAGACATGGATCTTGAGTTCAAGTTCTCTCCATAGATGGAGGTGTTGTCTAGACTTTAAAAATAATATCTTAAGCCGCTTCTTAAAATATTCATTCCAGGGGTCATATTTTTGCACAGAGGTAAGCAGTATGATATCAAGCCTGACTGCTGCCATTTGAATTCAGCAGTTAACTGAAAATGAATACTAATAATACAGTGGTGTGGGTAGATGGTTTTTGGGCTGAGGAATTGGCATTTGGTCTGTTTTGGATGTGGCTGCTCTTCCTTCCCCTGAAAAAGCAGGTGGGCATGTAGAATAGTCTTAGAGCCAGCTTTGTTTCTAGAGGCCTACCTGCCCTTGTTGGCACAAAGCACCAGCTGATTTGCTAGTTGTGGTCATTTCTGGACAGGGACAGTTTGACTACAGTGATTAAAGCTCTGGTGCATTTTATGTGGGGCTGCTCCTGAAGGTGATTTGGAAGCAACCAGAATCTTAACTGGTATAGCTGGATTTATGTATATCTTGCCAATTTTAAAATAACTTCCAGAAGGTAGTTAAGCTGCTGGTATTTAACTTTGAAGCTCTAAATGGCTTGGGACCCAAATACCTGAGGGATCTCCTCTTGTCATACCTATGTGCCCAGAGCACCCCTTCCTTTGCAACAAGTTTAAAATCCATCAAGTTAAAAGCCAAGAAAATAAATCTGGGGCTTTATGATCTGGTGAGGCCCTCTCCAGTTGTCTCTTTTTTCAGAGGTGTATTATTGAATAAGAAAGGGCAAAAAAAGGGGGGGGTTCCTGGCAATGGAAATTTGGTTATGGAATGCCCTCCCTAAAGTGGATCACCTCACTTCAAAATTGCAGTCTTTATTGGCACTAGACAAAAGTGGTCTTTTTCATTTTCGCTTGTAATTTTAGTTGTGTTAAAGATTTTTATCTATTCTGTCTTTGTATTTGCACTGTGAAAGAATTGATTGTACACTGCCCTGAAATACTAAACAGGATGAAGGGTGGTAAAATGTTTTGAATAAATAAAACATTGAGCAATCCTAATATTCCTATCACTACCGCCTTCAGCACACTCAAGGCTAGAGCTCCACCCTCTTCTATGATGTTGACGATTATGTGCTTTTATTTCCGCTGTTCGTTGCTGAATGTTTTAGGAATTTGTATTTAATTTTTGCACTGTGTAGTTTTATACGCTGCCTCAAGTTTTAAGTATGTACAGAAAGGAGCGATATACATTAACAAATAAATAAAACAGTGATATCACTTACTATGTCTAAAATAAAGAAAACATTTACTAATGAAAGCAATAATCACCATGCTATCTCCTCCCAGGGAAAAGACCTTCAGTTCAGAAAAGTTTTCAGTGATTATTTGCAAATATGTCAGTTGACCTCCCCTAGACTTTTTTTTGAAGACTAGGTTCTGAGAGCTGATGCAGATGTTCAGTAGGGCATTCTATTCTTGATAGCATTGTAAAACACCAGAGATTCACATGCAGGGTTACATGTTTGATTTTTTTTTAATGTTAAGATCTCACTGTATGTGAGATTCTTGCATCAGGCGTTTTTACTTGGCATGCTAATGGTTCATTCCTGAGCAAGTATATACCAGTAGGCTTGCTTTTGAAATTTTTTTTGCAAAGTGACCCTTCCCCACGCTATCAGTGGCTAGTAATCGTGATTGCTTTATGTTACCTCCATTATCAGAGGTAGCAGTTCCCTAAATTCCAGTTGCTGGGGAATAACAGCAGGAGAGTGAGTTTCACAAAGGGCATCTGATTTGCCACTGGAGAAAAGAGGATTCTGAACTAAATCAACCTTTGCTGGTCAGATCCAGCATAGCTTTTCTTTGGTTCTGTGATTTCACCTCTTACTGCAGCTCTCAGTTTTTCATCCCACATAGTCCAGTGGCTTCATCAAGGAATCTTTTGCCCAACGTTGGGCTTGAACCCACTTCCCTGAAATTAAGAGTCTCATGCTCTACCAATTGATCTAGCTATGACAATAGACCCATTGCAAGAGCAAACTTCTTCTCACACACTGCAGGATCTAATTTGTAGATTCCCAAGATGCTGTAATAATAACTTCAAATTAGCATGTAACCACATGCATGCATACATACTCTCCTTTTCTTATTTGCTCATAAGGAAAAGTGCTAAAAAGTAAACTCCTTTGCTTTGCCATAAGCAGCAATATTTTCAGCATAGGGCTCCTTTTTGGGGCCCTTGTCCAGTCCCGGGTATCCATTCTGCATTTGTCTTCCTGCTCTAGGAATATTATAGATCTTTAGCTTTTTACAATCCAGAACCCACCTTTAGCTCAAGCATGCATTTTGAGGATCTACTTCTTAATCTTTTACTACATGTGTGTATGATGTTACTGTTGCTGTTGCAACCAGCCTTATGTCAGACAGCAGTCCAGTAATGGGTCCTGAACTTAATCTACCAACTGAAGACCCGTGTTGTAGAACTCTAGCCAGAAAGTTGGTGTTATAAACTCCTTTAATAAGAGACATGGAGAAAATCTTTAAAAACAATTAAAAAGGGGAGAGAGAGAGAGACAGAGAGACATGGAACATATGTGCATGTATCAAGGGGTGTGTCAAGTGTTGTCGCATTTAGTTTCTATGTACACTTCCATAAAGCCTCAGGTCTGTTTGTGCAACTTTTTTATGACACTGTCTGCTTTAATGTGCAAGCTCATGACAACCTATTCATTATTACTCATAATGGCCTCTCTAGCATAAGGTCTGGCAGGCATTATTGTGAGTTTTGTGCTTTGTGGTATAATGTCCCATTCTTTGTATAAGGTTGCCTTGTGTCCAGACCTGGATTTTCTTCATTAGGTGGTTTTTAATGCTTACCTTACCAGTGGTGTTTTCTCCGCCACCAAATCCCCAGGAGGTCAGAATGCATGACTTGCATACTTTGAAAGAGTGATGGGGCAAGCAGCTGTCTACCCAGATAGGACAGCAATCTTGTGGAAGGATAGCATCATATTTGTGTGCTGTTCTTGTGTGTTGCTATTCAGACTTTCACAACAGAAAATTACTTGCCCCATGGGGATTCTCCTTTCTCTCATCTCCCTTCACTCCCCTGCACAACCCCATCATCTGCTCTTGAGGATACTTCAGTCTTCTGGTACCCATGAAAACTCAGAGTCTGGGGCACCTGCCCAGGGGCACCACTGGAAGCCTTCATGGTTACTATGACACCCAGGGACGCCAGTTTGGGGACCTCTGCATTACTTGTTCTTTAGAATTGATTGGAGCATTTATATGGTAGAATATAGCAATATTTGTTCTTCAAAATAACTCCATAAGAATATATAACAAGTACATTGCTTATTATTGGCAAATTTGGTGGAACTCCTTCAGATATTACTATTGCCTTATATATTTTGATAGCTGGAGATATGGGAGGTGTATGTGTTAAATATATTCTGCTCCTTTATGCTTCATCAGAATCAAAGTCTTCAACCATGAGCAACTGTGATAGAGATGGATATGTGCACACAAAGCAGCGTGGGTTGTATTTTCAGATCATGAGTCAATTCGAAGAAAGATTAATATTTCTAGAAATCCTATTTAAGTATCCAGTGAAAGGATTTCCAGTTAGGTCAAACATGCAGGATTGAATATGTACTTAGCTGGAAGTAATGCAGCTATATATGCTGTGACCTCTCAAGCATCAAGGTATGCTGCAAGGTACCAGCTCTTATATTTTTAGCTAATGATGAGTACATTAACTTTATATATAGTAGGAAACTCTATTTTAATTCTGCAAGCATAGATATGTTTCTGGCTGACAATGCAGATGCCTTCATCCTCGTGCCCAGAATGCTTAAAGTATACAATGATGCCGCTTCCACAACCTTTCAAATGAACTGTAGCCATGTTATCATACACAAGCTCTCTCTGTGTTCCTTCATTTCTTGAATTATTTACTTTCCTTAAAATAAAGTGACAACTGAGTGAGAAAAGCATAGTGGAGATATTGTTGGACTTCTCTGACTCTTCTCTCTCTCTCTCCAACTCTAAATCCCATTGGATTCCTGGCCCACAGTTCCCAGCAGTCATATTCTATCTCCATTTGCTTCCTTGTGTTCCTGCTTTTCAGCCCATTACCTTTTCCCTTTGCCTTAGTGTCTCCTTAAGTGAAACAAGAGGACTTTGTAATAATATCCCTGTTCTTCTCCCACCTCCCAATGACTGCCTTGTGGGTCCCTGCTTGGATTGATATTTTAAAATTAGGACTACGTCAAGCCATTTATAAAATTGGTGATTAGTCATAGTATTTAAGTTGGCAGCACTGTCATTTTCTATTCTATTTAGGGGTGTGCATTAGATATTTTAGCGTCTACTGTATTATTATATAGCTCATTTTCTCCCTCCTAACTCTTCTTGTAGTTCATCACCGACAACTATGAAAGCCAGTGAGTAACTTGTCTCACTATTCAATATGGGTCTGGGGAACTTGTGGCTCCTCAGATATTGTAGGACTGCATTTCCCATCTTGGTAAGGTGTGAGGAAAAGGATGCAGTCCTCTCAGAGGTATCATGCGCTCTGCTATTCCTCTCCAAATGTTTCATAAATGCATAACCTCTTCAAAGCATATTCAGTCTTTTTTATGTTTATTTTGTGTTCCTTATTTATAGTAATAGTAATGGAAGGTTACAAGTTACGAAGCAAGTTATGAAGCAGCAGTTCTATTTTTTAAAAGAAGTACCTTTCCCGGTATTGACCTGCTGATGGGAATGGGAATAAGCTTCAAATGTTGAGGGAAACCTTGAAGCTAAAATTAACAAAGTGCTTTTAGATGTGTTCTCAGAAAATGAAAGGGAATGAATGAACCTGTGGGAATTCAGTTCAACTCAAAAGCAGGGGTGTAAAATTACTTTAGCACATCTCCTATAGAGAGGATATGATGATACAGAGTATACATGGGATTTTCTCCCAAACATCTCCACTCCTTCACCTAGCGGTAGGCAGAAAACCATCAATATTGGGTTGGTTTCACATTTCTCCCTTATTCCAGGGTCTTAACCACTTGGTCCATCTTGCTTTATTGAAGGAGGGAGCACAAACATGGTCTACACAGAACTTTCTTTACTGTCTAGTAAGATAGAGCTCCAGAGTACCAGGAAATACATGCTTGTGGAGATGTGTCTTGACAGTGGGGGGAGTAGAGTGGTGTTTGTGTTATCTCTTGAGACTTAATAAATATCTGGGAGCCTAAACTCTCCATAAACAGCATAATGAATTTCTATCATCTATGTTGTTGAATTTACTGGATTCTAAACTTCAGGATACTGGTGGTGGTTTTCTTTTGGGATTTATTCCTTTCCTCAACTTCTGACTTGTAAGCTGACTCAAAACTAAAACCAGCTGAAGAATCCATAAGTGAATATTGGCATCTGCTCAGAACATATTACATTAGATAATTGAGTCTTCGTGACTACAGTGCCACAACAGAAATAGAAGATTTTGTGATACGCTCCTTGACTGTGAGAAGAAAAAAGCAGCAGATGAACTGTGTGGGAAGTGACAAATGAAGAAAAATGAAAAATTGGAAACTATTTCTGCTTACATGCAAAGTTTGAGTCTTCATTAGTAACTTAGTTCTTTTATAAGAATCTGATTTTTAAAAAAGAACTTGACTAGAGTTCAATTTGCTATAAACAAAAATATTAAAATATGGTTTAAAACTTCTGGCTTTTCTGTCTCTAAGAGATCAGGTTCTGAAATGATTATTCTCTAAATGAGATATTTGGATATTAACATTTTTAATTGACAATGATTGAGATTTCAGATCTCTTGTCACATCCCATTTAACCCAAAATTCACATTTTTCATAAACTTACTAATTAATAGCATATTTATAAAATTCACAACATGCCAGAGATCAGTAATGCTTCCATATTATTATTCTTTACTTACATCCTGAGAGAGCTTGCTAGAAAGCCGGTTCAGGACTTCTGGTTGACTTCTAGCTGAGCTTTCTAGCTGAGCTTTCTGAGTAACTTGATGGACTTTTGCTGAGGATGCCTTGATGGCTATGCTAGGTCATCCACCTGTTTTGTTATGTCAATAGTGAAGACAATTAAATTGGTGCAACTAGCTTCCATTAATGTATCAGCCTGGAAAATGTCCCTTCCAAATCCAGAGAGAAGTACAACCGTAGTAAGGAGTAGTACACTCTAGTTCAGAAATTGTTGAAAAAAATAAAACTATTATGAATGCACATTTGTACATATAGTTATGCTGTACTTGCTTTTGCCTTGGGTGTGTTTTGTTAGATAATGCTATTTTTAGTTTGGTTGACTTCAAACTTTGACAAAAAGAGAAGACCGGAAGTGAACAGAGAAATCACTATAATAACATACTTCCTGTTTGAAGTGTTTTTTTTTAATCTATGAGGCCTAGACAGAGGATATGTCATTTCCTGGATTACTTATCTTTAGTATAGATGGCCTGGTGTACTACATAATCTCTTGACCCCCCCCCCCCCAAACATTCATCAGGGTTTATATCTATAGTACAGAAGCAGGGAATAATCTTAAAAACCTTTGCTTGCTAATTGCCCGCTTAAATCTGTGACCTTTAAATAAATACGTTTAGGATTGAGATGTGGGTGTGTTTTGTTGGAGATTTCTCAGCAACAGTTATAAGGCTAAAGCCATGTTCCTCAAATGTTTTGAAAGGAGGCCTATATATATATATATATATATATATACTTACATTGAGAATATATTATATATATATATATATTCTCAAAACTTTTGGGACCTACATCTGACATAATTCCATTTTTCAAGCCCTAATTTCCCCCTCTACAACAGAAGACAAGAATATCACATCAATAGTTAACATTGGATTTTTAAAAAATTAATGTTAACATGTGTGCAATATTTATGGCAGTATGTATTTAAATAGAATTTAAGTATGACATAATACAGAGAACAAACAAATTGTGGGACCCCAGAGAGGAGCTTATAGTCACTTTACTGTTCCTCTGTCTTTTTTATTCCCATGTCGTGTTCCCAGTAACTTTTACTCAGAACCATGTTGCTCCTTTTATGTGAAGGCTCCGTTTAGTCACCTCAGGTTAACTGTGTGTGTTACATTATGAATTGCATTGTGAGACCTGAATCAACCGTATATCAGACTTTTCAGTTGTTGTCTATGTGTTGGCAGCTTCACATCTAGGCTTCTACACTGGGTTGCAGGCAGGGCTGCCTTTTATTGACAGCTGCACCTAATACAGAATTCTGCAATTTCTCTATGGTCAGAAGTAGGGTGTAAAGTGTTTATTACTCCAATTCAGCTCATCTATAGGGACTTTTTGATACCTACCTTGTAAAGATAAATATTTATCGTATTCAAATATAAAGATCAGCCATCTCTCCCAATTCAGAGGTCATCAGTTAGCAATACTGAAAAACAAAAGAACATGCCATCCCTGTTTCAATTTTGCCAGAGTGGTTCTTCCACTTAGATGGTGTTTCAGCGTATGCTTAATCTGGTGTAGTCCTGTTAGGAATATTACAAATTGATCCAAAGATTATTTAATTTTATATTCACTTTTCCATTCTCTGTCTGGCTTTGCAGTTTTGTTTTTAAATGACTTGTAAAATTAGGAGTTATTATTACATATCGTGGTCTGCTTTTGAAAAGTGTGAGATGTCTTTGCCCCAAGGAGGTTATATTTGCAATGTAGATGCTGCAAGAATTTATGTATAATTTATTCAGGTCTATTTGTAGTATGTACTTGACATTCCATGATGCTATATCTGTTCAAGTAAGTGTGGAGTGGAAAAGGATAACTACTCTAAAATATAATTACAATTAACCTTATATATGTGTATGTGTGTGTTTTTTTATAGGATAGTTTGAATTCCTTAGTTCTTGATTTGGATTACCCAGCATTGAGGAAGAACAAGAACATAGACAACTTCTTAAACAGATGTAAGTTTCCCTTATATACAATACTTGTCATTGTTTTTTAATGTTAGGTTAAACTGTTTTTTATTCACCTGTCTGCCCAAGCTATATTAAAATTTTGAAACAGGAGTTGTGCTGTTAACCATATTTGACAATACAATCTGCCAACTTCAATTTACCAAATTATAGTTTAGTATAACCCACACAAACATGAATGACGTGCACCGAGTCTTAGATTCACTGTACTCTCCCTCTCCTCTTCCCGCACATCTAGGAGCAGGACCTTTGAAGCTTTTGAAAGCCTTGAGAAAGGTGTGCCCTTCAGTTGATAGGGTGGGAGCGTGCCATCAAATGCCCCCACCTCATGTTTCTCATTCAGGAAGTGCTCAGAAGTGTTGAAAACTTTCTCTCTGCTTTGTTCCTCTCCCCAGCCCAACTCTGCCACCATTGTCACTTCTGAAAAACGGCAGCACTGGTGGCAGCAACAGCAGGGGAGATTCCAGCCAAACTCCTCTCTGAAATGGTGCCTGCCCCACCCCCCTTAACATCACTCCAGCGATGCTTAAAGAGGGGTAGATGCTGGTTCAGAGAGCGGTTGTGCTTTGCAAGTCTTCCACCCCACCGCTCTCTTGCTGGCTGCACTGCCCACTGCCAAACTCTTGCCAGTCATTGTGGCCTCTGCCAGCCTCTCCAGTGCTGACCTCTGTCACCTGGCCTCCTGCTCTCTCCCTTATTGGCCTCTGCTGCCCAGTCGGCCACCCAATAAATATCTAGTACCACTAGTTTATTGCCACCCAATAAATTTCTAGTACCATCAGTCTGTGGCCACACAACCTGCAGTGTCATGACATTCTTAACAGTTTTATATTTTAGGTAGATATCATCTAGGTTGTATCCAACACTGAGCAATTGGATTGCCACTTGCTCAACTGGACTTCCCTTCCCTTTCCTCCCCTGTGTGCCCTCCCATCTGCTCTAGAGTGCTTTCCAACCCTCTGGAGCAAATTTTGAGGGCATGCAAGAGGCTGCAGGTGGCAGAGGAGAAGGAAGAACTCTGTTGGGCATACAGAAGTATGTTGTGCAAATGAGACTGCAGCACTGGATACAACCCATACAGATACTTCCTATTTCATGTAGACAGAGGGGAGGAGAGAGAGGATGATATCCACTTGGTTATCTGGTGGACAGTGTCTGTTTGTGGATGGGGGCTGGCTGATTGCCATTGTCCCTGGCAGCCCCCAGTGCCCTCTGAAAATTGTTCTGGAGGTTAATAACTATGATTAACTTAGGTTCATCAATTTCAGTGGGTCTGCTCTAAATAAAAGTTAGCTGACTAGAATCCTGTAATTATTCTGTACAAAAGGCTTAAAATGGACAGAACCTTTTGTCAACTTTTTCAAAACACATGACTGATTGTATTTGTATAAACTGTTTGTGTGCACTGTAATGCCTTCTTTAAAATTGTTAGATGAGAAAGTTGTGGAAAATATCCGTGGTCTTCAAATGAAAGCAGAAGATTACGATGTTGTTAAAGTGATTGGAAGAGGTGCATTTGGTGAAGTACAGCTGGTAAGAATTTACAGTCCTTATAAGACCTTTGAATTTGCGTTCAAGTTTAACTTGTTTGAAATACCTGGTATAGTTAGGCTCAATCTCCTTTATATTTATTGAACACACCATTTAAGAACATGTTTTGTTCAAATACAGTTGTCATAGAGTATACAATATGATTTTTTGTGTGCAGATTCTGGCTTCCTGATATTCTCCCCCCCCCCACTCTATCTTCTGTTTGCATGGTGAGTGGATTTCCAGTGATCAAATGACAGGGCTTTTGCATCCTGTTTATTGGTAGCTCAAAGTCCTATCCCCCCTGCCCAACTGTATGGACATGATGAGGGAGTTGAATAATTAACTGCTTTATTTTATTTTATTTGAATTATTTATTTCAATATCATATTCGTTACCAGGAATTAATATTAAAAAGATATTCAGCAAAAATTTCCACAATTTACTCACTAATAATTTCACTGGACAGCAGTAGTAAAAGCACTTCTATTTCACTCAGTTTCCTTCTATCCAAGGGCAACCAAGGTGAATCCAATAGAAAGTTTAGGGGTGTATGCTGTCAACTTGAACAACTATTGCTTGTTCATATGTCTCAATGGCATATGTGCATTTAACTTGTGCACATTCAACTTTATGTGTGTGGCAATAAATAAATACAAATTAGAAAGGCGGTGGGGTTCCAGGGAAAATGACGCTGGCAGTCCCATCCGCCATTGAACCTAGTGAATTTTGAGTATGTGTTTTTGGTTCTAGGCATGATCCATGGAACATAACCACAAAGTAAGTTATGGGCTTACAGTATAAAAACATTGCAATTATGCATCCCTTTCTTTAGCCTAAGGAGTCAGGTCCCTCAAGCTCTCTCTCTCTTACAAATTGGTTCATTATCATTGCATCATGGAAATGTTGCTGTCCTTCATATTCTCTTACATTTTATCCAGTTTGGGTTGGTGGGTTGCCTGGACAACTGGATTTTTCTTAAATGTTGGTCTTCTTTGATATGAAACCATGATATTTGGATACATATATATAATTCCCCAAGGAAGTGGAGAATGTTCTTTTCAAAAGCATGAAGTGGGATACACACCCACACCCACCCACCCAAGACCAGACAATCTAATCCAATCCCAGATATTAGTTAAATGATATGTCATTGTCTCTTGATAGTAGGGGGTAAACCCCCACCCATTCCTGGGCATTTACTTAGTTGTAATAGCTTGTTTGTTTTAACTTCATGGAGAATAATAATAAACTAAGAGCTTCCCACAGTCTCAGTCAGTCTAACTAATCACCTGAAAGTTGTAGCCTTAATAATATAAACAGTATTAAGTGACCCTGTGTATACATGGTGTGTCACCATTAATCTTGAGTCCTACTTAAAATTTTGACTTACATTAAGACCTAACAAATGTACATCTGCAAGATGTCTTTCCCCAGATCACCCTCTCAATCCAGCAGTGCTTCCAAATCAGCAAATGTATGCTGGCAGCTTCACAAGTTGGCTACATGAGTACCTTTTCCTTGTATACAGGGTTGTTGCAGTCAAGAGCATGTTAGGCAAAGTAGCATTTTCAAGAGGAGACTAGGAAATGAACTCCTGCATATGTGCACTAGCTGGTGTGGGACAATTATTGAACAGTCTCCAGTGATGTACAAGCATGGGAATGTCCCATTTAACTCAGTGAGTCTTACTTCTCAGTAGGCATGCACAGGATTGTTCTGTACATGGCAAAAGCTGCTCACTGATACCCATGCAATTTTGTGATTCTCCCCACATTTTGTTTCACCAATTGTTCCATTAGTGTAGTAGGGAAATCGGAAAAAAAGCCCTTTTAACTGGTTCAAAAAAATAGCATTTTTATTTTGCTGTTGTCTGGGTATGTCTCTCTGTTGAATATTCAAAGTTAACATCCAACTAGTCATGTCAGGGGAAAGTCAAACATTTTCTTGAAAACCATGCAGTGAAGGTCCTTTGTATAATCTCAAAAGTGTTTACTAAGAAACAAGTTAATTGAAATTGAAACAGTTTAAAGAAGTGAACATGTGTGTTACTCCTACATATTCCTCCTCTTTGCTAAGAACTGCCAATATATTTGTTGCAAGTACTTCCACTGCCCTGTTAGCAGACCACTGACCACGCAAGACTGTGCCTCTGTTCTTCTTTTTACTTGATAACCTTTCCAAAATAACCCAAAGTCTTCAAAAACTTGGTGATTGCTGCTTAATGTAAATTGAGCAAGTTTGCCCAGTTACTCACACATCAGCTTCTGAGGTGCAGATCTTTTCTTCTTCTTCTGTGCAGTGTACATGGTTATAATACCTTGTTGCTTATACAGTTGTACAATGCTGTAGCTCAGCAATGCCTCTCTGCAGGTAAACAAATGAGGAAATACGCCTTCAGGAGAAGGTTAAACAAACAAATTGCAAAGGTATTGGTCCTTTCCTGGGTAGGTTACAAAATACTTTAATCCATATATGTCTAATGTTGAAAAACTTAAAACAATCTCTTATCTATAGTATATTTCTCAGTGTATGTCTTTTGTAAGATATTTAACCGTTTGTCTTTTCCAATATACAAGGCTGCTTAAGCTGCAACTGAGGAACAATTCTTAGTTGCCACCCATCTAGAATATTTATTCTGAATGTGTCCACAATAACAATTCCCTACAATAATTAGAATTTACTAGTCACTAGTAATGGGACAAGCAAAGCCCCTTGCTCAGTGCTACAATTCCCAAGTGCCTGGGAATTTATGCACTATTAATGGCATTTTCAATTCATGCAACATGTTAAAACAACACTAGTTGGCTGTCAGGTGCTTGGGACTTTGACAATTGGGTGGGACAACCAACCATTCATCATGTGACATAATAATGAGATCAGGTAATTGACAGGTGGGTTGTCCTTCTCACCTGTCAAGAGTTGGCCAATCGGGTGGGGACAGATAACTATTTCGTCCACTGGAACAACAAGCTTCCCCACTCTTGTACTAGTGTCATCAAACACCAGTTTGGTTTAATTGGGGGTTGGGAAATAAATGAAAAACATTAAAAACTTATTATCCCCTATGAGAATAGTTATTTTCATATCCTGCCTTCTTCCAAACAGGTGCAAAGTGGCATTTTTAGCACAATCACCCACTTAGGTAGATTTAGCTGAAAGACAGTGGCTTGCCTAATGCCAACCAGTTAAGCAATTAATCTAATTTCTTGACACTTTGCAATGATATTAATATGGTTGTCACTGTGAATATTCCAGGAGTGATAGTGGAGATGTGGAGATGATCTGTAGGGATTTGTGGCTCTTATAGCATCTTCATAGCATTGTGCAACTTTGAAGTTCTGTCAGTCTGTATTACTTGTTCGTATGTGTGGGGTAGGAATCAGTAAGCAATTAACCATTATTTCCATTTGAGGTGACTTTGTAATTAATTTTATAGGAGTGATCTGGCATGGAACAGGATGGGTTGTTGGAAGGGGAGAACAAGCTTTTAAAAAAGCTGGTGGAAGAACTTTAAAGAGTTCTTCTATCCCATTTGAGCAAGAGCTTCTAACTTGTTTAAGTACAATACTTAATGGTACAGCAGAATAGGCACTCTAGAACCAGTTAACATCTCAAATGTGCTTTGTAAAAAATTTGCCCTTTCACTTAAAAATGAAGTGTTGTTTTAACATGTTGCATGAATTGAAAATTCCATTAATAGTGCATAAAGCACTTGTGGATATTAACAGCACAATCCTGTTTGTTTTCAATGGGACTTCCTCCCAGTATAAGTTTGCTTTTTAGGAGAGTTTAATAAATCATAATTATCATCACCAGATAGCGGCATTTCAGTTGTTCAAAGCACTTAACAAACATTATTCACACTCTTGGCCGCTTGCCTTGTAATACCTTAAAAAATGCTATCACAGTCAACTAGGCTGCTTTCATGAAATGAATTAATGTCATTTCCTTTTTGCATAGAGTGTTATTGATGAATCAATCAACTACTTAATCAAGCGACTGAATATTGGATGATGCATGTGAATGGAAACTACTTCAGGGTTTTTATTTAATCAGTTCATCTCAAGGGACCAGTTCTGGTTTTCCAGAAACATTTAATTCAGACTTCAACAGTGCAAAAGAGAGCTTCACCTAGTATCTATGTTGGTTCTACATGATTAGATTGCAATCCCATACAATTCTCAGCAAATGTCACTGCGAACTTTCTTTGTAATGTATTTCATGTATATCATGCATGAGAAAAGGTGTGGAAAAGTCCAAAAGGGTCTTAAAAACAAGGAGGCTGTAAAAGGCAAGAAAAAAAAATCCCTTTAAAAGGAACATTTTTGCTGAAATTAATAAACGAATAAAAAGTCTTTAACAAACGTAAAGCCTACAGCAAGCCAAGCAAAGAGGAGTATGAAGAACTAATTTATAAACTAATAACCCTTACATTATTTTTCACTAGCAGAAAAGTTTGGAGAGAGAGAGAGAGCCATTAATTTTTGGGCAGTGAGTTTGAGGTCTTTTTCAAAACTTCCTCTTACTACTTGCCTTTGTCAAAAGGAGGTGGCAAGTCACCAGGGCAAGGGGAAGGACCATAGCTCAGTGACAGAGCATCTGCTTTCCGTGCAGAAAATCCCCCGCATCTCCAAGTAAGGCTGGGAATGACCCCTGTCTCAAGTCACCAGGGCAGATAGCATTTATCCCAATGTCTTAATGCAACTTACAACTTAAAACCAGTGCCTTAGCAAAGGATTGTAAGGCAGAGACCTCTATTTTTAAAAAGCAGCCATGGTAAATCAGAAAATTGCAGTCCTATATAATATGAGCTGCCATGGTTACAGTGCAAAGAGATGAGTTTTAGCATTTTAAAATAAATACAATGGATTTGATTTTTGCAGAAAGCTTCTGACTCCCTTCATCCTATGTGGCTCACTGTGGCTCTTTCCTGCTTGAGCACATTATGGTAACCAGGGTGCAAATGCAGCCATAATATATTGCTGATAGTTGTTTTTAAAATTTTTGTATGCTGCTTAGTGAAATGTTTCTATTAGGCAACTCATATATGAAATAAATGATCAAAGAAGTAGAAATAGCTACTTCTGATATTTTTTTATCAGATTTCTGATACTCTGATTTTTATTATTGATCGAAGTGGATTCAGATTTCTATATCACAGTCACACAGACAAAAATACAAAGGATTTCATTTAAATCTTGTAAGGTCTTGATAAAGTAAGTAACTTCTTTTTCTTTGATCAACAGGTTCGCCATAAAGTAACTCAGAAGGCTTATGCAATGAAACTTCTTAGTAAATTTGAAATGCTCAAAAGATCAGATTCAGCCTTTTTCTGGGAGGAGAGAGATATAATGGCCTTTGCCAACAGTCCATGGGTAGTTCAGGTAAGGTTTTTTGTGATTAAAATTCTGTGGTAGTTTGAGGTGACGTTTAAATAAGCATTGAGGTTTTAAATTGGTAGTGTTGTGTCCTTTATGTTGATTTTACATTTTGGATTTGTAGTTTAGAATCTTAAGAACTTTATTCTTTTCTCCATCTTAAAGATTAACTGCTAATGCGAGACTCTTTCAGATTTAATTACAGTGGTACCTCGGGTTACAGACGCTTCAAGTTACGCGTTTTCAGGTTGCGTACCGTGCTGAACCCAGAAGTACTGGAACGGGTTACTTCTGGGTTTTGGCGCTCATGCATGTGCAGAAGCACCAAATTGCGACCCACACGTGCACAGACGCTGTGGGTTGCGAATGCTGCAGGTTGTGAATGTGCCTCCCGCACAGATCACATTTGCAAGCTGAGGTTCCACTGTACTTGATTTTGATTTTAAACATACCTGCTACTATCAGTGTTCAATGTGATGTTCAAACAAATTATGTTGCGTTGAAAATGGTTCACCCTCCCAGCAGAAAGCTTAATTCTGTCATATGTGCAGCACAGTGTAAAATTGCTTATACAGTGGTGCCTCGCAAGACGAAATTAATCCGTTCTGCGAGTCTCTTCGTCTAGCGGTTTTTTCGTCTTGCGAAGCAACCCTATTAGCGGATTAGCGCTATTAGCGGTTTAGCGGCTATTAAAGGCTTATCGGCTTATCGGCTTAGCTGCTAAAAGGCTATTAGTGGCTTAGAAAAAGGGGGGGGGAGCGAAAAAAAATATCAAGACTCGCAAGACATTTTCGTCTTGCGAAGCAAGCCCATAGGGAAATTCGTCCTGCGAAGCAACTCAAAAACGGAAAACCCTTTCGTCTAGCGGGTTTTCCGTCTTGCGAGGCATTCGTCTTGCGGGGCACCACTGTATGTGTTTTTGTTGTGTAGAAGCTGACAGGAATATATGAAATTGGCTTGTAGTTACAGATGTGAAGTTGTTAGAAGGTATAAATTTAATCTGGAAGGGGCAATTTTTGTTACAACAGTGTATATACCATTGACCTTCAGTGGGTGTGCAGGAAGAGTACCATTTAACAGTTTTCTCTGGGGAAGTAAAGCACCCATTGGTATCAACAGGCTACTACACAGAAAAGTTGTGGTTTCAGGAATATAATTCAATTACTGGCATTAGCAACTTTTTGCTGGGCAAAAGAAGGCTCTGCCCAGGTGCTTGAGCCTCAGTGCTCTTGCTACTTCCATGGAAATGGGTTCTGCTTTCTCTTCACTTGAGGCTAACTAAATGGTATACAGTCGTACCTTGGCTCCCAAATACCTTGCGAGTTGAACGTTTTGGCTCCCGAACGCCGCAAATCCGGAAGTGAGTGTTCCAGTCTGTGAATGTTCTTTGGAACCCGAACGTCCGACGCTGCTTCTGTGGCTTCCGACTGGCTGCAGGAGCTTCCTGCAGCCAACTGGAAGCTGCGCCTTGGTTTCTGAATGTTTTGGAAGTTGAACGGACTTCTGGAATGGATTCCATTTGACTTCCAAGGTACCACTGTATATTATTAGGAAGTGTAATTTTAAAAAATCAAGCCTTTGTAATGAGTCATAGTACAACCGGCAGACTATCATATGAAGCTTCTCTTGTTTATTGTTAAAACAAAGCATGTAAACTACAATCAAGGCTCAGTGATGTTACAGTTTTGCTTATTATAAGGTTTGAAGTGTCTTTGTGATTTTAATCACCACTTGCCATATAAGTTGCGTGGAGAGCTTGCAAAGCTTCCTACACTCTCCAATAGTGGGTGCACTTTGCACATCTTTTACGGTAGGGTTTTATCAGCAGGTAGTGTACCCAAAGGCCGCAACTCCCTAAATTACCTCTGATTGTTTTTTGAATTAGAGAAACATATTTGTCCAATCATACATTTTGTATTATTACACTATTGGAGGCAGTCAGAAGGTAAACTTGAGGGAATACTATTGCTTGCATTCTCCCTCCTGCTGTATGGATTTGCTGTTGTATCTACCAACATAGTGGAGGCAGTGGGAAATGGAAGTGAAGGAGGAGGAGGATGGGAATTGGGCTTGTGGAAAAGAAAATCTTGTATGTGAACCAAAGAGTTGCAAGTATGGTGTTGGCCCTTTCCTAATGTGCCTGTGAATAGATGTCAGTTCTGATGCTGCCTTGAGGGATACTTACTTGTTTCTCAACAGTACTGTACTTTCTCTTGAAATGTTTTGGTGAGCCATAAGAGATGTGTTTCATCAGTGACATGATGGGTAAACTGAATTATTCTGGAACTCCTTAAAGATCTGCTACAATTATTGTATCATACCAAAACTATTCTTAAAAGGCAGGGGGAAAAGCTGCTCTAGTTGCCATAAATTCACTGGAATTCAACAGATTGTGGCAAATTGCCCGGTTTTGTGAAGTCTTTATATCTGTCCATCTTTCTGGGTGCAGCTTTTTAGTGCCTTTCAAGATGACCGATACCTTTACATGGTCATGGAATACATGCCAGGTGGAGATCTTGTCAACCTCATGAGCAATTACGATGTGCCTGAGAAGTGGGCCAAATTTTACACTGCTGAAGTCGTCCTTGCTCTTGATGCAATTCATTCCATGGGCTTGATACATAGAGACGTGAAACCTGACAACATGCTTTTGGATAAATATGGACACCTGAAGCTTGCAGATTTTGGTACTTGTATGAAAATGGATGAAGTAAGTATGTGGTTCATTATGTGTGCTTCTAAAATAATATGCACGATATCGAGGTAATTTTAACTGTGCCATAGACACAGACACAGCATGGTGCTGTGGCTAAGATAATTTGTGCCGAGTCTCCTGTTTAGTTCTTAACCTTTGCTGTCAACTCACAAGGTAACCTCAGCCGAGCTACTATCTCTCAGTAGTATCTACCTTGAAGATTGAGAAAGAAGGCATGTTGGTGTGCACATTCAGGATATGGTTTTATTTTTCAGGTTTGAACTCCAGGTCTAAACCTCCATCTCTTTTTAAGAAAGGCAAGAAAATTATAAATGACTCTTTGTGAGGAAAGACCTATTGCTTTACCATTTGCTGATAGTTTTCATAATACCTTAGGGAACATTAATTACAAAATAGAAGGCTGTCTGATGACAGGCCCAGAGACTGGCTTAGGGAAAGTAAGGGATTATGTGGATGTGGCACCTATCTTTCCAACAGGTTGTCTTACATAGGTCATGGCTTTTCAGAAAAATCTGTTAATTTTAACAGATTTTATCTCTGGTATCTCTTTTGTAATCTCACTGGGCACTTTTTAGAAACAATGGTGTTAAGTGGTATATAAATTTCTGAGTAATTGTGCATTAGAAACTCTCACAATGTGCAGCTCTTTACCATCACAGTTATGGTACAAACTACACACAGGGAATTCTTCCTTCTATGTGTGAGTTGTATAGAAAGGAGAATAGGATGCTTTTCATAATAGGCACTCCTTTTTCCCACCCACCCCGTTTTAGAAGCAGCAATCTCTTGTTTTGCTTGCCTGCCCTCTTTGCAAACAATTGCTGCTTCAGCTTTTCTTTTTCTCTTTCCCTGGCTGCTTTGCTAATCTTTGCGAGTTGGTGGTTTTTAAATGCATGAACAAGACATCTCCTTAATAGAACATAGTTAGGGGTAGCCACCTGGAGAGGCTGCAAGGAAGCATATTTATTTGACTACATCACAGGGGGTGCACATAAATAAAGAAAACAAACTTTTAGTAAAAATTATACCAAATTAAAATTACAACAGCAGTGACATCCTAACACCACAGTAAAGCAGGGGAAATTACCGTATTTTTTGCACCATAACACTCACTTTTTTCCTCCTAGAAAGTAAGGGGAAATGTCTGTGCATGTTATGGAGGGAATGCCTACGGGTGGCGGGGGGGTGGGATCTGCTGCAGTCGTGAGCAGAGGATCTATGGTTCCCCTTCCTTCCCTCCACCGTGGCTCGCTTTGAAACAGCAAAGCGGGAGAAGAGCCGCTGAGTGGGGAGGAGAGAGGGACAGAGAGCCTGCTTCTTTAAAGGAGCAAAGCGGGAGAGGAGAGGAGCCGCTTACACGAGTGTAAGCGGCTCCTGTCTGGTTGGTTGCTTTAAAGCAAGCAGGCTCTCTGTCCCTCTCTCCTCCTCACTCAGCTCGCTAAATAATAATAATAATAATAATAATTTATTACGGCCGTAGGCCCATACAGATAAAAACAAGACATAAATAACAACCTGTGCACATGGGAAAAAACAGCCACTAAAACACTACTATAACAATAAACTACTATAAGATGGAATGGCATACTACGCCTTAATTAGCTTGTGGTGCTCCTTGGCAACGCTTTTGAGTAAGGACAGCGACCAGGAACCTAGCCACTTTCAGGGTCGTATGGGTATCCCTATCCTGCAAGATTTGGGCAAGGTGGAATTTTGGTGGAGTACCCTCTAATTTCTGTATGATTGATCCCAACAAATTTGCCCGTGGCACCTTGAATAAGGGGCAAGTGAACATAATGTGCTGAAGCGACTCCGGCATCTCCTTATCACATTCGCACATGGCGGAGGTTTGGCCCTTTGAGAATCTATGTCTCAGGGCATTGGAGGGAAAAACATTAAACCTCGCTTTGGTGAAGGCCAGCCTATGGGCAACAGTCGAAAGGGAAGAGAGGTATGATGGAACGCAGTAAGTTAAAGTGATACCAATGTTCTGGGGCGAACAAACACCTCCCCCCAGCATATAACTCAGCTCGCTAAATAGTAGCAAAGTTTTTCAGCTCGCTAAGCCGGGGATGAGCGGGGAGGAGGAAGAAAAGCAGAGCCTGCTTGCTTTAAAGGAGCAAAGTGGGAGAGGAGAGGAGCCTTCTCCCCTTGTACCCCTCTTCTTCATTATTAGCAGCATCCTTCTCCACCCACCCCACGCGTGCTCCTTGTCCCTTGAGTGCTTTTCCTTCCCTCCCCACTTAAAACATGGTTACAAAGCACGGATCCACATGGATCCTCAGGATTTTTGCACTGGGTCACCCCAAATTCACCATCAGATCACATAGCATAGCATGGCTACATCTTGCACCAAAAAAATCACACACCCACTGTTGCCTGGGGCCGCAGTGGTGCAAAAATGTGGTTACAAAGCATGGATCCACATGGATCCTCAGGATTTTTGCCCTGAGCTACCCCAAACTCACCGTCAAATCACATGTCTGTGGCCACAGCATGAACCACAAAAATCATACATCCACTGTTTCGTTCAGAATATTTTTTTATCTTGTTTTCCTCCTCTAAAAACTACGTGCGTGTTATGGTCGGGTGCGTGTTATAGAGCGAAAAATACGGTAATCAAAACCCACCCCATCTACATCCAAAAAGTTGGCAGAAGAGGTGGTTCTTTAGCTGTCATCTAAAAGAATGGAATGAAATGACAGGATGCACCTCAGTGGGAGGAGAGTTGCAAATATGTGGAGCCACCATTCAATAGGTTCTTCCTAAGGCACTCCTTGTGTATCAACCAGTGCTGGAACCATTAGGAGGGACTAATTTTCTGATCTAAGTAGATGAACAGGTCAGTGCAGGAAAAAGCACTCTTTCAAGTTCTACAGCACCACATAGAATGGACTAGAAAGTACTTCTCTACAGTTTGCTCTACTTCATGAGTTACAGGTTCAGGAATGCTTACAATTAAAGCCCTGCTAACTACTTTGAAATAAATTTTCATTCATTAACTGTTAGTGTTTTAATAGTGACCATGAATGGATTAAAACTGTTGCTGGTGAAACAAAAGGAAAATGTTTCAGCAGAGTGATCTGTTTATCTAGTGAAATGGAAAATATTTTATTATTCTTGCTGTATGGAGTCAGGTTACAATTGAATTTTAAGTGCTTGATTTGGAAATGAGCTTTTTTATAGTGGAACCTAACTTCTAAATAAGTGTGCCTATTAGGGTGGGTGTGAACTCAATAGCAAACATGTACAAAATTGAGCAACCGAGATAGCACCTGAGTTCAGTGTCTATCTCTTGTGTTAATGTTTGCTTCCTAATGAGCACAATAACTTGCATGTATTTACTGCTTATAATAATCAAACCCATAGCATCCTCTAGTGGTCTTCAGATGACTTACTTTAAAATTTAAGATCAAATAAATCAAGCATACTTATTTGAAATAAAACATTTTCACCATTTAATTTGTAAGCACTTACACGCTTATTCCAGTGTATTCCCATTGATTCTAATTTGGAATAAATTTCAAAATATATTCTACTTATTTCATGCTATTCAGCTGTGTCCTTAATCAGACATTAGCAATCATCAACAAAAGGCTAGTAGGGGAGAAAAATCTGACAAAACGGCATTTGCAAAATTTGAGCCAGTTCTAAAAATGTGGATGTGGGCTAGGGCAATGCTTTTATGACTAATGCACCAAATAAATATTTTTAAAGTATGGATAAAACTAATAGACATAACAGATTTCTTAACATGCAAACAAGATATTTTTTACTTACTAATGCACTTTAGCAGTCCACACGCAGTCCACAAAGTTCTGTGAAAATTCCTTATGTCTATCTAAAATACAGTTGACATTTTGGCTTATTGTGGGATGAGGTACTGGTGCAGATGGAAAATCAAACAATCACTGTCTACTTGGATCTGTGGATTAGGCCAGTACCAGTATTTGTGATGCTGAGTGGGTCTTGCACCCACCCTACTCCCACCCCTGTAATTTTTGAGTTTTACTACTGTTCTTGCTATGTGGAAAGTTATAGAATCACAGAACTGTAGAGTTGGAAGGAACCCCAAGGGTCATCTAGTCCAACCATTTGCTATGCAGGAAACTCATCTAAAGCATCCAAAACAGATGGGCATCCAGCCTCTGCTTAATTAGACCTATGCCCTGTTCTTCTGTAGAATTGCTCAGAGTGGTTTATATATGTTTTTCAGGCAGCCTCCTATTGAATCAGTTTCCTGAGCCACCCCTGCTCAGCACCAGCAATATAACTATGTCATGTGGCATACTCTGGGCTTTTCTGAGAACCATAACTACATGATGGTTCCTTTATTCCATTGTTTCAGTGTAATAATTCAAGCCTCATATCTCTTTAATGACATTATAGCAATAAATGACATTATAGCAATAAATATCAATAATATATGCATAAAATGGTTGCTTTGGTAAATCTTGATGATAATCAACATGATACTTAAATAAAAGAACTGTCTACCAACTATCTTGGTAAAATTAGGCTAAACATTAGATGGCCTATGGTTCCAGGCATCGCTTTGCAAAAACTGGCTTACTTTGCATTTCTTATGGTACAAAATCTGTGATCAATCTGTCAACTGGGTAGACTCACAACCTTGATGAAGACACACCAAACCCTTTGTCTGCACTACAGCATCGCACCTCTTTCTCTGAATCTGTGTCTGGAGTGTTCAAATTTTGTTTTTCTTGGGTTAAATATGGAAAAGAAACTTAATTACACATAGTTAACAGTGGCATGCCAATTTTGTAATCCCATTATTGATGACTTCTAAAGATGCAATTGATGTAGCAATTCAGCCTATTCAATTACTTTATTTTGCATAGAATTGGACACCCTGCTAATAAGAATCTGGAGCACCTCCAGATCATGTGTAGTTTTCTTGAACAACAGGGAAGCATCACAGCTGTGTAAATACAATACTTTTGATGAGATGTTCCCCATAAAACATTCTTTTTAGTGTCTAATATTTTTGTAACTACATGTTACTTATTAGTATGCCTTTATCACTGACATCTTAAATACATTTATTTTCTTGCCCAAAATGATCTGTCTGCTAAAAGAATAAAAAACAGCACCTCTAGTGGTTACTGCAGTTCAGAAACAAATTTTGACTACTGCATATTTGCTCTTACATTGTGTTATTGGTCAGCAAACCTTTGAAACCCTTGATTTCACTCATACACCTTTACATTGAGCCTGCTTCATAGTTGCAGCCTCACAAGTAGATGGCCATTCCTAATGTTTTGTAAACCACCCTGTGATTCTCAGATGAAGGGCAGTATAGAAATTTAATAAATCAGTGGAGTGCAACATGATAAGCCATTTTGTGAGAACAACTTACTTGAGTTACACAACGCCAACATAGCACCCTTTATTTTGGGGGTTGCATAACTAAGGGAATATCTTACTGAACCACCTGGTGAGTATTTGTATTAGGTTTCAGTACATGGATCTACTTGCTGGGTTGCCCTATAAGTATTTGTCCCAGTGTAGCCGCTTAACCATCTTGTAATAAGTCATCCTGCTATATAGTGTAACATGAAACATGACTGACTCTAGTAAAGAATTCTAGAACCAGGAGGTGTCTAACTTTACATGCTTAGCAGTAGGGAGTTCAGATTGACTGAGGAACTGGGAGAAAAATAAGTAAAGAATTAGAACCTTAAATTAAATGCTTTATTTTCTCTACAAAGTGTGGTACTAAAAAAATAAGGAGCTAAGGCTGTTGAAAGGTGGATTTTACCATTTTTCTTCAGATCGGAACCACACTTTTGACCCTTCAAACATTGCTGGGTTTGAACAAAATCAGTTCCAGTCAACTTGGCCAGTGGTTAGGGATGATGGAAATTACAGTCCAGCAGCATTCGCAGAATGACAAGTTCCCTACCCATGTCTTAAGATAGCACTGTTTGTATGACCCAGATCTCCTCAAACGCTAAACAGTAAAGAACTTCAACTCATTATTTGCTACCCCTGGGGCAATGAAGTGAGCTTTCGCTGTGTATTAGTATTAGCATTTATGAACAGAAAAGCATTTCATAAAATTAGTATGAGCACAATCCACTTGCATTGCTCAGAAGATCCTGCTTCCTCATTTTATTCACCTGTTCCTCACTCTCTCCACTTGTGGGTATATACAGGCAGCATGATGATACCTGCATGTGGGAGTATGGTGTGTGCGAACCTCCTGTGTTCCCATGAATCCTTTCTTCCCTATGCCTTGCAAATTACTTAATGCTGCTTCTACTTGCTGTGGTTAATTGAAAACAGAAGCAAAAGCTTCCACTCTCCTCTTGCAAATATACTGAGAAGGTGTTAGCACAGGAGCCTGAAGCTTGCACAAATTTGTGCCCATAATGATGAAGCATAGCTTATTGTTTGCCTTCTTTTGCCTGTTGTTTTTGTTTTTGTTGTTTTTGTTTGGAATGTGTGTGTCTTTGCTTGTGTTTGGTGGTTGTTTTTTGGGTATGTGTGAGTTTTGTTGCCTGTTTTTAGAGGCGTGTTGAATGTTTGTTTTGCTTATCTTTCATTTTGGGGTGTGAGGGTGAGTGTTGCCTGTAGTTTGGGAGTGGGGGTATTTTGGAGCATTGCAAGTTTTTCTGCCGTGAAATTGGTATTTTGAGGAGGCCAGTGCAGTCTCCATGACATTCACCTCCAAAAAAGAATGGAGATTCCTGGTTTAGTGCTGCATCTGAACTAGGCCAATATAGGGGGTAAAGAGCATAAGGAGACTGGAAGCGGGGAGGACCCATGAAGTTTAACTTTGATGAATATGCAAATACTTCATAGTGCTATTAATTAGAATTTATATCCAAAACACTTTGTATCTAGTATTTGAAGATATTATCATTATCAGAAAATATTAGAAAAATCTTTCCAAGGTGGGCTAGTAATTTAAAAAAAACAAAACCATTGCATATGGGGGGCTGAAGCTGAGAGGTGCTGAGTTGATGGCAGAGGTAAGAACTAAACCCAGGATTTCTGGTTCACAACTGAAGCTCTTAGCCACTACATAACAGTAGCATTGAACAGAAATATTACTGAAGTATTAAATCATATAGAAAGACATGCTTGCTTTCAAGTTCTATATTTGCTGCATAGTTTATCTTTGCTGGAGCACAGAAAAAGCAATAAAAACTGGACTATGTTATTCAGTCTAAACAGAGGTGTGCCTATATATTGTCTTCTGCTGATTTAGGACCAGCTCCAAATCTCTCTTGCAATTTATTGCAGAGACTTCCAGTAGATTCTGTGCCCATGAATCGGACATAACATACATTCCCAGCTTTTGCTTACTTTGTCTGGCTCCAAGATTAACTCCTTCAGCTCCCTCAACAAGCTTTCTTTATACTTGTGGCATGAATTTCATAAGAGAACTTATAAATGGGTAATGACAGTGTTGTAGAGTAAGTGCAGTTAGCAGCCTTAAATTCATAGCTGCTTAAGAACTATATTTTAAAAATAGATTAAGTTAGCATTCTTGCCTAAATCTAGCCGCTGTTCTGTTTAATTGTTGCATTTTATCTGGTTATATAGACAGGGATGGTGCGCTGTGATACAGCTGTCGGAACACCAGACTACATATCACCTGAAGTATTAAAATCACAAGGTGGTGATGGTTATTATGGAAGAGAATGCGACTGGTGGTCTGTAGGAGTTTTTCTTTATGAAATGCTAGTTGGTAAGTAGTGATTTCCTCTTGTATTCCCTCTAGTACCTTGATTTCAAAAGTTTGTGCATCACCACGTAGGTTATTGATTCAATAAGAGCTCGGTGGCCCCTGAGTGAATCTAGTTCTGGTTACACTTCTCATATCAGAGCCTGAGTTCCCACAACATGAGGTGGGCCTCCCATGGAAGACATGGAGAGTTGCTATGGAGACTACCTTGCGTCCAACTTTCCAGTTTTGTAACTGCTATTGCAATGGAAAGTGATGCTGCTCCCCAAATCAGTTGTGGTAACATGGTCAGCCATTTACCATCCCGGTTGTTACGTTTCTTGAGGGATATTGAATGATGGTACCTTGGGAATATTCATAGCTACGCCCCACCTATATTCTTTCCTTGGGTTAAGAAGCATAATTACAGTGAAGGACATGCTCTGGAGCCATTTTCTGTATAGCAGGCCCACCTCTAACAAAAATCACGTTTCTGAGACCAAAAATTAAGTTCTATGTGCAATTGAAGAAAGACCCATTAAATACTTGATATTTTTTTTATGTGTTGGGTGTGTTGAGTTTGTATTTATATTTTGTATGTACAGAAAGCTGTAGAACCAGGAGATATATTTTGTGCTTATCAGGAATATATAAGAACATTCCTTTGCACAAAACACTAAATTATGGTTAGCATTATATGCAAAAGCATTGCATGAACCTTGAACTTACTCTTCTCCCTCCCCTCCCCTTCTTTTCTGCAGCTGTGAGAACGAAAATAGAATCACATTTTCTGCTTTTACATTAATCAGGTTTCCTTCTTGTGCCCAAACTCAGGGAAGTTATGGTTGGTGAACAAGCCAGTATCATATGGCATAGGTTGAGTTTGGCTTGTTTGAACTAACAAAAGAGTATACAGAGTTGTTCTGATTTCAGACTTTAACAGGGAACTCTGCTTCATTTAAAAGCAGAAGCAGTCTCCTCCTGTGTGGGGAGGGTTGGAGCACATGAGCCTATAATTCTAAACCATAGTTTTAGTGTGGCTGTAGGTGTTTGTTTTGAACCTTTGTACATAGGAGTCTCTGTTTTTGTCTCAAGTTATTTTTATTTAACTGTTTTTGCCTTTAGTGATCAACTTGCATTAGCTAATGTTTATGCATATTTAATTTCAGGAGATACTCCATTTTATGCTGATTCATTGGTGGGAACATATAGTAAAATAATGGATCACAAGAATTCATTACATTTCCCAGAAGATGTTGAAATCTCAAAGCAAGCAAAGGACCTTATTTGTGCCTTTTTAACAGACAGGTATGTAAACATAGATTTTTCTCGCCATAAAATCCTTTCCCTAAATTACTGTAACAGAATATGTTTTCTTGAGGTCCAGTACAGTGAGTGTAACCAATCTGATTTCATGCCTTACCCAAAGTCAGACTAAAATGTTAAAAACAAAAATTTCTGAAGTTCAAGCAGCACTTACTATATTCAACTTCCATAGCCAAATTTTGAGTGAGGAGATAATCATAAATCATATACATACATATTCCCGTTGCAGGGATGTAAACGACATTTTCATGCTCTCATCTTCTGTCACAGTGTCCTGTTGCACCAGAAGCAGTTTAGTCATGCTGGCTACACGACCTGGAAAAGCTGTCTGCAAACAAATGCCGGCTCCTTCAGCATGAAAGTGGAGATGAGTGCCACACCCCATAGTCAAAGTCGACTGGGCTTAACTGCCCAGGGGTCCATTACCCTTTACCATATACATAGAGCATTAAATGAATCATAAACATAAAGCTGCTCTTCAATAGAGGGCCTTCCTGTCTGAAAGACCTGCATGGGATTCAGATAGTTTAAAGACAGATGGGTTGCAAGTGCTTCCCCTGCTTTTTTTGGTTGTTACAGGGCTAGAATGTTCCTTCCTTTTCAGGACTGTTCTCCTTTCACCCTCAGCATTGACCACTGATGTATAGCAGATAGAGCTCATGACTTTTCTTGGTCAGTTATATTGAAGGTTTCTCTGTCCCTCAGTGTTAGAAACAGAGATATGAAAACTAGGAGCTAAATGGCACCTTAAACCTAGGTTATGGGTGCAACAACAGAATGTCTAGGCACACTTTTTTATAACAAGAATACAAAGCCGAAAATGAATGAACTGCAGCTTGAATATTATGTTCATTTTTCACATGGTCTAGTCCTTCCTCTGCCCACCGCCCTAATATTCCTAGGAGCGTTTCTTCTCCAGTCTTAAGAAAGCAGCTGGAAGTGGGGAGGCAGAAAAAGGTCCTCTTTCCTTCCACTGCAGTTTTTAACTGAAATCTTAGATGCAGTACTGTGCCCAGAGCTCAGAAACTGCTCGCACTAATGAAATTCCCTGTCACAAGATGCACCTAGAACAATGGGAGTTTCGAACACTGCTGCCCCTTGAAGAGAAGAAATCTTTGACATTTTGTGAAGTATGGGAGCATGTTCTGTATCCTTGACCTTAGCAAGTCACCTATTGCCTAGCATACACATACAAGCTCTGAGAAATTATATTGGGGTTACTGAGCATCTTACATCTCCCCTACAACCCATGATCATAATTCTCTTGCCCCCCTTCCTTTTGAAAGGGACAGATCAGTGGAATCCACACATCCCTTCCCCATATCTCTCAAGGGCTGGGGAGAGGGAGGAATATCTGTTCTTCCCTCCTTCATTTGCTCATTTAAAGAAATGGGTGGCATAGTGTTGGGAGTAAAGTCCTTAAACTAGGTTTGGTAGCAGCATTCAGGTGAGTATAGTCAGCTACCCTCCACTTTCTAACAGAAAACAAATTTGCGCCATAATCTCTGCCGTGCTCCATCACATTGCCTGACTTTTGCAGGGGGTTGGAGAAGGCGATAGCTTGGCTTGGGTTTGTTTTCGGTTGCTCCCAGGGATTAGGACCAAAGACATGGGGTGCAAATCTATAAGAAAAAGGATTTAGACTCAACATTATGAAGAATTTCTTGATTGTATGAGGTATTACTGTCCCACTGTTTATCTCAGAAGGTGGTGGACTGTACTACATGTGAGATTTTTAAGCAGAGGCTGGCTGGCTAGGAAAGCTGTAGTCATAAATTTCCTGAATCGGCAGGGAGTTGGACTAGGTGACCTTTGGCTTCTCTTATTACTCTGATTCTACAGTTTCCTAAGCATTATTTGCTGAAGGCTGATCAGATCAGCCCACCATACCTTGGCCACAGCTGCTTTCTGTGGCCTGTTAAATTGGGGGGGGGGGGTCAGGAGGAGATCACTGTGGCTGTTCTTTATGGCTTTCTTTCCCCTGTTGGGAAAGTTAGTTTCCCTTTCCCCTTCTGGCCAACCAGTTTGCATTATTAGGCATTCATGCAGAAGCAGACCAAGATGCAAAATTTGAAAACCAAACAAACTCGCTTTCTGTTGCCCTCTTCTGGACTATTCTTGACAGTCAAGTCAATATTAAATTTAATTATTTGCACCTTGTAATTCGCTTAAATCGTAAGAGATGTAAAAAACAAAACACAAAATGAAATAGAAGTGAAATAAATATCTGTCTATTGGCCTCAGTAGTGTTCCAAAAAGGATTCCATCTACTGAGTAATCATGCAGGCAGCTCAAGAGGATTTGAGTGGGTGGGGGTACATTAGTTTCCCCCCCCCCTGTTTTAAATGCAAGGAAAAGCCAAAGATTGGGAAAGGATATACAGTATTTTTCGGCCCATAGGGCGCACCTAGTTTTTTTGGGGGGGGGGAAATCAAGGGGGAAAAATTTATTCCCCCCCCCAGCCGCGGGGCTGGGGCGGGGGAAGCCCGAGCTTTAAAAAACGCACCTACCGTAGTTTTTAGAGGAGAAAAAAAGCACCCCGCTGCCCTGCAGAGGCTTTGCACAGCCATCCCCAAGCTAGAAGAGGGAGACGGAGCGCTCCGTCTCCCTCTTCTGCCTTCAGGGACAGCCTCCCTAGCCTCCGTGGGGCAGCGGCTTGCCCCGCTGTCCCCCAAGCTTGTGGGGCTGGCGGTGGGGAGAAGCAAGCTTCTCCCCACAGCCAGCCTCCAAACCAGGTCGGGGAATAGCGGGATGGCAGCGCTCCGCCTCCCCGCTGTCCCCTGAGCTTGTGGGGCTGCCCAATATCTGCCCGAAGCCCAGGGCGCGCTGTGCAGCGCACCCCAGGCTTCAGGATGCAGGCTGCTATCCGCAAGCCTGGGGAGCCTGACGGGAACTCCCGCGGAGCTCCCAAGGCTTGCGGATAGCTTCCTGAAGCCTGGAGAGCGAGAGGGGTCCATGCGCACCGACCCCTCTCACTCTCCAGGCTTCAGCGAAAGCCTGCATTCGCCCCATAGGACACACACACACATTTCCCCTTCATTTTTGGAGGGGAAAAAGTGTGTCCTATAGGGCGAAAAATACGGTATATAAGAAGAGCGTTTGGATTATTTAAGAATACTCTGGCTTTCTTTTCTCCTCCACCCCAATTTTTGTGTGTGCTTTCCTGTTCATATTAAACATGGTGCTCAGTGTATTTATTTAAAACAGAGCATCTTATTATATATACAATTGCCACTGAAGCACTTAAAGTGACAAGGGGCAAGTATCTATCCTGTGCCTTATTAGTTCTCGTACGAAAGTATGTTCTTACGTGAGCCTTTAACAACACAAAAATTATTTTGAAAAGAAATGAGTTTGCTTTGTATATAGTGGCTTCATTATACATTTTAGGAAAAAATGTGCATATGTGTACGGGTGTTTTTAAATTGGAGGCAAAGGATACAGTTTTTGAAATATTCATTTCAGTAGGGTTTGAATAACTGTTCTGTGTTTGGAAACCAGGTCTTCCGTCATTTACGTCCAAATGTTTGTACAGTGGTTTGGCAAACTTCGTAGGTTTGCTTTTTTTTTTTAAAGAACTTTTTCCTGCATTCCTTTTCTACACAGTCCAGTTGGAAATATGTTTTATTCCACACATGGCAGGCTGAGATTTCTAACCATTTCATTCTGCATATGTTGAGAGTGCTGAGAAACCTAACAGCTTACAAAATGGGAGGATTCAAATTGCATTTAATTATAATGGGAGGAAATGCCAAGAATGTTTAGGTATCTTTGGCACTTAATGTATTTTTTAGCTTGTAATTATCGATGATAATACAAGAATTGATTTAATTGCTATGTTTAGGGAGGTACGTCTTGGAAGGAGTGGAGTAGAGGAAATTAAATCTCATCCGTTCTTTAAGCATGACCAATGGGATTGGGATAATATTCGAGACAGTAAGTATCATTTTTAAAATATGAAAAATATTTTCTTTCTTACTTAAAAAAACTTACTTTGGGTTAGTGTCGAATTTAAAATGCAGGGGTTCTAAAATGGTTTCTGTGGGCATTTATATTTGTAAGTTACATTTTTCTGTAAGTGTCTAGGCTTTTACAATAGTTAAATTTTTTTCAACTGCACTACTTTATTGAGTGTGAATGGGTAAAAATTTCATTCTGTTTTGCTAACACCCACCACATCATGCTTGTTTAGTCAAACAACTACTCTAAATATGTAGCCTGAATTATGTTTTGGTTCAATAGAAATGTATAAAGAATGGCTCTGGTTCTGCTTCCATCTGAGAAAAAGGTTTCTGTGGTTGGGAAAATATTTTTGAAAATTCTTATTTGGGGTATTACTTATTTATAAACAACCAGCTTATTAAAAAACATCAGTGACAACTGTTCATTGTGGTCCACCAAACTCCCTAGCTTGGGTCCTAAGTACGGGGAGCAGAATGAAGCTCACAAAAGAGAATCTCTTTCTCTGCCCTTTCAAGCAGTCCCCTGCACTTCCTGAAAAGCCTTCTTGCAGCTCTGCTTTTGCAAGCTACTTCTCATCTTTGGGTAATGCCCCAGCCCATGCTGTTCAGGAGCATCCCCCAGCCTTCCAGAGAAGCTTTAGCAAAGCGGCAGTTCCCTTTCATTTGCAGTTCTCAGAAGCTAAGCTTCTGTGTTTTTGTTTCTCAAGACTTGTAAAACAGGGCTTTTCAAGACCCTGGCTCATTGCAGAAGATAGCTAGCAAATTATACCATGCAAATTGCTTTTGTGGAAGTGGGAAAAAAGAATTTTGATTTAAATAACTATTTTCCATTTTTTTTAGCTGCAGCACCAGTTGTACCTGAGTTGAGTAGTGACATAGACAGCAGCAATTTTGACGATATTGAAGACGACAAAGGGGATGTTGAAACCTTTCCAGTCCCCAAAGCCTTTGTTGGAAACCAGTTGCCTTTCATAGGATTTACTTACTTTAGAGAGAACCTGTATGTAATATGCTTTTAATGATATACATAACAATAAGGCTTGCTTCGTTTCATAATAGAATTGTTTAATTAGTTTTCAAAGTTAAGCATTGTACTGTGCATTTTCTAGTATCCATCAATACTGTATTCAGCACAGGCTCTTTGCAGGGTGGGTAGGGAGCAAACAGTACATGCAGAATCTGAATAATCTTAGGGTATTGCAATAAGTTTCTGCATACCAATATATTACTGCACATAAATACATTTAACTTGCATAGGTACTTGAAAAATTAGAACATTTGTATGGGTTTGAGAAAAGCATCCCATCTTTTCCGCCTTTGAGTCAATTAAAATGAAAAGGAAGAGAAGTGGTGCTGAATAAAGCTGCCTTCATTCTGAGAGCAGTCTAGTGGGGATTAAGACTTGAGAGAATTGATTAAAATGAGTTGATTGGCATAGTTGTGGAGTTTTTGAAAACTTGAGTTGTTTTCAACAGGTTGCTAAGTGACTTTTCTGAGCTCTGTAGGGAAGTTGAACCCTGCAAGAACAATGGGGCAAGGAAAAAAGAGGCAAAGAAAAATGAGGCAAGTACTCTTCTTTTTAATAAGGGCTAAACATATGTAAAGTGTTTGTTATGCATGATAAATAATACTTGCGATGTAGACTTGCTTTTCAGTAGTTAGCGTTAATTGCACACATCTGAAACTACTTGTGAGTAGTCTTGCTTTTGTGAAAAGAGCTGTTGACTAAAATACATGGTTTATGTTTTAAAGCAAGAGTTGTTAAAAAGAAAATTAAAGTAACTATTTAAAATCAAGATAGTGAAGCTTTAGAGACTGTTGGAAAATACAGACGGGAGAGGCTTGTTTTTTTTAAAAAAATTATATTGGATTTTTTTTGTTTTATTTTTACAGGACAGTGAAGAGGTAAGTACATTATTTTAAATTGTTTTTCTTTCAATAGGTAATATTTCAAAAAAAAGTTATAGGTTTTTTTAGGCAGTAGCTATCATTGATTGAATGTGTGATTAATTATCCAGTTAGTTGGCTACAGATGAGAATAAATTTATTTCATATGTCACTGGTGAAGGGAGCCCCATTAGATAAGAAATGTTCTGTGAATGGCCAGTCATTTCTATTTGATTTTTTTAAAATGTGAGTGCATGAAAATAACTGTGATAGATGGTTATTTTCCCTTGCCATGGGTGTCCTGGGTGCCACTTAGCAGCCTTTGTTTGTAGACTTAAGACTATAGAGAATATGTTTACACTTACAGGGCACTTCGCAAACTTGGAGGGTGTCTACCCCCACTTCCCAGTAAGTTGGGCAGTCCAGAACTTTAACTACAGAGAAAATCCTAAAAGTGTGGACTATGATGAGCTAATTTGAATTTGCACAGTTTACCTATGGGCTACAGTTTTTACATCTAGAATATGAAACTTCACATGTTGGAAATTGTTATGGCAACTTACAATATTTGTGAAATTTGCAATTGTTGAAGTTGGATTTTGGAATGTGCAGTGTAAGATAGGAGGGTGTGTTAAGATCACGATTATGAGGTTTCTGTAGATTTTGTTTTATTAAATGCATCACAGATAGTTGAATTTACTTTTCCCATAATGAAGAGTGGCTCTCTAGATATTTCCATGAACTACTGAGTATCTTCATAAACATAGTTTAGTTCCAGCTGTGGGTATGTCATAGTAAATAAATAACTGATGTCCAATCAAATGGCTGATGGTGCTTCCAATATTTACTTATGTGAGCTATTTTTTCAAGTTGTGTACATTTAAAGACCAGGTTTTTTTCCCTTTCAGTTTGCACAATTTCAGGAAAAAGTAAGCAAATTGGAAGATCGAATTCGTAATGAAATACAAGCCAAAGATGAACTTGAGCAGAAATACAGGTAGAATCCCACCCCGTTTTATGCAGAAATATGGTCTTCAAAAATGTTAATGGGAAATCAGTTTGAAGAGTATTATTTGTATAAAGAACCATAATATCAAAAAGCAGTCTGTATCTAACACATTTAATTTATCCTGGTACTTTGGTATTTCTGAGGGCTCAGTTCGCTTGCAGGGCGCAGGATTCCCATAGGGCCCAGCAGATCCCTGTTTGCGGGGGCAGGGTGAGGGCTGTGGTTGCCTTCCATATCAACAGCTAGCCATCCCTCTTGTTTCTACAAACCACCCTAATCCTTTCAATTTAACAAAAAAACTAACAAAATGAATCACACCATGCATTGGTTCTTTTTGGTCTTTCCCCCACTTTGTTTTATAACACATGTTCATTTATATAGTTCTGGCTGAATGGTTGTATAAACATATACCAAAAAGCAGCTGTTATTTTGTAGGCCTCTTTCTACCTGACCTTGCTTGGTTAGTTTTTGCATGACTACCATGTCCCATAGTTTATTAATCTAGTGGCATCATTCACATATAATACTATGCCATGGTTTGTTTTAACAAATGAAATGTTCCACAGTCTACCTCCTTATGCCTTTGTCTTTGGCAAAAGACTGGAATAGGATGGTCAAACAAACCATGGTTAAGGAAAGATTTGCATGTAGCACCTAGGCATAGTTAAAAGAAACCAAGATACATACGCTAATAAGAAGCAAAAACTTCAGTATGATTTGTTATCAATAAGCAAACCATAGTTAAACCACTGGCCAAGGCTCAGGCAATAAAACCATGGTTTAATACAATGGTGCCCCGCAAGACGAATGCCTCGCAAGACGGAAAACCCGCTAGACGAAAGGGTTTTCCGTTTTTGAGTTGCTTCGCAGGATGAATTTCCCTATGGGCTTGCTTCGCAAGACGAAAATGTCTTGCGAGTCTTGAGATTTTTTTTCGCTCCCCCCCCTTTTTCTAAGCCGCTAAGCCGCTAATAGCCTTTTAGCAGCTAAGCCGCTAAGCCGATAAGCCTTTAATAGCCGCTAAACCGCTAATAGCGCTAAGCCGCTAATAGGGTTGCTTCGCAAGACGAAAAAACCGCTAGATGAAGACACTCGCGGAACGGATTAATTTCGTCTTGCGAGGCACCACTGTAAATCATGGCTTAACCTTGTAAATGAAGCAGGTCAATGTGAAATTTTGGAGGCACCAGGAGAATATATAATTTTGACTTTGCTGGTTGCTGTTAAGTTACATACAATCTCACTGGTGGAATACCTTTCCTATATAGAAGATTTATAGTAGCAAATGGGAAATTATTCTGTTTCTTGTCAATTATTCTGTGCTTTCCACTTAATATTTATTTTAACACTTTCCCAGAGCTATTACTAATCGTGTAGAGAAGATAATGAAGGAATTGGATGAGGAGGTAAAGTATTGTCTATTTTATATTTTTCCATTGTGTCTCTGAATGTTTTAGCCAATCTTTTATGTTAGGTGATGAAGGTATTCCATTGGACAAATTAGTGGAATTGTGCTATAGAGGTGGCAGTTGCTACCCCAACAGTATTTAGTAGAATAAAAAAGGAGATAACATTTCTCGCACCCATATGCTATATTAATAAGCGGTTAAATATGTAATCAGTTTTTGTATTACATTGCAAATAGTTTCCAGAGGATATGAATAGAGTTGTGCTTTTTGTGTTCACTATATTTATATCTTACCCTTCCTCTAAGGAACTTAGTGCAGCTTACATGGGATTTTCATGCCTTACCTTTGAGGTTACTTATACTGAAAGAAGAGTGTTTTCCCTAAGGCCTTTTACGGAGCTTCATGGCTGAGTGGGAGTTTGAACTCACGTTTCCAACATATGAACCCAACAGCCTTGCCAGTACAACACACAAGTCCATTTTGGTGCTTCTCAGAGTCTGATATGCATTTTGGGGAGGTCTGAAATCACAGTTCATTTGGAGTGGATGTGCATTCAACCAGTATAAATATTATCTCCAGTCTCAGAGGAGTATCCATTTATTCCTGGAGGATGTGTATTTCCACCAGCTTGCAGAAATCTATGCTTAATGTGTGGACATTGGGGAATGGGGGTAGTGAAGAAGTAATGTGACCCGCAGTGTAGCTCTTAATTTCTGGTAATCAGTTATATCCAATTCATGTATAAAGGGGCCCATACCAAACCTTAATTTGTATCCATGAGACTTGGGAATTTTGTTGCTGGTTTCAATATGATATGAATTGCATTTTAAATTTGGACTCCTTAGGGACTTTGTACTAGAGTTTTGAAGCATGGAGTTGTAACAGTAGAGTTGGGCTTTCCCAGTCCCTTTCCCCCATTTTAGCTCACTGTGCCACCTGAAGAACTATCCATGAAATGGTATGGATGTAGAGGCTACATCCATCCACAGTAGAGGCTACTGTGGATAGTTCCCTTCTGATTGCCTGAGGGGCCTTTGGATCCACACTGTAGATCCAAAACTGCATGACTGTTTTGCTGTTTGGAAATTTTGTGGTTGTTAGTGAATTTGTGTGCACATCTGCTGAACATTATGTAGCATATTTACTGTAGCCAAATGAGAAACATTTTGAGTTGTTAGAGCATTAATTAGATTTGATAGGCTCTGTGTTATAACTTCAGAAAAGTGCCTTCATCCTTCAGCCAATTTCTTAAAAGAGAAATATTCATCTATTCTTACCAGGTAACCTCAAGAAAAAACCTAGAATCTGCCTTAAGACAGTTGGAAAGAGAGAGAGCTCTTCTCCAACACAAGAATGCAGAATATCAGCGGAAAGCAGAACATGAGGCAGATAAAAAACGTAATCTAGAAAATGATGGTATGTGAACCAGAATCTTGAAGAGCCATTGCTGAACAATGTTGAACAACATTGTGTTATTGGTGCTTGGAATTTGTAAAAGGCTTTTGTGTTTAACTTACTTACTGTCTTTATTACAGTTAACAGTTTAAAGGATCAACTTGAAGATTTGAAAAAGAGGAATCAGAACTCTCAAATATCCAATGAAAAAATCATTCAACTACAAAGACAGGTAAATTACATTTCTATTTGTAAATTAAGCCCAAAATCTGAGGGATTAATTAAGAATTGTCATATTTTTTTTAAAAAAAATTGATGATGAAATGCTTTGCTGCAGTATTACTGCATCTTGAACATGCTTAAAAGCTGACCGTTTATGGTTGGTGAGTTAACTCTGAAATTTCTTCATGGTTCAATAGCTGGATGAAGCCAATGCTTTGCTACGCACGGAGTCTGACACAGCAGCCAGGCTGAGAAAAAACCAGACCGAAAGTACAAAGCAGATTCAGCAGCTGGAAGCTAATAACAGAGATTTGCAGGATAAGAACTGTGTCCTGGAGAATACTAAGCTGAGACTTGAGAAGGACTTCCTCAATCTCCAGTCAGCTCTAGAATCTGAAAGAAGAGACCGAACACATGGCTCGGAGATTATCAGTGATCTACAGGGTATGAGAACCAGTGTGCTAGAAATATTCAGTGTTGCATAACTGCCCTTGTTTTAATTCGGGTTTCATTGACATGCTCAGTAAAAATTACTATTGTCCCTCCATTTAATTGATCAAGAAGTGGTAACATTTTCTCACTAATTATTCTGACACCATCAAAGCATCTGGAAGATAGATTTTCTTGTTTAAATCACAGTTCATAAAACCTTGCATTTTAATGCCACACATGGCTAACGTTCTTTTTCTTGTTGGCCTCTTCCAACATTTTTTAGGCCGAGTATCTAGTTTGGAGGAAGAAGTAAAAAATGGAAAGACTATATTAACTAAAATGGAGACAGAGAAAAGACAATTACAAGACAGATTCACAGATCTGGAAAAGGTAAACAATTCAGATATTTGAATGTTGTTTATTGATTTAATGCAGCAAATATAGTACTTGTGGTATTCTGATCTTCATAATTCCTTTTATAGCAGCAGCAATAGTAATAATAGTAATAATTCATTATTTATAACCCGCCCATCTGGCTGGGTTTCCCCAGTGAGAGTTTGGCAGTGTTTTTCTGTGAATGTATCATGCCCTGTTTTCACCATATCCTGTTTAGTTTGTGACCTCTATGTTGGCTTTAAGTCTGAAGCAATTGCTAAGGACCATCTCTTGCAGCTTTTGTCTTCTAGTGGTAATAGTTGATGATAACTTTAGGTTAGGGCAGCTTTGATATATTTTATGTAAATAATTATTTGATGAAAGCTGAGAAATGGAGGGAATGGGGGATATGGAGTTTGGGATGTGTGAAGAGTGTTGAGATTGTCATGTTGCTTCTGTTCCAAGAATGTCAGCTAATCTTGCTAGCCAGTTAGCGATGCTGAAGAATCAGAAAGTTTTTATCTCAGAAGATCTTCCTCATGCTGCAACACTAGTTTCTATTGGTCTGTGATGGGGGTGGGTGATGTACAGCACTTCTGATAAACATCCTGTTTCCAAATGAATGTGTGCCATAAGGTTAGTCTTTTATTGGGCGAAGACCAAGACAAAGTCAGAAATGTGAATCGAAGCTTATATTTTTCTTGTAATGACTGAACAGTCATTCCAATCAGATTGCATATTTTTGGTTTATGGCACTAGTGGGATTATAGTCAAGCAATTACATTTTTGTGTGTTTACTTAACAGGAGAAGAGCAACATGGAGATAGATATGACGTACAAGCTTAAGGTCACGCAGCAGAACTTGGAGCAGGAAGAAAATGAACATAAGGCAACTAAAGCCCGACTAGCAGACAAAAATAATAGCTATAAGTCCATTGAGGAAGCCAAATCTGAAGCCATGAAAGGTAAGCATTTAATGTCACACACTCATAACTTCATTTATTTATTATATTCATATCACATCCTTTCTTCAAGGAAATCACAGCAGCATTTTTGCCTCACAGTAATTCTGTACTTTGGCTTAGACTGAGAGATAATTACCCAGCCAGCTTCATACTTGAGTGGAGATGGAACTGGATTTTTCCCGTATAAGTCCAGTTCTCTAGCCACCATCCACAATGGCTAATCTGAATTTAAAACTTTATTAGCACAAGTTAGTTGTGTTGGCATAGTATAAACTAAGACGGTTTAGCTTCAGAACTCCTATTTGGTGATGGGGGTTTGGTCAGAGGCAGGGACAACATGGGCACTGTGGCTGTCATATTTACAGTGGAATTTCAGGTTACGTACCGTCCTTCTTACGAACGCTTTGGGTAATGAGCTCTGCTAACCTGGAAGTAGGTCTCCTGGTTGCAAACTTTGCCCTGGGATGCGAGCGGAAGTCACGCGCCTGCGGTGCAGCAGCAGCGGGAGGCCCCATTAACGAAAGCGTGCCTCATGTTAACAAGGGTTCCAGGTTAAGAACGGACCTCCGGAACGAATTAAGTTCTTAACGGCGGTACCACTGTACATATGTTCAGCAATCCATACGTCTTAGTGTGCAGTTCTGTGATCACATCCCTGAGAGTAGCCTCCATTGAACCCAATGGGTTGTATTCCGTGAAATCATTGTGTGAGTGGAACAACTAACGCCTGCACAATGGAACTTCCTCTCTGGATTCCTCCAACCCTCTAGGGCAGATAGGTAGGTGTGGGTGGAGAAGCGGGAGGGAAGTTCTGTGGCACAAGCGGAAGTAATTTGCTCATGCAGTGACTTGGTTGGATTCGACCCAATGGGACTTAAGTTCTGAACAGGCAATCACAGAATTTGCTGTTAAGGGTCTTACAAATTGCATAATGGTGCCTCTGAATGCGTCTGACGTTTTATGTTTTGTCAACAACAACAACAAAAGGATGAGCAAGGGTGGCATTTAAAATGTTTTTGACAGAATTGAGGTCAGTCGTACCCAGATAATTTAGGTCATCTTGCCACTTTTAAGACAGGCATTGAATAGCTTGGGAAAGAAAGAAAAAACTTTTTTGCATGTAAATTTTGCTAGAAATAAATCTCATGCTCTTAACAATACTAATGAATTTATTTGATGTTTTACTGGAATGTACAGAAGTTTCCAGAACTGTCTAGTCAAAGATAAAAGATAGATAAAACTGGTGGGCAGTCATGCATCAAAAAGTGTATCTCACTTTCACAAAAGTGAATATGGGTAGACAGTAAATGAACGTGTCTTTGAGTAGGAAGCAGAAATTTGACAGTAAATTGAAGCTGAAGAGATCTGCTTATGTAACTTAAATTTCTTGTTCAAGCTGGCTGGGTAGAACTGAAAAGTGTTTGACAAACAGGCTCTTCAGAGTATTTTTTTGTCTAATTTAAGAGGATTTTAGTTATGCTGGTCCTTCACTGTCAGCTGTATTTTCAGTGTCAAACTGTATATTAACTTTCTTACATTAAATGGCGGTGATGTGTTTGTTTCTCTTTTGCTTCACAGAAATGGAAAAGAAGCTTTCGGAAGAAAGAGTTTTAAAATTAAAAGTGGAAAACTGCTTATTAGAAGTAGAGAAGCGGTGCTCCATGTTGGATTGTGACTTGAAGCAGTCGCAACAGAAAATAAATGAGTTGCTAAAGGAAAAGGATAGATTAAGTGAGAACGTAAGTATTAAAGAGGAAATTTGCAATATATTTAAGTGTTGTTCCTGGTTAGGTCTACATAAGGCTCCCCCACCCATCAGTGGTATTTTGTACCAAGTTTCTGTTTAGCTTCTTTACCTTAGTTCTTTATCACAAACAAGTGTGAGATGAGGTAGAGTAACCAAATAGCTTGCTTAAACTCAAATAATTAACATGCACCGTTATATGCCCTCACTTTGGCCCTGCCCAATGAAACATTGTGCCCTGAGAAGCCATTCCTGAGGCTCAGGGAACTCCATGGAAAAGCTGGGGTAGGTGTTGTGCTGTATTGGGAGAAGACTAAAAATCAGGGCTGTGGGCAGGCTTACACCTCAGTGTATGTTTAGAAGTTCCTTATCCAGTGCTTTTTTGGGGGGGGACACGGGTACGCATACCCCTAAACATTTTTTTGAATCTTTATACTTTACTTTTGTTCATTTACTGTATTTATTTTTCCCAATTTGAACTATAAAATGGTGATTTTCTTGAGTCAAAATGAGAGTACCCCTAAACATTTTTTTCGGGGAAAAAGCACTGGCCTTATCCAAACCAAATACTGTACTGAATCGACATCTTAATCCCCTGTGTAGGTTACTTGAAATATATATGGGGCATTTATTGCAGTCTCATTTACCCCATGTAAAGATGTGTTGGTATAAACAGTGACACAAGTAAGAGTGTTCGTTGCAAGTCACATTCACCTGTAGAATTTACTGCTGTGTGATTGTGATTAAGATTGTAGTCTTACAGCCCCAATTGTATGCATGTTTAATCATCAATAAGTACCACTGTGTCTAGTTGAGCTTATTTCTAGCTATGTGTGCAAAGGATAGCAACCTTTTAATGATTTTTAATAATACAAGTAAGGGCTGTACAAGATGTTTTGAAAACTTTTAAGTGTGGTTGATTTTCTCAAAACTAATTTCCTTTGGTTTTGGAGAGAGTGTTAGAGGTGATACCTTCCTTCTCCGGACGTTATTACTCTGAAAAGGTTTTGAGCTATATATATTTTCTTTTTCTTCAATCTTTCGGTGTTCAATCAGTCTTAAAAAGTGATTTCCATGGTGGATGCAGAAATAACTGCTAGTGACATGTAATGAATGTTTACCTGCTCTTCAAAGTAGTTTTGGCAAGACAGACTTTGTCCCCATTTTACCTTCAAACACACACTTAAACAAAGTGAGCACAGTGGTATTGTTACTTTTATGAATATTTGTACATAAAACATATTTATGTATAAAAGGAATCCATTTGTTTTGTAGGTTGAAAACCTGACACTAAAAATAGAACAGGAAACACAAAAGCGTTCTCTGACACAAAATGACTTGAAGATGCAAACACAGAATGTCAATGCACTGAAAATGTCGGAAAAACAACTAAAGCAGGAAAACAATCATCTGTTGGAAATCAAACTTAGCTTGGAGAAGCAAAATAATGAACTTAGAAAGTAAGCAAATTCTACAATTGGAATGTTTATTCTTACCACTTTAGATAGATAGATAGACAGACAGATATTTACTTAATGTTATTTATAAGAGTATTTCTATACTAATATATGAAATATCAGGGTGGTTTAAATGTCATTAAAAAAAGAAGAAGAATTAAGCTGGCTCATAGGCCTGGTGGCTTAAAAATGCATTCAGGAGATGCCTGAACTGCAGAAGCAATGATGGCTGCCAACTTCTAGTTGAGACCAGTCAGACCTCTGAAACACGGGAGGCAACTAACAGTCATCCTCTTGATGATCTTAGTGAGTAGTTCCATTGTAGTTGCTGAGGAGTCACAACTTTCATGAACATGGCTAAACTGGAGAGTTTGGGGCCACACATAACACGATCAAATGTGTAACAAAGACTTGATTCTAAACTGACAAAGGGCTGGTAAAGAATTGAGGATACAATGAGGCAGGTAATCTTGTTGTTCTTCAGGTCACCCTGAAAGATTAAGAAGTACCAGAACATGCATTAGTATTCAGATTTTCCCCATTTCATTTATTCTCCATTTTGAATGTACATGCAGCAGCTTAGTTGCTGCAGAAACCACTTCAGTATGGAGATCTTACCTTGTCAAAGCAGTTGTCAGTAGTGGCCACACTGCTGTGGGTGCATAATCTCCCTGATATATTGTTTATGAAATAGAGCAAGGTCCTTGTGGGAGAGTATTTATAATAATAAAACTCAACTCCCACTCCAGTGGTACTTCTAAACCTGCTGCGCTGCACCATTCAGTCTTGCATACAGTCATACCTCGGGTTAAAGACGCTTCAGGTTAAATCTTTTCAGGTTGCGTCCCGCAGCGACCAGGAAGTAACGGAACGGGTTACTTCCGGGTTTCGCTGCTCGCCCATGCGCAGACGCTCAAAATGACGTCACATACACGAAACAGAATGGCGAATCGCGACCTTCTCATGTGCAGATGTGGGTTGTGTTCTGCTCAGGTTGCGATCAGGGCTCCGGAACAGATCCCATTCGAATCCAGAGGTACCACTTTATCTCTCCCCTTTAATTTAATCACCTGGTTACTGTGGGGTAAAGGTGTAGTACAAAGCCACTTCAGATACAGATATTTAATAAAGGTATTTAGGTTTATTACAATATCATTAAAGGCACAGGCTTATCAGATTACTTTAAAATAGTACTGTATCTTTAAATGAGTACATGTTCTATTAACTTGTTATTGTTACTTTAAATACTAACAACTTATATTCTGCTGATCTGCCAGCAAGAGGATGGCCACAAGCAAATAAGGCACTGAATCCTTCCTTCTCTTGTGACAATGGCAGGGCCTTCCAAGAGGCAGAAATGCATCTCGCTTGTGTTTGAGAGTTGTACTCCCAATGTACAGCTCAGAACTTGCTAGCCTTCAGTGTACAAGAATTCTAATAAGCTAATTCTGTACATAGTCTTCCATTAAAATCTTCCTGTTAACAGTTTTAGGAAGTTATGTTGGGGGAGTAAATATATGGACACCTTGCCTTAAACATTTTGGCCATTCTAAAGGAAAATTAATTTATTTTTAATTATAAATTTTCTAATGTTCTGGAAAAGATGAAAGGCTTCAGAAAGAAATGATGGTAGGCCTGAATACCATAGTGACAGGTGAGCTGCTGTGAACTCTTCACCTTTTCATAGTGAGCTCATTCTTGAGAGAAGGATATTTGCTACAGGGTTTGTGCTCTAGTCCCTCCTGCTTCTCCCTGCCAGCTTCTTCCTGCTTCTAGGTATTTTTATTAGCGAGTGAGATAATTGTAGAAAAGCGCTGCTAGGCAAATTTAGGATGGCCTCCAACCTGAGGTGGAGTGTGCACTAGTGCCAGGGAATTTTGATGCCCTTTGGAGCAATTTTGGATACACTGTATCCAAGGTACAGTGGTGCCCCGCAAGACGAATGCCTCGCAAGACGGAAAACCCGCTAGACGAAAGGGTTTTCCGTTTTTCAATGCGCTTCGCAGGACGAATTTCCCTATGGGCTTGCTTCGTAAGACGAAAATGTCTTGCGAGTCTTGAGATTTTTTCCCGCTTCCCCCCCCCCTTTTTCTAAGCCGCTAAGCCTTTAATAGCCTTTTAGCAGCTAATCCTCTAAGCCTTTAATAGCCGCTAAACCGCTAATAGCGCTAAGCCGCTAATAGGGTTGCTTCGCAAGACGAAAAAACCGCTAGACGAAGATACTCGCGGAAAGGATTAATTTCGTCTTGCGAGGCACCACTGTACACACAAGCTTTCTACTGGCTTGTATTATATATACAGTGGTACCTCGGGTTAAGAACTTAACTTGTTCTGGAGGTCTGTTCTTAACCTGAAACTGTTCTTAACCTGAAGAAAACTAAATCAACTTTCAGTAGACAAGACAGAAAGCTTCTCACATCAGATACGTTGTAGTGCACATTACAGAATGATCATTAAAGCTGAATTCAAATAAACAGGATTTCTTAACAGTTCTCTTCTGCCCTGCTGTCATTATGGACTACAAGGAAAGGTGAACAGTCTGGCAGTAGAAAATCCAATTTAATCATGTGTGCGAGCACCGTTAATCAGAAGAACCATAGTATTTTAAAAATAAGTACATGTTATTCTAACAGGGAACGTCAAGATGCGGATGCACAGATGAAAGAGCTTCAGGATCAACTTGAAGCAGAACAATATTTTTCGGTATGTACTGCATTGCCATTGTTATTATTCCATTCATTAAGTGTAGCATAGGCATTTTTCTAGGGGTTTGTAGCCATCTCACTGAGGTGTAAATCTCATATTTCCCCAATGGAAATTAGTAGGTTTGCAATCATGAGGGTAGTTTTCTTATTACTTAACATGGTTTTGCATTTTAAATATGCTTCATAGTAGCATATTAACACTATGCAATTTCTGTGGAATCAAAGTAAATTGCCTTATCTTTGTACCCTGAGTGAACTGCAGAGATAGCACATTGTGAGTTGCTACCTTGGAGTGACAAGGCAATTATGTGAGAGAGATATGACCTACAATATTTGTTGGTTACATTTAGAGCTCTAGTTTGAGTAGGGCATTTTCGTAGCCCTCACTCCTGATAATGCCAGCAACTGATTAGTGTCTGTTCATTGTGAACACTTGCTCCTGTTCTTGCAAGATTCCACATCTTGAACACTGTAGATGTTAAGGCAAAATGAACCTTCTAACGGGACTTTTTCCGTTCAGGTGACTGAACCCATCCCACAGTATTTACATCAGTTTCCCTTTTTAAAATTTCAGACTCTCTATAAAACGCAAGTTCGGGAATTAAAAGAAGAGTGCGAGGAGAAGGCCAAACTTGGTAAAGATATACAACAAAAAATGCAAGAGTTGCAGGATGAAAGGTGAGAATTTGGCTGTTTGATTCTTGGCCATGCGCGATAGAATACCACTATTTGAAATTCAGAAATGATAGAAATAATTTCTTCAACCACAATAATAGTTTATCATTTCTTTGTAGAGACTCTTTGGCCGCACAACTGGAGATCACGTTAACTAAAGCTGACTCAGAACAGTTGGCTCGCTCCATCGCCGAAGAGCAATACTCCGATTTAGAGAAGGAAAAGATCATGAAAGAGTTAGAGATTAAAGAGATGATGGCAAGGCACAAGCAAGAACTTGCCGAGAAAGATGCCACAATAGGATCAGTAAGTAGTTTGATGTTTCCGCAAGAGTTCTTGATTTTGGACACAAACTCATTCAGCATGATGATTTAGTCCCTGCAAACCGAAGCCATATTGAGTTGATGCAGAAAACATCAGTAAGTAACTTGGAAATTTCTTGGGCAATATGTGTTCCACAATGAAGATAACAAATGTTTACTGCTCAGAGAAAATGTTTCTCAGAATATGATTTTCCACCTGGCTGGAAAAGTGCAGTTACCACAGTTCATTTCAGCCTCCTGAGAAGTAAATCTGTTCAGACAGTACCCACTAATTACACAGAGTATAATTTTGTCATGTTGCTATCATGGATACTTCAGTACTGAATATTTTGAAGGTGTAATTTGACTAGTCAGTAGCTGGGGTCCTTGATTTCTCTCTCCTAAGGAGTATTGGTTGCTGCTATAAAAGATAGTAAAATGAGCTGCAATAAGCAGTCCTGAACCTTGTTACATAAGATCCAGTTTGCTTGTAACGCTAAAGCAAAGCATGACTTAGGGCAAACGTGCAGTTGATTTGTTCTTCCTTTGGCCCTGTGGCTGTGCTTGGCAATCAGCTGAACAGTTTGTGCCTGCAAAACAGTTGCTCCCTTTTGGCTGAGCCAGATTTTTACTTGCACCACAACTGACCATATTAGCTTTGCCGAAGCAGCCTTGCAGGCTGTATGGTGAGGCATAAGGTTCCCCACCCCTGGTTTAGCATGCCGTCCAAACCCAGGCATGTGGTTCTTCCCGCTGTAAGCCCATGGAACAAACATTGATTACAGCTTGTGGTTAATCAAGAGTGTGAAAAGGATAAGCTCAGGTTTGGACAAAACACCAAGTCCATCTCAGCAGCAAGATGAGAGGGAGAGCAAATTTTCCCTTTCAGAAGCCCATGTGTTTGTACAATGTTTTGGCTTACATTACATAAAAACTGAACCAAACAACTCACATTGGTTTTCAGTTCTTCTGTAGCCCAATACATAATTGTAGCTACATTGTATAGGAATTAAAGATTTAAAGATTCTTCTGGTCTAATACTCTTCCTCTTCTGGCTCATGAATGGTGCCCAGTATTCAACTACTGCAAATTGTGTTCATCTGTGAACCCAACCTATTATTTGTCTTGCTTTTGAACCTTGCCTTGATTGTTTTTAAACTTTCTGCAGCTTTTTGGCCTTTTCCCCCTGTAGTGTAAAGCTCCCTTTACTATATTTTTTCACTATTTTGTTCTTAAACCTATTTGTCTCCTTCTACGCAACTTCCTTCATGTGCTCTTCTAGTAGCTACAAACTCCTAATCCCAGCAGTATCAACTCATAATTAAACAGGTTGCTGGTTTATTTTTCAAGCCAAAGAGTAACAAATTTCTACTTCATTTTAGCTTGAAGAGGCAAATAGGACGCTAACAAGTGATGTCGCAAATCTTGCTAATGAAAAAGAAGAGCTGAATAACAAGCTCAAAGAAGTCCTAGAACGTGAGTGTTGTGGTTTTGTTTTTTTAAAAGTAACTTCTTTTATATCAGAGTCTATTATTTTTTCACTTTGCAAATATTAGTGAGTCTGTTTTCATTTGCAGGAATGTCCCAAATGAACGCAGAGGAAAATGATATAGGGGTGCTTAAGAGTCAATATGAGAAACAGCTAGCTTATGAACGAACAATGAAAACACAGGTAAAGTATGAAAACTGTGGGAGAAGGAGTTTTGTTATCACTGTACATTATATATGAGAGAAAATACTACAGGTAATGCAAATAAAATAAGCCCTGTAAATGTTTATAGCACTAGACTCCAATATAATATCATTTCTCTGATCCCTTCCTTGTTCAAACTATTCAAAACTTTATTGGTGAACTATAGTTTATTTGGCTTTGTGGATCAAAACTTAGGACAAGCATTTTTAAAATCTTTGAACCTTTTGGTAATGACAGCTGCCAAACTCAGTGTAGAATATATTATATTTTGATCAAGTAGAAAACTCAAAACAAAATGCTGTAATTGTGGGTTGCAGAAACATCTGATTCTGTAATCCTAAGGTAACTGTTTATTCTTCTTGTGCATCTCCGTCCACCAGGCTGTAAATAAGTTAGCTGAAGTGATGAACCGTAAGAATCCTATCCAGCGAGGAGCAGACACTGATGTTAGAAGAAAAGAAAAGGAGAACAGGAAACTGCACATGGAGCTGAAGTCTGAACGTGAAAATTTATCCCAGATGATGATCAAATATCAGAAGGAGATCAATGAGATGCAAGCGGTAAGTACCTGTACACAGATGTATCTGGCAACAATAAATTGCTTAATGGATTAATAAATTGCTGAAAGAGAATTTGATCTGAAAGAATGTTTCAAAAGTTGACAGACCTTGTAGAGTTTGTAAATATTTCCAATCGTTGAATCTACCTTTGTATTCCTAAAACCTTTGCAGCAGTCCTACTGCCCTTAGTCACTTGTTCCTCTTCTCATTGCATGAGCTTTTGTAGCCCAAATGTGCTATTTCATAAGGTTACATCTTCTCCCCCTGCCATCATCCAGGGGGATTAAAATTAAAAGAATGCTCTTCCAATAAGCATGCCAAGAAAATCCTGTAAGCAAGATTATATAAGGTGGGAAATATTTAATAATAAGATGAGGTTTGATTTGTGCTCCTTGAATCTCTTTTTATAGCAAATAGCGGAAGAGAGCCAGATACGAATAGAATTGCAGATGGCTCTGGACAGCAAAGATAGTGACATTGAACAGCTTCGCTCACAGCTGCAGTCAATACGCATTGACAGTACCAGTATGCCATGTGGCTCAGGGGAAGCAGATGCTGATGGTAAGATTCATTCTTCATTAGCACACTTATCTTTTGTCACAAAAATCCAGTGTTTAAACTGATTCCTTTCCATAGCTTCCAAAAGTCGCTAGCAATGTAATTTTCTCACCTACCTTCTTGCCACTAACATTTTGACCTTTTAGCACCTTCTGAAATGTGAAGAATATAGTTATTATTATCCCCCTAAAGCTATTCCGTTCCATTATAACTGAAGAAGTAAATGTTTTTAAAGCTCTTTTGTCATTAACTTTTTGTGCACTTTATCCCTATCATGCTGGGTTCTCAGTTCATATTACTCAATCCCACACTATGGAGTCAATGTCTTTTACCTACGAACGCTCTTCTACCTCTGTCAGTATTGCCACTAAGCCTTCCAGTTCTCGTGTGTTTATCAACTCTGATTCTGACTCAGAGGAGGAATCGGCGTCTTCTGTAGAAGTCCCTTCAGAACCTGACAGTCCAGGTGACATTCCTACAAACCATTTAGTGATGGAATGCTGCTGCTCCTCTGAACTTTCATTACTAACATTGCAAGCAGTTGAAATCAAATATAGTTGTGTTGCATGAAGAATGAAGTTGCTAAGTGAAGAATGAAGTGGCCCTTTTAATCTAAAGTAGCCACTGATTGTATTCCTAATTAAGTATACTCTAGAGGCATATGCATGCAGTATGCATCTTTCCCCTTAGCAACAGCCCCTTCCACCCTTCTCCAAGTTGCTGCTAAGAAAATTAGGGCTTGCTGTGGCGATCACACAGGGCCCCCAGACGTTTCATGGTCTATTGACCCTGTGCCACCACTGCGGTTAGCTTTATTCGCTGCCGCCACCCCGCTGCTCACGGGGACACACGGAGTCCAGACAGTTGTGAACATAAATAATCAAGTTTATTTTTAAATGCAGGAACAAGCGTATGGTTACAGTTTATTTTTCTCTTGTCAGTTTCCTAATCTTAGTTCCTAACAACTTCAAAGTGAATTATTATTCTATCTGACTCAACCTAACAATTCCTCTCACCCTCTCACAATACAACTCTGCCAACCCACACCTAAGCCTCCCTCTTCCTTCTCCAACACCCAAGCCTCAACTCCCAACTCCCAAACCTCAGCGGACTCCCACTCTATCTTTTACTCCCCCCTTGCATTCTCACTGGCCAATCACATCACACCCATTTTAACCCTTTCCTTGACCCATCCTAGGAGGCAAAAGCCACACTTGCAAACTTAAGTTGATTCATTGACAGGAATTGTTAGTTAAAAGTGGAAGTTGAGTGACATTCTTTTCATTTGTGGATTTTGTTTCTCAAATGGCACTTTTGAAAATTGTGGCTTCTGTTTATCAAATTGCACATATATTCCTCCCTTCAGTAAGTAAAAGAAGAAGATGCTTACATTGAGAAATTGACTGTTATCAATTATATTTAATTATTATCTATTAAAAGACAAATGATGAATCAATCCTGAATTAATCACTCTAGTGAAAGTGCACTGGATTTTTTTATTTATTTAGGAAGAAAAATGATATGGAAGATCTTAAAAGGGTGTGTGCTTCCAGATCATCTACAATGCCAAATCTAGGTATCTTAAGTTACACATTCAAAAGGGCTCATCAGCCAGTGAAATAACTAGGTGACTTAGGCCCATTTCAGAAATCAGTGCCCCAACCTTTGGCTTGCTGTTGCTCTAAATTCACGTACTGACTGTGCAGGTATGTGAGCATACATTCACAGTCTCACTGCCAACTCTCTACACAAAAGACACTAAGCTGAGTACTTGCTGCTGCTTTGGCACTGCTTCTCTCACTCAGTTTTGGTAGCCTGCTTTCTTCTATGATATGTTAGGCAAGGGCTTCCTAGCTCCCATGTAATGGTACAATAAATCAGAAAGGTAATCAACTAGAGGTGATGGAACAATACATTCTCTAACATTATGAGAGCAAAGTAATAGATACCTTTGGGTTGGTCCATCCCCTTGTCACAATTGCCTTACACGTTGAACATCTGAAAACTCTGATCTGAAACATGACATTTAGAGACTAGGTTTTGTTTTTTTGTAAAACTTTCCTTAGGCAGATATCTTCTATGGGAAGAGCAGGGACTACTGGTAACACAAAGCTGAGAAAGCTGTACTAAATATATTTAAATGGCACTCAGGTGTGTGGACTGGAAGAATTCATAAGTATTCAGATCCCACAGATTACAGTGCTTAAGAATAATTAACTGACTTGCTGAAACAATGGAAAGCTATTAGGATAAGAAGTTTATAGAGGGGAAAATGGCATTTGTTCTTGTCATTGTATCATTTTCTTATTAGGGAAATAGGGACATACAATGTAGCATACATCTTCTCTCCATTCCTTTCCCCTAAAATCTAAAAGAGGTGAAGTTGGTTGAATCATTGGTGGCTCGGTGCTGCTAATATATTTTCAGTGCTAGTAGGAAAGACAATAGAGAAACTGCTGCAGTGCTGTGTTCAATTAATCAGGGTGTGTTTGTTTGTGTGTGCGCACACATATGCATGTGTACAGAGTGTATCAGGATATTGACAGTGGAAGCACATTAGATTTTATAGGAAGGGGAACTGAAAATGAGGGGGAACCTTCTATATTTTTCAAAGGACTTTCCACCAAAAGTTAAACAAAGCATGTCTCAGTGTAAAGACTATAATACAAAGCATATTTTGTTAATCTTTGTTTTCCCTATGCATCAATATACTTCAAACTTTTGTTCTTGCTAGAAGTTTTGCAAACATTCGCATTCTGTTTTGTGAAATCTAGTGGGTTGGATACTGACTTGCCTCCCTCATCTCTTTTGCCTAAGCCATGTGATTCGGCTACCTCCACCTTCAAGCCACTCTGCCTCCCTTTCAGATCATTTCTTCTTCCACAGTCCTCTTCATCTGCTGTCTCCCTAACAAACCCATTGCAACATACATTACAATATAAATAAAAGAATGCATTACATAATACTCATGAAAACACAGTCTAAAGCAACAGAATTTCTTTACACAAGGGAAGCTGTTTAAGGCAGTACAGAGGGTCCAAATTCTGCACCAAGAGCAGGAACCCTTGAGTACATTGTACAACTTCTGTGTTTAATACTCTGGAGGTTTAGAAATAGGAGAATTTGCTGTGTGTGCTTTATTAACGTTTTCCAAAAGGAATCAGAATGGATGGCACAGACATTTCCTTAAATAGTAATAAATGCTTTAGACATGTTTCTGCTGTGGAACATAAAACATTTACTAATAGGAATGTGTGGTGACACAATTTTATGACTAGAGCTTTGCTCGTGTTTGCTTCTAAATTTCAGCTGTTTTGAAATATGGTATTTGCTTGTAGATGAACACAGCTTTCAAGAAAACATTTTTCTTAACTTGACATGACTTTAAAAAGTAGCACAATACCTATTCAATATTAATTGTTTTGATGTTTGCTCACTTTAATACTTTTCAGAGTCACGGCTAGAGGGCTGGCTATCATTGCCTGCCCGAAACAATACAAAAAAATATGGATGGGTTAGAAAGGTAAGAAATGCATGCAATTCTTAGAGCTATTACTTGGGACGTGATATGCAGTTATTTTAATGCTCTGTTCAGCACGTGAAAACAGAGCGCTACAGTTTTTGATACATTGCTGCTTTTCTAGAGATTGATTATGAGCCTATCTGGGATGCAAGAGCACTTTCTTTTGAGGATTTTGAAGGCTTTTCTACCAACAGGAAGAGAAAGCTGAGTGGGATAGGAATCACACACACAGTGGAAGATGGGTCATTGGCTGCTTATCATCCCATATCTCCTCCTTAGTGGATAGTTTTCTTTTAAGTGTTAGAAGTAGGAGCAGCAGGGAAAATGAGAATTTGCCAGATCCAGGTGGAAGACATTCCCAGAGTGAGCTTACACCTCCTACTGGAAGGAATGTGCAGGGTCCCTTCAAGTCTTTAGCCTCTTCACCAGGGAGAGGAGTCCTCCCTCTTTCAGTCTCCTCAGTTGAGTCTGTGTGTTCCCTCCCCAGTGTCTCCCCACCCCCAGTCTCTCCCTGCCTTTTCTTGAATTCACAGTGGAGGAGTGGGGGCTTTTTGTTTGGGGGCCTTGGTGACTGCTAGAGCTCCAGGCACATCCTACAAAGAGCCTTATAAATGCAATCACCTTTTAATATTGAGCACAGCCATTGCTGTGGCTTGTCCAGCTTCCTTTGATGGCGGGGTGTGTGTGCAAGAAGCATCCAGTGGGACCTGCCTGCATTGCTCCCCACCCTTCCTGTTGCTTTGTTGTAGCCCATGTGAGGGCTTGAGCATGCAGCCCCAGCTTCATTGGTGTGGGTAGACCCCCATGCCTCTTCAGACAGCCTTTGGGCTTTGGTGCACAACTGTGGCTTCCCCTCTCTTTTTTGTTGGGCCTGTGAGGAGAGGCTGACTTAATAGTGGCCTGTCCTCTGTCTGTGCCTCCGTGCCATGGTGGTTGCTCTGTGGACATCTGTCTGACTCTAGTTCCTCCATGGCTGACTGGTTCCCTATGGCTGTGGTTGCATCTGCTGAGGTGCGTACCTCTTCATCTAGCCTCCCCCCCCCCCCGATTGCAGGGGGTTGGACTGGATGACCTTCTATGTCGTCCCCCCCGGAAAAGAGACAAAAGGCTTGAGAGGACCCTGCCTGATCCCTCCAGTAGGAGGTGTCACCCCACTCTAGAATGTCTTCCACCTGGATCCTCAAACAGAAATTCACAATAAGACAAATTTCCACTGGGGTATGTACTATATACTAGGCATACACTAGTATATAGTAGAGGCCACTACAGATTTGGATGTGGGTTGAGAGAGGAAGGGTTGTATATGCACATTTTGGCTATCCATCAGCATGAAATCCAATTACAGTCTTAAAGCTAATGAACGACTTGACTCAGACTAGACGCTTTAGTACATTGGGATTTTGTTTCTGTAACTTAGTTGAGCTTTTATCATGCTTGCTGCATCATATCTTAAAGAGTTTGTTCTTTTGCTTATTTAGTTTTGATGATGTTTTGTCCATTGTTTTTGATGTGACTATCGCAATATAAATCGTAACAATGCATTTAAAGGGTTAGATGACTTTGTTGGGCAAGTAGCTTTAGTTATCAAACTTTTTAAGTAATTCGTTTTGTGATGTGGTTTAATCCTATGAAAGTATTGTCATGGGAAAAATATGGCATGTGTATATCAAAGTAAAAATTTGTTGCCCAACCTGTGTGTTTACTTACATATTTTTTTTAATTTAAAAAACAGTATATAATTGTGAGCAGCAAGAAAATACTATTCTATCACAATGAACAAGAGAAAGAACAATCAAATCCTTACATGGTGTTGGACATAGAGTAAGTATTGTTTTGTGACACTATTTTTTTGCTTCTATTTTACAGGATCTTTCCTATGGGTTATTGCATAGCTTTTGCTGTGTTTTTAAAATTCTTTCCTCCCTGATTTTTTGTAATGTTTTATACCTATGGGCCTAATTAGACCCCAAGGGTCCCAGTTTGGCCCATGAGATCATTTCTCCCAAATATTGCCCCTTAAAGTGCCCTCCTAGTTGTTCATTGACAAGGAAGGCTTCCTGTAGCTGCTGGTCAAGTGATTGGCAATAGAGCAGGCCTACAAGGGTTGGCTGGTTTACAGAGGTCCTTGGCTGCATGGTAGAGTTCCCCATGGGGAAGTCCATGGCACAACTGACCCCTGCCCAAAGCAGGGCTTGGTCACTGCCTATGGGCAGAAACTTCAAGCCCTGCCTGATTTGCTTTTTGCTTTGTATTGCAATTTGAACACCGTATTTTTCGCTCTATAACACGCATCCGACCATAACATGCACATAGTTTTTAGAGGAGGAAAACAAGGAAAAAAATATTCTAAACGAAACAGTGGATGTATGATTTTTGTGGTTCATGCTGTGGCCACAGACATGTGATCTGACGGTGAGTTTGAGGTAGCCCAATGCAAAAATCCTGAGGATCCATGTGGATCCATGCTTTGTAACCACGTTTTAAGTGGGGAGGGAAGGAAAAGCACTCAAGGGCCAAGGAACACGCGTGGGGTGGGTGGAGAAGGATGCTGTTAATAATGCCGAAGAGGGGTATAAGAGAAGCAAGCAGGCTCTGCTTCTCTCCCTCCTCCCCGCTCGCTGAAAAACTTTGCTGCTATTTAGCCAGCTGAGTGGGGAGGAGAGAGGGACAGAGAGCCTGCTTGCTTTAAAGGAGCCAACTGGACAGGAGCCGCTTACACTCGTGTAAGCGGCTCCTCTCCTCTCCCGCTTTGCTCCTTTAAAGCAAGCAGGCTCTCTGTCCCTCTCTCCTCCCCACTCAGCAGCTCTTCTCCCGCTTTGCTGTTTCAAAGCGAGCCACAGAGGAGGGAAGGAAGGGGAACCATGGATCCTCTGCTCACGACTGCAGCAGATTCCCCCCGCCATCCGTAGGCATTCGCTCCATAACACGCACAGACATTTCCCCTTACTTTCTAGGAGGAAAAAAGTGAGTGTTATGGTGCAAAAAATACGGTAACTACAAAGAAAAAATGGGTCACCTGACATCATTTTACTGTCAGGTGATAGAAAGATGGGCCAGACCAGACTTTTTAATAATTATAATGAAGAAATAATTAATAAAATTCTGTCCTCATGCCATCTAATCACAGAGATTTATTATGTAAATTTGTAATGGTCAAGACTTAACCGATCCTTTGTTCTAATTAAAGAGGGCATACATACAGTATGACATCCATTTCTTCTTATTTTGACTTGATTGCTGTTTGTTTAAAGAATACATAGGCAAAGAGTTTAAATATTACTTGGAGTAATATTTGTTTGCCAGTTTAAAAAATGTACTGATTGTAGAATTTGTACTACTAAGTCTTTAAAATACTGTATTATTAACACAGGTGCATCTTAATTTTAAATTATTATTTCATGTCCAAACTGAACTCTGCTGAAGGGAGAGCTTCCATAGACTTTCATAGATTAGTATTGTTTACATTACTGTTTCCTATCTCACTTACATTTCTGCTAACTTTCTGCATGTGTGCTTCTACAGCAAATTGTTCCATGTTCGGCCTGTCACACAAACAGATGTATACAGAGCAGATGCCAAAGATATCCCTAGGATATTCCAGGTATGCCTTTTAAAAATTATGAACAACAAAGGGGGGAGAGGGTAGTAGAAGATATCATGCATTCCTTAAATAGTCTGAATACACCTGACATGGTATGGTTTCACTTGAAATATATTCTGAAGTGTAACCAAATAAAGGGATTGGGAGTTGCTATTTTTCTTCAACTGTGGAGTTGGATGGCAGAAAAGTTAAGTCTTGTATTACTAAATGGGTGGAGATCAGAGTGCCCCACAAGAGGCTCCTTTCTGTAATTTCATTCCCGTTTATGTATCTCTGGGCTGGTTCAGGTGAGCTCCCAAGTTGGAAAGGGGAGTATGTCTACCTCAACAGGATGCTTTCATGGAAGAGAGGATCAGGAAGGTGATTTTCACCCAGTCGTCCTTGTACCCTGCCCCCCTTGAAATGCTTCTCTGGAGGGTTTGGGACCTTCCAGAATCCAGCATGCCTCCCTCCAGTGAGAGCTTCTGCTGGATCTCAGTCCCTTCTTCTTGTAGAGGCAGGCACTCCTGTTTGCGGAAGGAACACTCTGCATTCAGCCCATCACATCCACCATGTGGATAATAGACGGGATGCTTCAAACTGTGCAGCCCATCTGACATCATTTCACTTTCTTTTTCATTGTTTTTTGCTGTCTTTGTTTGTGCTGCAGTTCAACCAATTTTCCCCCTTTGTAAAACATGGCTTATGTGTACCAAGTATTACTGATACAGTTCTTTCCATTTTTGATTCCAGATCCTGTATGATAATGAAGGAGAAAGCAAAAAGGAGCAAGAATTTCCTGTGGATTCCGCAGGGGAGAAGTCAAACTATATTTGCCACAAAGGCCATGAATTTATACCAACACTCTATCATTTCCCAACAAATTGTGAGGCATGCATGAAGCCATTATGGCACATGTTCAAGCCTCCTGCTGCTTTGGAATGCCGCCGCTGCCACATTAAATGTCATAAGGATCACATGGATAAAAAGGAAGAGATTATTGCACCTTGCAAAGGTACCTAGCAAGACTATAGTATAAAATGGATTGGTCTGTTAGAAGAGTCAGATGCAACTCTTCTGTCTTGTGAAATGCTAACAAGGTTGCTTATAAAAGTGAGTTTAGTCAGCTTTATGCATTTGGGATGTGTGGATGGTTTGTGACCTGGTTCACATACAACTCTAAGCTATGGTCTGTTTAACAAATAACAGATGAGCATACAAACCATGGCTTGTTTCTTCAAAGTTCAGTTTGTTTTCTAGTTGTTCTTGTCTCGTGTCTTTTGCAGCTTAGTGAGCAACCAGGGTGAGAAGACCAAAAAACCATGGTTTAAAGAAGAGTGCTAGGTTTTCACCTAACACTGAAACCATAGTTAAAACAAATCAAGGTTTGTAAATGAACAACAAACCATGAGCTCAGGTTATGATTTGTTGATACTAAACAAATCATAGTAAGTGGCTAGGGAGGGTTCAGAAGATCAAAGGAATCATGGTTATTCTTATTCTTATTAAATTATCTTACTAAACTGGCTTAGCATTGTGTATAAACCAAGTTTCTCTGTAATTTTTAACTGTTTGTGTCTTTCACAACTCAAACCCTTTTGCTTCTGAAATATAATTGAGAGAAAAGGATGTGTTGTGATGTTCTGAATACATGGATAAATGCTAACATGACTTCTGTGCCCCTTGGCTTTAAAACTTTGTCTTCAAGGAATCAAGCAAGGTGCCCTATGTGTTTGGACTTGTTCTAGACAGAACTTTAGCTCTGTCCGCTCATTTGACCACTGCTCAACAAAGCTTTTCATCTTTTTAGAGTTAAACCAAAGTTGAGTCTCCTGATTTCAGCAGGGGAGTTGAGGATCTTAAGTACGGTACATATGTATGTATTCTGATTTTGCTGATTTTATTGTGTTTCAGTAAATTATGATATTTCAACCGCAAAGAATCTACTACTGTTAGCCAGTTCCACAGTGGAACAGAAGAAATGGGTGAGCCGCCTAGGGAAAAAGATTCCCAAAAAGGCTCCAGCACCAGATCCGTTTGCACGATCATCACCAAGAACTTCCATGAAAATACAGCCAAACCAATCATTAAGACGGCCAATTAAACCAATCCAGCTCTCCCCTCCGAGCGAAAAGAAAGATTTTCCTACCAGGTAAAGAGTGGCATGTGGGAAATTGTTAATATCCTTGGTTTTCCCTTCTTGCTTTTTAGATTACTACACTGGACACTTCACATAAGACAATTTTAGTTTTTTCTTTGACTGTCTCTAAAGCACGACATCCTGGCAGCATTTTACTACTTCACCCACAATTTATTTAGCTTCTTGTAGAGTATGGGAAATAAATTGATGTAAACAATAACAGGCACTTCCTTAACATTTAAATGATTTTGTATTGGTTTACACTGCTATTTTATCTTTTATTCCATATTTCATTACAGCATTGATTTGCAGAAAAATAAAAAGTCATTTAATGATAAATAAATATTGTTTTGTTAGAATGGCATGAAATGCAGTGTTTGTGCATTTCATGCTCAGCCTTGTTTGTCAGCTGTGCCCTATATAAAATAACATTTCAGTTTTATGGTGAATATTCATGTCAAAAAGGCTATTGAAATGCCAAATATAAAATGTACAATAGCTGCTGTAATCCAGTCTAGATAAAGTTAGCTACTATCCGTGCAGCTCATAAATCCATTGTGTGTGTGTGTTAAGTCTGGCTTTCTTGATCAGGGCCCATAGTTTTTACTTAAAGCCCAGGTTTTAAGGTGAATATTGTTCACCCAATTGTTACGTTGTGTCAGAATACTACTAATCCACTCTTAGGAGGGGAAAGCACCACATGACATACTCCAGGATGTGTGTGCAATTCTTGAGATCAAAGCTATGCTTTGTTAGTTGCATATTCTTTATTGATGAGACAGGGCTAAGAAAGCACACAGGAATGGTGTATATGGATTCTAGACTGCAGCCAATATGTCACCATTACTGCATCAGGAGAAAGTTGCACTAATTGCCATATTAAGAATTGTTTTTAGTGGACTGTGGCTCATAAACTTTAAAACCTCATTTTACAGATTAATTGATGTGGCATGTAGAGACTGGGATTGGTCATTTGATGATATTGATTTTGATATTGATTTTAATATTGATGATGCTGGGAACGATAACGATCTTGATGATAGCGATGATGATGATAACGATGTGTTTGTTCTGAAGAGGTAAATGGGTGACTATCTGCAGGAGAATGGATTGGCTTTCTTAAAACAAAGCATGCTGTTTGGATTTCTCTCAGCAGTCAAAGTGTGCCAGCTTAAAAACTCCCAAAAGCAATTTTACGACAAATGCAAAAAATATTCAACGATGCATGCATCTAACTTCTGAAGTATTTTGAAAATGTAGTTCTCAAAACCCACATGGCCATCTGTGTTGTAAGATGCTCTTCAACTGTGTATTACTAACTTTCTGCAAAAAACATTTTTTTATTTTAAAAAATGTATGTTTAAGTTTTTTATATGTTGCTCCAGGCTCAAATGTGGGCAGCAACATATATATGTTTTGAAGTGTGGTGCAGCTTTTATTTTAGCTGATGACTTGCATACGTATTGCATTCTTTGGTAGTGCTGTGAGAACTTGATATGCTTTTTTTGCATCGGTGTGCCATTTTTATTTTTATAACAGCTCATTCGTGATAGAAGGGACCAAACCTCGGTACAAGAAGCTAGCATAGAGCAAGCATAGAGCAAGCCCCAGCGTGAGTTAAGGTAGCGTAAAGTGCTGGCCAAGCTGCCCCAAGCCTTGCAGAGGGAAAACAAGCCTTTAAAATACTGTTTGGGTTGCATCACCCTTTTTGCTGGCCAAACCTATGCTGGCTTCTAAGATCATGTGACCAAGCTGGAGAGTTTTATGATCTAGCCAAAGTACCCCCTCTCTGGTCCTGCTGCCATATGCCCGTGGGACAACACCCCCCCCCCAATTTCAGGGTTTACACCTGTTTTCCGGTCAACCAGACTTGGCTTAGCTGGCTGGGTCCCAGCTGAGCCAAGAAGAGAGACATACGCTAACTTATTTCTGACCAAGACACATATGAAGAAGTTAAGCTGGCATACCTTGGCTTCATCCAGAACCTCCTGGCTCAGTTGGATACCCACACTCATCCCAGCAGATCTCGCTATAGGATTGCTCTCTAAGTTGCTTTGTATTGGAGCACCCATGTTGGAAACTCTTTCCCCAAAGCAAATATGGCCATCCCTGAGGAGGATGTTGGAACACTCCTCCACCCTGGTCAGCCAAGAAATGCTAAGACTTTCAACCCAGAGTTTCTTTTTGGTGAAATACCTGTATTTTTCTTTACTTTAGTAGTTTTTTAAATACGAAAATAGGAACTGCTAAAAGCAAAAAAGACACACCCTCCCCACAACTCAGCAGCTGCATTCACATTGGAAGCAAAATGGGGCTCAAAACTAAGAGATACAGAAGTCTCGTCTTGAACCCTTTAAGGGGGTAATGGTGGTCAAAATCACCTTAAAACCAGGAAGAGGAGGGCTGTGTATGCCTGCTGCCCTTGAGCTGTTTGGAAAACTTATTTTGCCTGGTGCCCACTGCTGTTTGTTTAAAGGGAAGAAAGAAACAAAGAGTCTTCATCCTTCTTCTAAGACAGGAAGGGAACAGGAGATCAAACAGATGTCCTATCAAACGATTTCAAAGCAGGTTGGAAGACACCCTTGACTTGTTAGGCTGTCCCAGGCTGGTGGGAGGCCCAGCAATTTCCCAATGCTGCTTTTGGCTTGGATCTTGTTTGGGAGCCTGCAGGCCATAGAATTAATTTCACTGTTTTCAAATATGTTTTCTAGATTTTACTGACCAGATCCATTTTTTATTCTTTTTCAGCTAACTGCCTCCTATGAATATTATCACTATTGGAGTCGATAAGACTGAACCATCATATTCCTGGGGTTACGAATATATATATATAGGTGTTTCTGAAAGACAGTTCAAGTATAAATAGATAAGAAGTTTACAGAGGTGTGTGTGTGTTTTGCTGCAATACAACATACTAATAATTCCTGTGTTGTTTTTTTAATGTAATCCCTCTGGATGACTGAGCAAGTTAGGAATGGTTGGTGAATAGTACAAGGATACTCTCAGATTCTGTTCTACAAATTCTTTCTGGGAAAGACTCGCACTACATGTCACAAGAGGAATAAAAGGAGTGGGGAAACGTAATGAACCCATCTCTTGGTCAGTTTTTTTTATAGAGAAATGCAACCAGCAATTTTGCCAGAAAAAAGGGCGATAAGGAGGGTCTGACACACTGATGAAGACAGCATCTTAAAGAAGTGACCATTATACTGTGTGTGTATGTGTTTTGGTGTGTAAATATGTATATTGTACTGTAATGCTGCAAGAGGGTTAAAAAAAAACTTTCCACTTTATTTTTTATACATATTATTCATATACCATTACCTGCAGTTGCAACTATGCACATGTATAAAGCCATACTGTTGAATTTTGCCATTCATTATCTGTATATCAAAGGCTGCATGTCTGTGTTCAGCAGCGACATATAATAATAACTTCCAAGTATATATCCAGTTACTACTTAATGGGCAGTCCTCTTTTACCAGTCTTGAATGCCTTAAATTAATGTCATTTCCTTAAAGTCTGTGCCCATTCTAGATATTTAAGAGAGATAAAGGATGCAGAGGTTTGCCAGCTCTTAGGATGCAATTTTGCTTTGTGGCAGAACAATATAGTGCACTATGTTTACAATATAATAGTTTATATCAATGTCAGTCTATTCTGAATGTATATCTAAATAGGGAGGGGAGGGGAGGGGAGGGGAGGGAGGGGTCAGTTGAGTAATGGTTTCAAAAACAATGATCTGGTAGTATTAGAACTAATATATAGCTTTCATGCTTAGGCATAACTTCCCATCCACCCTTTGTACAAACCTCAGTATTAGTCATTGGTTTTATATTACCCTTACTAAGTGCTGCAAAACATCATTCTGCCTTTGTTTGTTTTTTGCATACTATCTATTTTTACATTTTCACCACACAATATCTAAGGACTGTCACCAATCCTTAACGATTGAAACATACTGTAGATGTATTTTAAACTTCTTGAATCCTGTTCTCTTAGCACATAGCATTTGGAATAGGAAAATAATTTCAGTTGTGTGTTTTTGAGAACATATGCGAGGAAAGGGCCTTAGAGGCACTTAATCAGATTTTTTTAATAAAAAAATTTGATTTTGTACAAAATATAATTTATGTGAGATTTTTAATGCCGTGTCCATAATTTATCCAGAAAAATGCATGTTTTATACAACTACAGTATGCTATAATGTTAAAACATGATGGCAGTAAAAAAAAAGGAAAAGAAAAAAGAACTATTGTAGCCTCCTCCTTGGTCTCTCTCTCTTTTTTTTCATATGTTTACATATATTTGCATATATATGTTGTGTGCTAGTGCTAATGAAATACAGAATTAACATTTGAATGAAGGAAATGAGACATTTCACTAGGTTGTTTTCCTTAGTAGATATTTGAAAGGAGAGAACCAAGATTTATTTAACATCTCAACCAAAAAAATTGGATTTCCACCCAATAGACACCCATAAGGTACAATTCACCAAACAGGACCCCACTCCCCTTTAGTTTTCAGTTGCTTCAGGAGGGCTTGTGCAGTAGAATGCAGTAAGTTTGAGCTCACTACAAACTGGGATCTTCTCTCATTCAAACCCCCTTGAAATAAGAAAGAATTTGTTTTACTGAGTCACGCATGGAAAGAAGATCCACTGGCATGGGCCTATAAGTACATCTTTCCACTAAACCACTGTGACTCACCAACCATATATTCAGTTATACTGTTTATACACACACTAGGTATGAGAAGCTGTGCATCCCATAATTTAAAATATACCTTTATCATTTCAGTTATCTTTAAGCCCCAATGGCACAGCAGGAGTTTATCATTTTACCTGCTTGTTTTGAATAGTGAGAGTATAGCATATTTTTAAAAATGCATATTTTGCATACAAAACTTATTTTTAAAACATGTATACAATAAAAATTGTTTCCATTCACTGAAGGCATACATATTTTATATAAAATTGTTATTTGTGGGAAGTTCTGAATTGGAAGAAATATATATATATTTTTAAATAAACTATTTGAGTAAGACTAAATAATTCCTGATGTTGGTAAGTTGATTTTTATAAATTGAAGTATGCAAATGGAACATCTTGCATAGAAATGTTATTTTAGAATTCTGAAGGACAAAATGTTGCTTACATACATTTATAGGGAAATGCACTTTTAACAGTTCTCGGAATCAGCTAACCAATGCTGGACAAAATGTTCCCTGTGTTTAAAAGTAGCTTTGTGTAACACCTTTTGAAAGATCAGATGATGTTCTGTGCCTGATTAAAAGGAGAGTGAAGCATTAATTCACGTCCTTTCCAGAGAATAGCATAAGCACTGAAGCTTGGCAGAAGAATAGCAGGTACATTCAGGACTTGTGTTTGTATGAGCCAATCTGTCAGAAGATAATGGGACATCCAAAGGTTGAAGGGACAGCTATCAAATTTGACCACTGAGGAAAGGGTGGTGGTGGTGAGAAGGGGAGGCCATGTCCTATTTCCTCATGAGCAAGAGATCAAATCAGTTCCCTAAAACAGCATTGGACAACAATTCTGTTGCATATTTTGTTGGAAGTAAACCCCATTGAGCACAATGGAGCTTTGGTCTTAGTAAACATTGGCAGGATTGTTCTGTTTGTCTCTTGCCTATGTAGACCATCCTTTGTCACCATCACGTTTTGGATCTGACTAATTCACAGGGACTCACTCTTAGGTAAGGAAAATGGGTGGACCCAGGACCAGCTTCCTCTTGGCAGAAGATGGTAGTTGGAAATCAGTCTCAGACTCTTAACAGTGGGATCATATTCTTAAATCCAATTTCCCAAAGCTGCCTATGGTACCAGAGTCCCCTGAATGGATGCATTTTTTAAGAGAAAGACCATTGGATTTTCCAAATTTTTAAATACTTCATTGGTTAAGGTGAGGTCAGGCCAGTCCAGGCCAGAGATTTCCCATTCCTGGTTTAGAGATGCAGTATCTGTCCAATAGTTCTGGAGAAAAAGCCACAAATTGAGCAAGTCATTGGAAATTTCCAGGCAAGTTTGGCAGAAATAGATTGATGTTCATATAGGAAGGTACCTGGCAATACCTTCCTTAAGAGCCCCTGCTACCCAAGGCCCATCATCCAGTAGCCACAGGAAGTCTGCCAACTCATCTGTCTGCCGCCTTCACACAATGCATAATTTCATATGCCACTGGTGTCCCCCTCTGCTTGGTTTTCTCCAAACTAAAAGGTAGTTTGTCATGCAGTTGATAACAGCCATATATGCTCCTAGCTTGTAGTTTTCTGTATCCCGCTGTTCTGAGAACAGGCTGCTGCTTAAGACGCAACTTCCACATTGTACCTGGTTCAAGGGAGTAAACATTGGCACTACTAGGTTTTGCACTTGAACTAGCTGGAAATGTGGCATGAGGTACTGAAGTATCTTCAGAACAAGAATGACCAGCTCCAGATATTGCTGGACTCCCAACTCGTATCATCCCCATTGGCCATGCTAGTTAGGAATTGATGAGAGCTGGGAATTCTCTTAATATCCAGAGTGGCTTGTTTGCTACACCAATCCAGGAGGATTCCGTGCCTGTATAATTGGGAAAACCCTTTGAGGCAAATTGACAAGTCATTGATAATGTATGCATTTTGGACTGGATCATGCAAGCATGCATTGGTTTTATGATTGCTTTGGTTCTTTAATTTGCACTACTTGGCAACAGCCCCCATCCACATACCAGCTTGTAGTAAGTCTTCTCTCTTCACGTTAAACACTGTAAAGCTTTCCACACAATGGGAATTCCTAGGTAGCATTTACCCCATAACGCAGTGCAGGGCACTTTGCCAAGGAATGACACCTTGAAATACCGTCTTCTACCTTGGTGCTATGGTCTAAACCACAGAGCCTAGGGCTTGCCGATTGGAAGGTCGGCAGTTCAAATCCCCAAGACGGGGTGAGTTCCCATTGTTCGGTCCCAGCTCCTGCCCACGAAACAGTTTGAAAGCACGTCAAAGTGCAAGTAGATAAATAGGTACCACTCCAGCGGGAAGGTAAACGGTGTTTCCGTGCGCTGCTCTGGTTCACCAGAAGTGGCTTAGTCATACTGGCCACATGACCCGTAAGCTGTCTGGAAAGGACAAACGCCAGCTCCCTCAGCCTATAGAGCGAGATGAGCGCACAACCCCAGAGTCATCTGTGACTGGACCTAACTATCTGGTACCTTTACCTTTGTGCTAAGACTAAATTGATGTTACTCATTCCTCGGTAATGTACAACTGCTACAGCAGATAAAGCCATAGAAGGTTTATTTTCCCCAAGCATAGATTTAAACCATGTAAGAAGCATTGTGTTTTAATATAAAGCTTTTATTGACTTAAAATAGGTTCTAATCTTACAAAGTTTTCATGGCTTGGCTTGCTCAAAAAGGTGTATAGATTTGCATTGTACAGATTCAGCTCAAAACACCATTTTTGCCTTTTCCTTGCTCCACAGGGAAGTAGACAATGGCTGCTTGCTTTCACATATTTGGAAGCATTTCCGAAAGTGCCTTTCAAAATAAAGGATTGTATATTTATGCTTTCTGAACTGTGACAAAGCATTGCCGCTCTTTTCTACCTGTCCTTCAAAAATGCCACTGAATCCTAGGTAGCCAGCCTAAGCAGCTGTTTTTCCCAGCTTAGGCAAGTTTATAATTGGGGTTTATATTCCTGGAGTTTAATGTGTATTTCAACCAAAACAAACCCATTCTTGCAGTTATTTTGGAAATGCTTACAGCATTTATGTAGGCTGTTGTTTCTTTTACAGGCACCCATTAGATATTGAGAACCAGCTAACCAATAGGAAGTTGGGGTCAATAAGACCCCAATCCAAAGAAACTTAGCTATTCTAAACTATTATTGCAGTCCATGAAACTTGAGAACCAACTTACTATGCAGCAGGCAGGACCAATAGGTTTACTGAGCAAGTAGAGGAGTTAAGAGTCCAGTTGTGTGTGAGAAAGAAACAGAAGCTTCGGCTATAAAACCAAGTTTTATGGTAAGGGGCTGATGCAAGAGCAACTTATACATTTAAGGGTGCTACAACCTCATACCCTGGAACAATGCTTGTATCATACATAACTAGAATTTGACAAAAAGGGACACCACAGCTGCATTTAAGTTGGGCAACAGATATTTGATGGGAGAGTGAGAGGCATAAGAAGTTGCTTTAGTATTTCAATAATTGTATATGGGCACACATTCAGCAATCCATTAAAATTTTCTTATAAAATACATCAAAGTGTATGCATGCCAACAAATATCAAAACTTTTATGGAATTCATAGTGGCAACTTCCTTTAGTATGTGAAACATCAGCAGTTTCCCATTAAATGGATTGCTGATTTACTAAAGCTTGGTGATAACTTTGGTCCTAATTTACCGTCTCATATATTGGTTTCATTCTTTCTTTCGGTCCAGACCACTCAAAATAGACACAACGTCATCTTAATCACTCTTCTTTGCTGGCTTCCTGTACTGCAGTATAGTTGCTGTGACCCATATATTCAGAGCCATCATGACTATGAAACGGACCAAAACTGTGGGAGGGGGGAAGTGTTTAGTTAAAAATTGCTTTGTTTTTCTCCATTTTACTGTAACTTAATTTACTATATTTAACATATTTCTAATTAGTCTCTCGTAGGATACACACTCTCGATACAGGTTACGATCGATCAGTAGAAGACAACATTAACATTCTACGATTTATAGCAGTAAAAACTGTCAGTATTAAAAACAGTTACAGAAAACAGTTCTAAAAACAACAACAACACACAATATTTTTTAAAGCCCCAAAGCATTTTCTTAAAGGTCTGTGCCATACAATTTTCCCTGTAGAGGGCATTCCAGAAATAAAGAGCCACCATGGAGAAGGCCCTGTCCTTGATGCTAACCTAACCACTTTTACTTGCGGACCAGAGCGCAAGGCTTTGAATGCTAATTCTTCAATCCTGGGAAATGGTAGTCTTTCATATAGCCTGGCCCCAAAGCATTTAAGGGCAGGTGTGGCTAATACATGGCCTTCTCGAAGCTGCTGAATTACGACTCCCATCATTACCCTGACCACGGGCCATACAGGCTGGGATTGATGCGGGTTTTAATTCAGCAACATAGGTCTGCAGGTTAACTACCCCCGCTTTAAGGTTTTAAAAGGCCAATATTTGAGCCCAGAAGCTAAAAGAAACTTCCAGGTATAATCACAGCTATGCCAAGCTGACCTCACAGTAGCTACTGAAATACCTGACAACTGTGTTAATTTGCATGCATCCCACAAGGCAAAATTCACACACGGAAGGCGACTTCTGTCTACAGATCCCCTTAACTGCAACATAATGCGCAGTGCCGGTTGTGAGATGCACTGCTGGATGCAAAGCACACGGTTGCCATCCACGCCTGCAAAGTGGCAGATTGATTGGAATGTACATTTCCACCTGCCTTGTCAATATCAATATTGAAAGTACAATATTAATATAAATCACTTGAATTGCAGAATTTATATGCAGAGGATTTTAAGTCAAATTCCCACAGTAGATGCTTCTAATCCTTTCGTTTAAAATGCAAAGAACAGGTCTGAAGAGACTGACTTGTCGAAAACAATTCAAGCATTTCCCCCTAAAGAGATACAGCATAAATCAGATATTTGCAAGAGTCTGTGTCCCCCCCCCCAAAAAAAAAACCATGTCTTTGCTTTATTATATGCCAGTGAAACAAAAATTATGTAACCAGGTAGCATAAAACCATCTGTACTACTGCTATTGATGGAAATGTGTCAGTGTATTTGCTGACCAGTTAAGGACCCCTTATTTTATTGTTCTCAGCGAAACAAATTTTAAATTGACACACACACAAATCACCCGGCATTACAATATTACCTGTAACATCCTTTGTTGTCATTACTGTTGTAAATATTCTGGCTGCAATTGAAAGAGAGCATATTGGCACACTTTAAACAGGCAAAAGGGGAGAGTCGTCAAGCAAATATACTGGCCTTTTGAAACCTGTGGTTTCCCCAAGATAAGTGAAATGGCTCAGTTTAGAACCACTTTTACCCCCTACGCAAGATGTTTCGCTGATAATTCTGCATTCCTCTGATGTTTCTCCTTCCATGTGCGATTCAAAATTTTGTTTCAGATTAAAACTGCAAGCAAATCCAGCCCGTTTAAGTAAACTTTGTTCACTGTGTGTAGTTTCTACACCACTACCAGCAGAATTTCCAGTGCAGACGGCACTCACAGTACAGATGGCGCCCACAACTTCCATTCATTTTCTCTCTGTATAAGGATATAAGGAACCGTCTCCAAAATGTTATTAGGCCGACAAACTTTTAATTTCCCTTGGAATTCCTTTGAGCAGGAAACTCAGAAGTTTGCATTACACAATTTTTGGAGGCAATTCTATTTCAGGCATGAGCTGCTCCCATCAAAACAAGGATGTGTGTTTTCGGGGATGCAGGGACTAAAGCGGGAGTTTGCACAGGGTAATTTGCATTAGAAAATGTTCTGATGCTGGAATCCTTGTTTTATTTGTATTCAGTAAACAAAGCTAAAAGTTTGAGAAGCTGCTTACTTGCACAGGTATATGTGGCTAGACTCCAAGTCGTGGCACTCACTTGCCCAGAATCTCTCGTCCGCCAAAGGTATCGAAGCTGCACAAGTTTACTTGCAGCGCTGATTACAGTGCTTAAGTTCTGCAGGGAAGAAAAAGGGATAGAGTGGGAAGTAGTGGGTGTGGTGGAAAACTGCCCCAATTCAGGATAAATCAGCTGCTTTGGAGAGTTTTGAGCTGAGATTTAAATCTACTCTGAACTTCTTCTGAAGACTTGACAGCTCAATCGCAACCACGTCTACTCAGAAGTAAGTTGTACTGAATTCAGTGGTGCTAACTCCCAGGCAAATGGGGCTAGGATTGCAAACCTAGGAGTGAATATTTTGCTTAATCCCAAACATTTAAAATACAAACATAGTCAATCTCAGCCCCTCTCCAATCTTGTGAAGTCTACCTATAACTTTGTAGTAGTACAGATTCAGCTCTCTTTATTTAAAATCAAAAATTGTAATTTAGGAAAGCCAGCTGCAATCTGAATGGCTCTTTCAACACTCATAGAGGCAAGAAATGGAATAAAGAATTTGTTTAAAAGGCTTGGCTCAGCAAATGTTTCACTTGTCATAGACCACTTAAGCTCCTCCTCGTTTTCCATAAGCAGCAGGAGAATGAGCCTATGAGTGATTTTCAGGAGTAAGAAACGCTGCAGCAATGCCCAGCAATTGGGGAGAAGTATCTGACGCTGGTGGCGCTGTGGGTTAAACCACAGAGCCTAGGACTTGCCGATCAGAAGGTTGGCGATTCGAATCCCTGCGACGGGGTGAGCTCCTGTTGCTCGGTCCCAGCTCCTGCCAACCTAGCAGTTTGAAAGCACGTTAAAGTGCAAGTAGATAAATAGGTACCGCTCTGGTGGGAAGGTAAACGGCGTTTCCATGCACTTCTCTGGTTCGCCAGAAGCGGCTTACTCATGCTGGCCACATGACCCGGAAGCTGTACGCCGGCTCCCTCGGCCAATAAAGCGAGATGAGTGCCGCAACCCCAGAGTCGTCCGCAACTGGACCTAACAGTCAGGGGTCCCTTTACCTTTCTGACTCATGGGAGGCCTATTCTCTAGTAAGCACACACACTTTTAATTCCACACTCCTTGGGGCTCAGTTTAAAACACTAGTCCTCAGGTGACCACAGGAAGAGTAGTTAATTTTAACAAGAAATATGCATAAATGTTTTATAATATACCATATTTTCCCATTTAGGTTTTTTCCCTAAAAAATAATGTCAAAAATTAAGGGACATCTTATATATGGATATTGCTGAGGGTGGACTGTGTATTTTTGAGTCCCCCAAAATAGGGGGCATCTTATACATGGGGAAGTCTTATAGACGGAAAAATACGGTATATCTTAATCCAGGTGAAGGGGGGGGGGGAGAGAAGATAATGGTGCATTCAACAGCCAGGTCACTGGGTTCTGGCTTTCCAATCCACCACCTTCCCACAGTACACATGAAAACTTTACACCAAGAACTGGAACCATTCAACAATTGTTTCCCAAATTTGGGGTCTGTTTTCAGACTACAATTCCCATCATCCCTGACCACTGGTCTTGCTAGCTAGGGATGATGGGAGTTGTAGTCCAAAAACAGCTGGAGACCCAAGTTTGGGAAACACTGCATTAAACAAGAGAGACTTTGCTGAGCTTGATGTGCATGCCAAGCTTATGACTCAACTGGCCCATGAGAAGCTTGTGGGCTGGCAGCAAGAAATTCAAATCTACTTTGCCCCTCCCTGTTCTTTTTACTTCCTGCCACACTGAGCTGTGCCATGCTTTGGCTTAGTGTGTCTTCCGAACCTGGGCTTATGTTCCAGCTCTTTCCTTGCTAACCATGAACTGTAGCCACTGTTTATTATTCAGCGTGTGGTTAACAAGGAAAGAGCTTAACCAACCTGGGTTAGCTCAGTGTGGTGCAGAATTTTAAAAAGTCAAAAGTGGCTGCAAGCTTTCCTCTGGAAGCCTGCGCATTCACGCAATCTGGGTGAGCCAAAGTTTGGCTTACCGTGCTGTGCAAACCAGGCAATAGGCGCGTTCCTTCCAACTACTTACCATAGCCAGGTCCACTATCCATTTCTGCAGGGTTAGCATGTACCATCCTGCCACAAATCTAATCTTGAGGTTAAGTTGCATAAGGATGATGGCAATCAGGTGGACACTTGGTAGTTCATTGGGTTAAATGCATTTATACCCTGTCTTTCCGGGTCAAGAAATGTAGCTTCTCAAGGTAGCTTAAGGAATGAATTAAAAGCCAATTAAGGAATTACTAAATTGCAAAGGTAGCTTGTAAAAATCACCACATAGGGTTTCTAGCCCCAAGGCTGTAAATTGTGTGATTGGATACACCACTCAGGCAGCCATCTTGTGAGCTACGCCTCCCAGGCAGCCATTTTGCTCTGGTCCCCAAAACACACTCAAAATTCCAAATGTGCCCATAAGCCCAAAAAGGATGAAGATCATGCTGTAAAAGATAGGCAATGCCTCATCATGCCAGAACCCAGAAGGGAATTTGGACAGGGTGCTCATTTGAGGGGATGGGGTTAAATTACCCCTTGTCCCTGACAATAAATTAAGCAAAATAAGCAAATTATGAAAATATTCTTATGTGCAATTTATACAGGTTGCTCTACCCTGGTACAGAGTTTTGATTTTAATTATAAGCACGGCACATAAGCTAAAAATAAAAGAATCCCAGGAGTTAAAAGAAAGGCTGTTCATGCTGGCCCTGAACTTTTCCCACAAAGTCCTTATATTCCATTACAGTGAATCAATTGCAAATGCCGCACCTTAATCCACCAGAAAACACCTGAATAAGAACCTGGAAAATGTGCACATCAGGAATGTGTGCTGGAAAACAGTTGCTTCATTCAAGAAGATGGAATACAAAAAGAACCGGCAGAAATGCTATATAAATGGAAATGAGCAAACAGATAGTTAAAAGGATACATGGCTGTGTAAGGCAAAGCATGCTTCATTTTGCCACCGTAATGAAGAACAAATAGCAAAAGAATGACATCTGAAACACAACAAACGAAAACGTTGATCGTGAGCGAGAGAAACAAATGATGCTGCAATATTGGTGGGTGGGAGCAATGTACTACCTTGCACAATGATGATAGGATATTCTATATACGTCGGCAGAGGATAATTGTAGTAACTCATATACCGCAGGCATACGAGGAAGCTGAAAGGGAAAGGTACAATTTCACTTTGCACCTTAACCACTCATGATCTCCTAAATCCACCTCTGATAGGGGTCAGTTACAGAGGGCAAGACATGACTTAGCCCTTAATAACACAGGGCATGAATAAACCTAGTAATATCTGTGGGTTACGAAGCACAACTGCACTGGAGCACAGAAGGGCTGCGTGGTACAAGCTATACCTTTAAAGCACATTCGTTCCCTCAAAGAATTCTGGGCACTGTAGTCCAACCTTCAGAGTTCTATTTCCCAGCAACCCTGAAACTACAGCGCCCAGAATTCTTTGAGAAGAAGAATGTTTCGCATGTGGTTAATAGGTACAGTGTGTACACACACACAGCTAATGATTTATTATTGCTGTTTTTGCTTTCTGTGTTTTATTAGCAGGGCTGTGGTTGTAAAGTCCACAGCACGGGAATAAGGTGACTATTCTGTGCAAAACAACCTTAGAAGTACCCACCCAACCTTAAAAGAAGAGATTTAATAAAACAGACCATATCTTTTAAATACCGTACATAAAATACATACATTAGGGCTTGTGGGAAAATCAAACCTTCCGCTCCAGGGAGCTCAACCCATTCTGCATAGAAGAAGCTACCTGGAGCCAGTCTGCGATACAGGGAATGAAATCTGCATATGCTCAACGATACTACTTGTTACTTCATTTATTTATTTTTTCAAAGTTGCCCAAAGAAGGGAAAAGAAAAGAAAAGAAAAGCCGTTTGGGGGCCATCATGCAAATTAAAGCTATGTTTACGTCTTTTGAAAACAGGAGCCAAGGCTCACATTTCTCTTCCGTTTTCAAAAACGGGCTCAGCCCTGGAACTTTTGAATCATCTGGTAGGAGGCAGGCCACACATGATACAGCAATCATAGAATTGTGGAGTTGGAAGGGTTCCCCAACGGTCATCTAGTCTCACCCCGTGAAATCCAAGAATGCAGTTGAGTAATCCTGAGAGCAGACAGCGCCTGAAGGCGAGACCCGCCCGGGAACCCGACCTATGCCAACTTGAGTTGAAAGCAGCTCAGGAAATGAAAACATAACGGGGAGTGCCTTGCCTCTGGGCGTGTTCAGAGTGCTTTCCCCCTCCCAACACTAAGTTGGGAAAGACCTCGCGTGCTTTGGCGCCAGGAAACTCTCAAGAAAGAAACGGGAGTTCTCCCTCCTCCGAAACCCAAGAGAAAAACGAAGCCCAGAATTTAAAAAGATCCCTTTACTTGCCCACTCAGCTCCAGCACCAAACTTTCCAGGCTGACTCCCCGGGCGGACTTGGCAGCCAGCAAGGCGGCTCCCTGCGGCACTTTGAGCACCCCGCAAACCAGGATCGTGCTCCAGTTGGCCACGTCCAGCAGCAGCGACTCCGGCCCCATGGCGATGCCCCCTTTCCTCCGCCCCAAAAGATGCTGCTGATGCAGCAGCCCCGGCCGCCTGCTCGTCTCCCTCCTGCTTCCGCCGCCCTGGAGCGAGGGGAGGAAAACGCCCAGTGGGAGGAGAGATGGGGGGAAAGGCGGCGCGCTCTGGGCGCCTGTTTCTCCGCTTGCATGGCGCGCGCGGACTGCAAAAAGGTATTATGGTTATTCCTCTCACGCACACTCACACCCCTTTCCCCCTCACTCTTATTACTAGTGGTAGTTGTTGTACTGATAGTAGTGCAGTAGTAGTGTATCTACCCCTCCCCCCGAGAGCTAGTTTTTGTTTTTAATGATTTCTGGCGAGGGCGCAGATGGAAACGAAAAATCCTATTCCGAGATTCAAAGGCCGCGCCCACAATAGGAGAGGAGGGGGGGAAGCTTCACGAGTTAACTCCTTCGCATCGCCCTGCCACAAAAAAGCAGGCTTGGCAAAACCCAGTGAGTTTTATTTTTTTTAAAAGTCCATTTTGTTGTTGTTGTTTTAATGAGGTGCCCGTGCTTGATCAAAGCGCCGTGCGTGGCGGCGGAAAATGGTTGCAAAAGAAAAGAGGTTCGTTCTTCGTGAGTACCGTTACAAAGAAAAGCATTGGGAACAACTGTTGTCAGCATCACCTGATGCAAAGCAGGGCTTACCCTCTTTCAGTTGCATTACAGTGGTACCTCGGGTTAAGTACTTAATTCGTTCCGGAGGTCCGTTCTTAACCTGAAACTGAAGCACACTTTAGCTAATGGGGGCTCCCACTGCCGCCGCGCCGCCGGAGCACAATTTCTGTCCTCATCCTGAAGCAAAGTTCTTAACCTGAAGCACTATTTCTGGGTTAGCGGAGTCTGTAACCTGAAGCATATGTAACCTGAGGTACCACTGTACTCCTTCCCCCACCTCACAGGTAGGGCGTGGTCCCCCCCCCTTATGTGTTTCACGGCAAAACAAATATCCAACCGGTTATGTTTTTCCAATTGTCCTGTTAAGCTGCACCTGTTGAATTTTTTTCTTTTTTGCCAGTCAGCAGAGGAGATCTAAAGGGGGAAAAAGAAGGCAACTTTGGAAGTTACGCACAACTCGCAGAATTCTTTGTATGTTTATGCAGAAGTCAGTCCCAGTGTGATCTTACTGCTTTGGAAAGTGTGCATGGGGTTGCACACTTGGGTTGCAAGCCTATTATGTGCATTTATTATTATTATTATTATTATTATTATTATTATTATTATTCATAATTATTATTATTCATAATAGTAATAATTTCATTTCTATACTGCTTTATATTTTAAAGAAATAATCTCAAAGTGGTTTACAACACATTAAACCAGAATAACCAGAATAAAACAAATTCAAGCTTCAAGGAAAATATTTCAGATCCTTCTCTAAGTGACATTTTGCTTTTCTCACATTTATTTACCTACTTAATTTATATAGCTGCCCATAGCAGAAGTGCTCTAAGAGGTCAGTGTGGTGTAGTGGTTAGAGTGCCGGACTAGGACCTGGGAGTTCAGGGTTCAAATCCCCAAATGAGCATGTTGTTGCATAGGATCAGACAACTCAAGTCTGAGGAGAAACACTGAGTACTCAGCTAGTCACTGTAAGCTCAAGCGTTTAACAACAGCTTGATGAGTATATGCTAGCTTACAGTGTTTTATATTTTTGCACTGTGAAGGGCTTCCACCTAATGCTCTCTGTCAGATAGCCAGTGGGGTGGCCCCCCATACATTGCTGGACTCCAGCTACCATCATTGCCAGCCAGCTTAGCTAATGGTCAGGAATTATGGGGGTTGTAGGCCAAAAAAATGATGCAGAGAGTGCCACATTGGCTATCTCTGATTTGTGTCCCGGGTAATCCTGTGGTTCTTCAGATGTTGGTGGACTACAACTCCCATCAGCCCCACTCAGCACAGCCCGTGGTCAAGGATGGTAGGAATCATAGACCAGCACATCTGAAAAGTCACAGGTTCTTCCCCCTTGCTGTTGGAGATGGGAATATACTGGGCTTGTATTTTCACCTTGTTATTTGGCAACCCTAGAGTACAGTCCAGACACATTCCCATTTGCAATGACATGCCATAGCTTTATTGGGACTCAAGTATGTCTGGAATCCTCACTGTCTGGTTTGGAACGTTCAGGAAAACAAGGGGAGGCTGGTTGAGAGAACGGTAGTCTTCACTTGCTTAGAAGCCCACCCTTATTTGCTCGTACTAGGACTGGAATTCAAAACCTCAGGATTGTGTGACTCTGCACTACCCCCACTTAAGCCCTGCACTTTCCCCAAATCTGGCTGTAGATCCTAACCCTGCTTGATCTGTAAGTAAGCCCCATTGAATTTAGTGGACTTCTGAGCACTCACGGTTATGATGTTCCCATAGTTTCAATTACCCCATCTCGTTTTGCTTGGCTTGAAACTTAAGATTTGGCTTTAGATTACATATGTTTGCTAAACCAGCTAGTGGGACATGGATGTGTTTAATGAAATGGAAGGGCAGCCTGATGCCACCTTTGATTGCAAATGGCTGTCTGCTGCATCCAGGTTTCTAATGTGCTAGTTCAGCAAAGATTGCCAGTGTTGAAGCAATGATTCTTCAACATCAACTTTGTTGGGCAGGTCATGTTGTTTAGATGCCTGATTATTATCTTCCAAAGGTGCTCTCAAGGCAAATCTTTAAAAATGTAGTATAAATACCGACAACTGGGAAACATTGGCCTGCAAGCGCTCCAATCGGAGAATAGCCTCTACCAAAAGGTGTTGTGGACTTTGAAGAAGCACAAACTCAGGACGAAAAGGAGAAATGAGCTAAGAGGAAGGCACATTTGGCAAACCCTCACCATGATCAACTCCTGCCTGGAAACCTATGTCACCACTGTGGAAGGATGTACGGATCCAGAATTGGCCTCCACAGTCACTTATGGACTCACTGTTAAGACCATATTCATGGAAGACAATCTTACTCGGCTAAGAGTGATCGCCAAAGAAGAAGAAGACGCAGCAGCTTGCAACTCACAAGCCATGTGAGGTCCAGAGCCCCAGCTTGACTGGCCAAATAGCAATTGAGGAAAACAATACACACAGATTGTTGCCTTTACTATACGTGCACAGTGGTGGTGCTCTGTGCTTTTTTCCTTCCTTGCTTATCTTTAGCCAGCAGTACTTAAAAGCACATTAGTCACAGAACTGGATTACTGCTAACATTATATGTAATTCAAAAGCTAGAGCAGCGAAAGCTTTTCCTTAGCATCATTTAATCTTCACTTCCTGCTGCTGTTGATTCCCCCACGCAATACTTTACAGCTAAGAGCTATATCCTTTGAACGAAAATATCTTCATTCAGATTAGTCTGTTCTTTCTCCACAAGCTTTATATTGCCTGCTTGCGTGAGCATGTCTGTAGTATACTTAAAATGAAATTATTCTTTTTTAAAAAAAATGCCTAAACCAATAACTGATGGAATAGTTCGGTACACTTACATTTGTCTCCAGAAGATTACCAAGAACAGTCCTCAGCCTGTGTAGCACAGTAATTATAACCAATGTGTCACATTTATTTTCCTAAAGAAATTAACAACTTCGTATTCCATAGCTTATTTTGTATCTGAACAGGCTAGCAAGATCCACCTGTGGCTGACTTGTTATGTACTGAAGTTCTCACGCTGGGCCAGCAGGGGGATACTATAGATAGTTTTCACTCAGGTCCACATATGCAAATAAGGGATTGAAAGTGACGTTCAGTGATTGGATAGTTACAGAAAATGGTTACTGTTGCGTTCTAGTGGAGCACTATATAAGCAGGCTGGCTGAACCCTTCAGTTCAGTTCTGTTCTGGCCTGTGAATAAAAAAGAGCTGTTTGAAGAATCGCTGTGTCATCTGATATGTTCACCCACAACTTAACATGACTCTTGGTTTGTTGGTTGTTTGGATGGTTTGTTTGGGGGTTATTGTTTTGTATTTTAAGGGGTCAGGGACTGCTAATCCATAACAAGGAAATAAAAAACCTTCCCCAGTTTAACAGAAAAGGGAAACCCAAAGGCTGAACTGTTTTCCTTATGAGGGAGAGTTGGAAGCCCCGTTTTTTGTAGTTTAGGAAAAAGATGACTAAGAGGAGACATGCAAAAATTCACAATAGTGGTGGGGGACCCTGTGACCCATCAGCTCTAGCTAGCGTAGCCCAAGCGCCATGGGGGGGGGGGGGAAGAGTTGTTGCCTGACATAATAAATTGATATTGAAATGAATTGATGGGTTTTTGGACATACAGTGAAAAATGCAAAATTATCAAACAAATAACAGCTTGAACTTAAATTATGATACCACAGAAGCATATTGGAAAACCAGTCAAGGAAGCGCACTGTGTAGGAAACAGGCAATACAGGTTCGTTCTGTTATTTATTTGATGGTTTTGTATTTTGTCAGAAAACCTATCAATTAATTTCAACTACAGTCTTGAGCTCATGGTCCTTGTTACTGGTTATGCTTTACCCACTGGGGTGCAGAGGTGCGAATTCAACCGCAGATTAACAAAAACTGACTCTATAAATGCGCCTAAGGGTGCAGTTCTGTGCCTGTCTACCTGGGAGTAAACCCCATTCAGTGGGACTCATTTCTGAGAAGTCACATATAGGATTGCTCTTTAAACTATTTTGGGGGTTGGGAGAAGAACCAAAAGGTACTTAGAAGAACGTTCTGAATAATTTTGTTTGATGCTTCTTGGCACCTGTTCACTGAACAGAAATAGTAAGTAGTGTTGTTATCAAAGGTGATTAGGTTCAAAGACCTATCAGCACAATTGATTTCCTCCGGACTATAAGATGAAATCAGAAATAAAATCCTGAACATTCTCTATATTGCTACCTATGTGTTGCATGGAAAGGAGAGGCAGGATCAAGATTTGGAGATATGCTTCAAGGTCCAGACTATGGGAAGTCCCGAAAAATTTATGATAATAATTTGGTCCTTTTTATTTTAGTTTTTTTATTTTAATTGGATTATGAGTTGATATGTTAACTGGATGTTTTTTATTGGAAAATTAATAAAAACGATTTAACATAGAAAATCTCTACATTTTTAAATAAGTCAGCCTTGAGTGCCATCTGCAGGTCGCTAAGTATTTTGTGTTGTAGTCTCTGCATTCAGTAGCAACATCACTGAATTCTGTGTGATTACCTTAAGTGGTTTTAGGATTGTGAACAAAGTGTTATTTATTCTGTATTCAATTAGTCAGGAAGAAAACATCACCATTACGTATCCTCCAAAGTGTGTTGTTCTTTTTCTTCACAGAGTCTCGCCAAGCCTTCGAGTCCAATAGAAAACTGTTTTCAGGGTTTTCTGAGATCCTGGCTGGCAGAAAGGGATTAAGCCATTATAAGAGGCACAGAGCTTCAGTCACGGGTTCAACCGCTGTCATATCCCTTACAAGGACCCCAGGTAATAGGGCTTATCAGGGCTGCGAAAGGCATTTCCCCCAAGATTGGAGAGCTACCGTTAGTCAGGTAGGCAGTACTTGGCTTCCCAGGCCAATGATGTGATCAACACGGGTGCAACTGGAAAGTGGTTTGCACCCCACAGCAAAGTGATAAAGAGAAGGCAGAGCCAGTTGATGCTGGAAAAATTTATTTCAATGCTGGTTTCCAGGATTTCCAACACATTGCAAATGTAGATGCTTGAATTGAATGATTCACTCTCGTACTATTAACTCTTTTGACAAGTATGGTCCGTCGCATGCTGAATTCTATCAGCTGTAGTGTACATGACCAGCTGTAAATGTGTGCTTTTAAAAAGCATTTTAAATAAGGGACAATTTGTTCCCACAAAAGGGCTTCAGCAACAGGAAGCCAGTGGCAGTTCTTTCCAAGTGGGTCCAATCAGTTTAGTCAGCTGGGACTGGGAGGACGTAAAGCCTCTGCCGAACGATCCCTTAGGACTCTCTATTTTCCTCTGCTTTCCAGTAGTTTCCTAGGCAATAATTTGTGTAGTTTACCAGCAATTAGATACTTGGGGAGGGGGGAATCCCAGGCTTCTTTTTCATGTGTGTGAACAGAAGTGGATGAATGAGAATGGAATTCAAAACCCACAGTTGGGCGTTACCTTCATTGAGACCAACCAAAATGCCGTAACATAGCGGCAAGCTTTCAAGTTCTCCTGAACTCTTCATCTGTCAAGACGTTACACAAAGTGCAGGACAGGGATGAGGAGAAATAAAAAAGTACAAGAAGTTAAGTTGGGTTTTATAGCTATAAGGCCAGCTTTTAGATTCATTTTCAAGATGGTGTATTATTCCCCCACCCACTTCATAGACCAACACAGCTTCCTTTAAGTTGCTTAGGGCAGAGTTCTTACGCTCCTTAATTTGACATTATCGATTCCAGGATCTTCACTTTCTGTCCTTATCTGGACAACAGGTCAGTTTCTTCTGCCATTGCACATCAGGCCTTCAGCTCAGTCTTAAACACACACTTCCAGCACTGGACACAACAGGGACTATCCTAGTCTTTGATTGGGTATGGCCATCCACAGACCTGTCCTGAAACTTTTTCTCAGTGAGAGGGATTGCCTTTGTACACTCAAAGCACCCCCTGTTTGGCACCACCAGATCTTTGCTATGTAATGTTCTGGACCACTTTGCTTAAGAAAGATGGTGAACTGGTGATAGTTCATAAAGGAGCTATAACTATAGGGTAAAGAGAAGTTGTAGTCAATAGGTGCTGAAGGCTGCAGATACGTAGAAGCAATCCATGCAGTCTTCATTTGAGAGAAACTCACCCTTCATTGTACAACCAATCTTCCATGACTCTTATTTCCCAGTCAGTCTCCCATCCAGGCATTGGGCTGATCTGCTTACCTTCAGCAAAGCGGTGGCCTCATGGACCTTTAAATAATGTCCTAGGACTCTAGATCAGGGTCCTCTCCAAATGATGTTTGACTCCAGCTCCCATTATTCTTGCTGCCTGGGGCTGATGGGATTTGCGGTCCAACAAACATCAGGAAAGGACAGCTTTGGTTCTCCTTGCTCTGAAGATCTTGTACAAAATCGTTGCAAATTGCTTTGTTAACAATCTGCTCAGAAGCTGCCAGCCAGCCTTCTGGCCAGCACTGTCTGCTAGGAGGTCATGACTGCTTTCTGTTCCCCACAACAACTTAGGCAGAATGCAAGGTCAAATTTGGAACAAACTGTAACCTTGAATGAAATCATTTCTCACTTGCATAGCTGTTAAATTGCATGTCCTTTCACAGGTCACTATATCACTGTGAAAGTTGTTTTGGTTCTCTTTGATGCAATGAATATAATATAATGATGGCAACTGCCTGTGGGCAGATAATGTAGACGGCTCTTAGTTTTTCGTAGAGCAAATATAAGCTGCCAAAAAATGACAGATTTGGTAAAGATAGACCTCTTGGTTCTCTCACATAACTCAGCACAGATTAAGCTTTTGGAATGTGATTCAGCTCCATAAACTTCTTAAAACGTTGAAACTAAAAATATTAAATGTGGTCCGTATGTTCTCAGGTGTCCACTTTGAAATCACTAAATGCCTTATTTGGATAGAATTTCAACTAGCCTTTGGAAACATGGCATATATATAGAGAGAGAAAGCATGTTATTGTTTTTGGTTGTAGGTGGTTGTAGTTAGAGCAGTAGTTCCTCTTTTAAAAGAGGGGAGTAGAATTCTTTTTTCTGATTCTAGGAAGCCTGGAGTTCCTGTCCAAGTTTATTTTTTCTTCTGCCATAGTTGAGGAAGTAATCCATTTTTACTAGTGTTTTGCCGAGATCTGTGTTCATTCTGCTGCCAATAACATGTCCGCTGGTGTTGGGAATTTTGTCTGAGAAAACTGACATGTATTCAGGAAGCTGCTCAGGTTCTTTTAGCCTGCCCTGGGTAAAAGAAACGTCAAGTTATGTGAGCTTGCCTCAAACAAACAGAAAATGCTTCTGTAAATACTGCATTTACTTCCTTTATTTCCAAGTATTCACAGACCGGTTTTCAACATATGAACTAAAATTGGATAACTGTTAACGTGGCGTCTATATCCTGCAGTACTGCAGTTCCCAGAAGTCTCTGTAAGGCAGGGGTGGGCAACTGGATTCAGCTAGTGGTCCAGATCTAGAATTCTCTTCCTTCTGCCCCCACCATCCTGCAGGCCACATGAACAGATGTGAGTGGGGCCCCTCACCTGCCAGTCACCTGGTGTCACCATGCTGAAAAGGAGAGAATTGGTAGCACCCTCTTAAGTGTGACCACAATTCTCCCTTTGCAGTCATATCTGTTTTGTGCTTGGAAGAAGGGTGGAGAAATCTCATCAGCCTCATCTCCGAAAGCAGTGAGATTTTGATGTTCTTCTGACAGCAAGGCACCTTGCATAGAATTTGAATAATATTTAAAATGAGTATGAATTAAGAAACCTAGGCAAACAAGAGTAAAACAAACTCTTTTTAAGAGAGAGGAGAATTGCTCAGTGATAGAGACTTGTAGGCAGTTTTTTTTCTGCTGAAGTTAAGTAGGTCTGTCATTTTATAAAGCAGCCTCCTATCTCCCTTGGATGGGAGACTGGGAACTATAAGCTAACAAAACATCTGGGTGATTCCTCCAGCCATGACCCAAGCATGGATAAGGGCAAGAAAATCTCTGAGACCTTGTGCTCAGCATGCAATCCCTGCATGTTTCTGGGGAGGAGGCATTAATACTGCCCTCTGCCAGCACTTAGGCAGAGCATCTCCCAAGCTTAACATGAGAACATAGCACTCCCCAACCTTTTGTGGGAAATAGCAAAGGTTTGCCTGGCTACCAAAAACTTCCAAAGTTTGTGGACCCCTGCTAGGGTCCATTGTTGGGTGTGGGTGTGGGTGTGGGTGTGGGTGTGGGTGGCGGGGGGAGAAGACAGAAACGAACAAGCATAATTAAGGCAAGAATACCTTAATTATACCACTCTGAAGTTCCTCATCCCTTTTGTAACAGGGGTGTTCGCCTTTGACTTACCAATGGATCGTAGTCCTTTAAGAAACTCCAGTTCCGGTACCTTTGGAATAATAAAGAGAGGGTGCTTTAGTTTTGTTAGCCAAGCATAGCAATGCCAGATGTTCCGAAATTAAAGATGGCATTAAAAGGACTAGAATAAAGATATAGTTATAGGGCTGGCTCCAACCAATGGCTTCTTCTTTTTTTAACATATTTTTTAGTAAAGATTTCTTTGTTTACAAAAGTATGTGCAACGTCTCTTTTTCCAAGTTACATTTTCTACAGATCAGTTTCATTTGTTGAGACATTAGTGTTACATTAGGAAGAAAAGGGGGGAAGAGGTAGAGGGGGGGCATGGTGAGTGAGGGTGGGGTCCGGTGGCGATGTTTCTATTCTACTTAATGTCTGTGTGGGGTTTTGTGTCAGCGTCGCTTTTGCAGGTTCTCTTTGCTATTCGCTAGTGTTCCTTTGGTGGCGAGAGAGGTTGGGGTTGGCCTAGGGTGTGGTTGTTTGTTTGTGATTGGCTGTGGTGAACTTTGTTTTCATGTGTGAGTGGGGTGGGTGGGTGTTTTTGAATCAGGTTAGCCATATTGATTCATGTGCTGTCTTCATTCTTGTTGTTGTCTTGTTGGGCTGTGTATGTGATAAAGGGGAGCCATACCGGGGTGAAGGCGTCTTCTTCCATTTGTCCCCATGTCAGTTTCAGCTTATAGGTTAGTTTTTTCTAATAAGGCTGTTTCCCATACTATTTGGTACCATTGGTCCATGCTTCCTCCTGACAGGTCTCTCCAGTGTCTGGCTATGATGTTTCTGGCTGCTGAGAGGAGGCCAACCAATGGCTTCTTTAATTGAAAACTGCTCAACTCAGCCCCCATGTGTTCTAAACCTGCACACATCTAGGGTGGGCAGATGCAAAAGAGGACAGAACTCCTGCTGCTTTAATGGTTGCGTAGAAGATGGAATTTCAGCAGGTCTCATGCAAGCTGCACCTGCTGGAATTCCCTCTTCTACACATATATTAAAGGTGCAGGATCCTTGCCATCTTTTGCACCTGCTCACCTTAACTCTATGATAGGCGCGGTTAGAAGGCATGCGTATGTGATATGCTTTTTTTTTTTACTACTACCCCAAGGTCTGCTAACCAGAACCAGGTGCAAAATGGTGGTTCGTGGGGCAGAGCTGGTTGCCTGTTGCACCTCATGGACCATACGTGGAATGACCTGCTATACAAGTACACATTTACATCTGACTGATGCAAATCGGGTAGCCAATTTGTTTGTGGGGGCAGCCCTTTTGTTGCTGCTGCACTTGGTTTAAAAAAAAAAAGCAAGGAGGTCACAAATGCTTGATGAGCTACGTACTTCAAAACCATCCATCCATCTCCTAATGGATCCCAATCTTCTTTCCACCCTCTCCTGCCTTAGAATACACCCAATGTCCTTCTTCATATTGCAGGAGCATGTGTGCAATTGTGGTCACACTGTCTTTCAGGGATAAACCTTTCAATTAGAGCAGAGTTTGAAGAGGGGTGGGTGGGAAAACCACTGGCCCAGATGCCTATGTTCTATTAAACTATTATCATGCTATTATTACTGATGCTGTTACTGCATTTATTTTTTTAAAGGCAGCACAGGATTGGTGTAATGCTTGAGTGGCTGGAGCAATCGGTAGCCCCAGTTCTTAAAAGCCTACAAAACAAGAAAGTTTCTTTTTCCCCAGAGAGCTTTCATTTGCCATGAAATGGAATAAGTATTGAATTTACCATTGCGTGAGAAGCCCTAGAATCCTGCTGGCCCTGGTGCACACATACCGTTGGAAAAAAGAAGCTCCTTGCCTCATCTACCAGAGTGCTCACAATATAAATGAAAGGGCCTTTCCTTGCTGCATTTCCCCCAAAGACGAAAATATTCTTCACATGAGGCAAAGTGCATGCAACCATTCGGCCCCTATCTTTGCTTTTTTTTCTTTCTTACAGAGATACATTGCAAAGATGTTTTGTGCAAAGCAACAGGCCTAAGAAACAAGACAATAGGCAAATGCAACTAGACAGAGATTATAACAGTGGCACCCACAATGAGTAATATAAAAGGTAAGGTAAAGGGACCCCGACCATTAGGTCTAGTCGTGGACGACTCTGGGGTTGCGGCGCTCATCTTGCTTTATTAGCCGAGGGAGCCGGCGTACAGCTTCCGGGTCATGTGGCCAGCATGACTAGGCTGCTTCTGGCGAACCAGAGCAGCGCACGGAAACGCCGTTTACCTTCCCGCCGGAGTGGTACCTATTTATCTACTTGCACTTTGACATGCTTTCGAACTGCTAGGTTGGCAGTAGGGAGCTCACCCCGTCACGGGGATTCGAACTGCCTACCTTCTGATCGGCAAGTCCTAGGCTTTGTGGTTTAACCCACAGCGCCACCCACGTCCCAATGAGTAATATAGGACAGTCCAGGTGGGCAGTGGGAGGCTGTGGCAAAACAGCTGCGCCACCACTACATCTGCAGACACGCTGGCCAGCAGACAGGCTGGACTGGGCAAAGAGGTACCTCTGCCCAATCCAAACCCCCCCCTGGCCTGGCGCAAAGGGGGGCTGGACTGCAGCCTCATGACCCATCCGCACTTCTGCCTGTCCTGTGCCTAGAAAGCATGAGTCCTAGACATTTCCCAATTATCCCATGCTTTCTGAGTGTGTTTTTCCTTGTCCCTACTACTTTCCCTTGGGGAAAACCCACTGTTTACCGCTGAATCAGAACAAACATTAATCTGCAGAAAAACCAATTGATGTTTTGTTCTGATTGAGTGGCAAATGGTGCGTTTTCCCCAGGGGAAAGCCGTGGGATGAGCCGAAGCCTGGACGAACTCCCCATCTGTCGTGGCAGTCCAGGATGCCCACCCGTGGTCAAACATGAGTTGGGAGTACAGTTCTGTCAGGGGAAGAATTATATTGGGTTACTCACCAATATTTCGTTGCTCTTCTTTCGGCCTCCACAAACTCTCTCCAGACTGTGTCCTGCCGGACCTGGTCTGCTTTCAGGGCTTCTTGCTCCTCTCCACCACGGCTTTTGCTTGATTGTTTCACCGAGCTCTGTGTGGTAGCCAGTAGAGTCCTTGCAGATTGGCTGCTGCTGAGCGAAGGAGACGAGGATGAGGCTAAATTCACATCTGCAGGGCTGGTAGCCGGTGACCGGAAGCCTGCCGATGTTGTCCTCCTGAGTCCATTTGCTCTGCTCCCCATCCTATATGAGCTTTTCTCTGCCAAGCAACACTGGGTCACCAGCCCCCAAGAAGCTTGGGCAAGTGCTAGCAAGTCCCTAAACATTCGCAGTTTTCCTTAGCCAGCATTTTCCCTTAGGCATTTGATTAGGTAAGCGAAACAAATCGAAACCTTGGTGTCCAGCACGCAGCATGTCTGAAGAGGTTCTGCAGGTTTCCTGTTTGGGTTTGTGCACACTTACTGGATGGCCTAACAGTGTTGTGTTGCGAAGCTGAAACTGTGCACTGCATGGAGGCAAGATTCCATACGATAATATTTTTCTAAGCTAAAGATGCTGCTATTGGAAGCTCTGAGTTATCAGCTGTCCGTAGCAAGCTTTTGTTCCTGGAACTCAAGCCACACTGATGTGCCCTTTCTAACGCCCTCATTGCTTCAGGAATCCCCAGAATGCCCACTGATTGTGTAAGGAGAGCCTGTTGTTGTAGCTTAGTACTACGGTAGCTTTTGTTCTGGTGGTGCAGCTGAAACCAAACACCCCAAGAGCCTTGGGTTTCCCCAGTGTGTTTACTGTCTCCATTGGAAACCAGACTGGCTTTGTCATGAATATTCACCACAGACAAAAGGGCATGTACCTTTTGTCTGCTAGAGGGCTTGGCTAGACATTTGTGGGTTAGGAATTTCCCTTTTAGCTGTAGTGGTATTCAATCCTCTGCTTCTGTTATCTGTTTGTTTTGCAAAGGTATGTATTTTAAGACCTGGCTGGAAACAAAAATATCAGTCCTGGGGTCACACATGTGCACAAACTATCTTCTGCTTTGGGCAGGTGAGATTTGTATAGTTGCTGCTTTTTGGACAAGGTGATGAGCAACTGCTAAATGCTTTGTCTAAAACAAGGATGGGGAACTTGTGACCCTGCAGGTGTGTTGGACTCCCAACTTCCCATTACCCCTGAACATTGGCCTTCCTGACTGGAGCAGTTAGGAACTGGAGACCAATGACATCTGGGTCACAGGTTCCCCACCTCTAGTATAAAAGATGTACTAGGTAGAAAGATCAAACTAAGAAACGAAACATAGCAAATCCCCCTTGCCTTTGATGCTTCCCTCTCTCTTCTCTTGGAGGCAAAAAGCAAAGCTAATGCAGAGCAAAGGTGTTTACTTTTTGACCAAGATCAGATCTTCTTGAACAAGAGTGAGTTTTACTTGTGTTTGTGCTCTTCTTAGGGAGTCCTGCACATTCCTAACCTTGCCATCATTTTGGTGTCTGCCAAAGTTATTCCCGCCCCCCCGCCCCGCAGGGACATTTGGACAGCAATATGATATTGTGCTGCAAAGTCTATTTTTTTAATAATGCTTACACAGGTTTTTATTGTGTGTTTTACTTTGGGTGTAATTTGCTGTGGGAGATTTTTAGTGGGAAGCAATGTATAAATTGAATAAACCCAACGTAAACCTCCAGCCCATTTTTATTGGCCCAGCTCCTATGCACAGCAGTTAAGCAGGTCAGAGCTTTCCCATCACTGCCTTCATGCCAGGAGATGTTTCACCTGCCCAGATTTCTGCATGGTCAGATGGTGCTGAAGGCATAGGGACAATGCATCTGAAAATATGGCTCCCCCAACACTTCTACAGGGGTGTACCTAGGGATTAGCTAGGTTGACCCCCACCAAGGGTGCAGGCCCAGGAGGGGGCACAAAAATGGCGCCTCTCCACTCTGGCTCAGAGTGGCTAGGAGAGCTTGCCCACCCCCCAAGCCACTCCTGTGCTGCTTTGAGCAGCCAACATCTCATTGCCAAGGGTGCAAGGGACCGGATAGGAGCACCAATTCAACTCCTTGCTTCTTTCTGTACGTTGCTTTTAAATCTGAAGTGTCCTTATATGGCTGTTGTTTGAAGCTACCAGGGATTTCATATAAGAAGAAGAAGAAGAAGAGTTTGGATTTGATATCCCGCTTTATCACTACCCGAAGGAGTCTCAAAGCGGCTAATATTCTCATTTCCCTTCCTCCCCCACAACAAACACTCTGTGAGGTGAGTGAGGCTGAGAGACTTCAGAGAAGTGTGACTGGCCCAAGGTCACCCAGCAGCTGCATGTGGAGGAGCAGAGATGCGAACCCGGTTCCCCAGATTACGAGTCTACTGCTCTTAACCACTACACCACACTGGCATGAGTTCTGGTGCAGCAAAGGTGGTTCAGCAAAGGGCTGGTGACGGATGGGTCCTATAGGAAAGAACATCATGGCTTCGATATTTGTTTTCAGTGATTTATGAATGAGTGCTTAAAACCTTTTTGGTTAACCACTAAACGGAACGGAACTAATTTATGAGTGGAAGCATGAATGCACATAGCATGTTGTGTTTACAGTGCACCTCGGTTCCTCAGAAGGTCAGTGAAGACCAATACCAAAAGCAGAATGGAAATTCGCATGGTTTCCTGTTATTTTACTGAGGCAGGAGGGGATGTATCTGACAAAACAAATATAAACCACAAGAGGGTGTTATAGGGCAAAGTATAAAAGGTAAAGGTACCCCTGCCCGTACGGGCCAGTCTTGACAGACTCTAGGGTTGTGTGCTCATCTCACTCTATAGGCCGGGAGCCAGCGCTGTCCGCAGACACTTCCGGGTCACGTGGCCAGCGTGACGAAGCTGCTCCGGCGAACCGGCACCAGAGCAGCACACGGAACGCCGTTTACCTTCCCGCTATAAAGCGGTACCTATTTATCTACTTGCACTTAATTGTGCTTTCGAACTGCGAGGTGGGCAGGAGCTGGGACCGAACGACGGGAGCTCACCCCGCCGCGGGGATTCGAACCGCCGACCATGCGATCGGCAAGTCCTAGGCGCTGAGGTTTTACCCACAGCGCCACCCGCGTCCCTTTAGGGCAAAGTATACAATGGGAAAAAGCTGTCGCCACCACCACACTGATTTGATTTCTCTTTCTTATCCATGGCAAATTGAAACTGAACAAAACATTTGCAAGCATATATAAATCCATTTTTAAAACGAAGCAAAAAAAGAAAAAGCTTTCTTCTCTTCAAAACACAAATTATAAGTCAAACCTGTCTAAATGGGGAAATTATTCTCACACTTTTACTTTGGCAACCAGTCAGCAAAACTTTGCATAACAGAAATTTGTCCTGCCTTCTTTGGGGACTGTTCTTTTTTTTATATATAAGATATTTATTAAAGTTTCAAAGATAAAAAAAGGTTACAATAATAATAATAAGAACAAGGGGAAAAAAGAAAAAAAAGAAAAAGAATCAAAAAAAGAAAAAAGAGAATACAAAATGCAAAAAAGTAAGAACAATTAAAAACAAATCAATCTTTCCATATCTTGTCTTTCATTCACTTGTTTCCCTGACCTCCTCACACCTCCCCTTTTTTGTATTCCAGTTCAATAAGTTAACTTCAGCAAATCCTTTCCCTCTTTGTTTTTATCTTAAATCTTTGTCTTAATATATAATAACTGTATATTCTCATCTGTTAGCAGTCCATTTTTACATACTCCTTATAGCATTGCTACTAAAAACCCCTTAGCTTCATTCCAACATCATTCTAACATTCATTAATTCTTTGGGGACTGTTCTACCAGTTGTTTTACCTGTTCTGTTACTATTAATACAACACTGAGCACTTCCTCTACAGTGGTAGCCTCATTGAATTTGGCAGGAATAGCTCTATAGCAAGTAGTAGCTAACTTGTGGCTCTCCCAAGCCTTGCTGGGCTTCTCTCCCTTCATCCCTGACCTCTTACTAAATCATCTGACGGGAACTGGTGGGAGTTGTGGGATCCGGCAATGTTTGTGGCCTTCATGTGGAAAACACATTTAGTGCAACTCGGAAGACAGCCCTAATATGCCATTCATATCTCCACTTCCAAATAGACCAGGAATATCGGAAGTGAAACCTGCTCACTTAATCCTCTTCGAGAGAAAATTTTGTTAGCTTGCGGTAGCCTGAATCTTCTTCGTGTTGCTGTGCTGTCATAAGTTTTTATTCCAAGCGGATCCATAGGTTAGCCTTACTTGGGGCACTATTCTGCGTGGAAACAGCGAGCTGGAACCTAAAGTGCACATACAGCATGGGACAATGCTGGAGACTCTCCAAACCCCTGCCAGTAGCCACCAGGAATATCCATGTGGGCATGGTTATTCTCCATGAGATGGCAGAAATCCATGCAATAATAAATTCTATGAACTACATTTGAGAAACACCCCCTCAAGAGGTGATGGTTTTGACAGCTTCACTGTGAGAACCATCCACATGTGTTCCAGTTCTTCACCAGAACTGGAAGGTTAACAATAGAAGATCTAGGCTCCATCGTACTTCTTTGAACATCACCTCACAGTGTGTGCGTTTTTTAGCAGCGTCACCAACAACATTACTGCAAAATCCACAGTTCTACATACCTCCTTGGTTGAAACTGACGTTCCAAACCCGTTTTCTTAGAAAAAGGACTTTGAAGAGCCATAGTGAATCACAGAATCGCAGAGTTGGAAAGGACCCTGAGGGTAATCTAGTTCAGCCCCCTGCAATGCAGGCCAAGTTACTTTGCTTGTCTGATTTCAACTTTGTGACTGACAGTATACACATGGACATTGCTAGCGTAAGCCAACTGTCCTGTTGGCAAAGGAGCGCACCATGGCAACTTTGGCTTCAATTTACAGTTCAAATAAATTCCCATTGGCTGAAGAACTTGCAGAAGGTTTGCAAGTGCCTTTTCTGATTGCTTTGGCAACAGATGGGTTGTAATTAGGGCTATGCCTCTTTCTCAACAAGCCGTCTCTCTTTTCACAGCAGAGCTTTGCCATCTGCAGGGCAATATCCTTCAGAGAGAAAAGAAGTTCGCGATTGCGTGTCAAACATTTATTGGTGCTTGTATATTTTCCTTCATAGGGCAGGTAACAACTTGCGTGCTTGTGAATTAAAACTGGAAAAATCTTCATGGAAGGGAGGGTGAGGACCCCACTCTCAGAGCCAAAGCCTTGGTTGTCCTCCCTTCCACACACAGAGGGAGCTGACTGTAACATGGGAATGGGGGAGCCTGTGGTGGCCCTCCAGGTGTACAAAAAACCAAGTAACTGACTCCTCTTCAAAGGCATATCTCTATTTGTTCCTTTATCTGCTGAAGTGCCCTGTCCCTCCAGAAGGGAACTTGTTCTTTGTTGGCATGGGGAACTCTCTTTCCCCTGTGATGCATCGAAACACACTTTGCCTCCAGAAGCTGATCATACATGTTCCTGTTTGCTCTGCATCCATTGGGCTTTCACTTCTGGTTTGGAAAGCGTTGTGTACATGTCTTTAGCCACAAACTGTACCTATCCTGTTGTTTCTGATGGAATGCTGCATGTTGATCTGTTTTACCCACAAATCCCCATTCATAGAATCATAGATCACAGAATCATAGAATTGTAGAATTGGAAGCAGCCCCAAGGGTCCTCAAGTCCAGACCCCCTGCAATGCAGGAATTTCAGCTAAAACATCTCTGACAGATGTCCATCCAATGTCTGCTTAAAAACCTCCCGGGGGAGTCCTTTCCACTGTTGAACAGCTCTTACTGTCAGAAAGTCCCTGCCCCCCCAATGTTTAGATAGAATCTCCTTTCCTGTAACTTGAAGCCGTCTGTTCGAGTCCTACCCTCCAGAGCTGGAAAATCAAGCTTGTTCCCTCTTCCATGTGACATCACATTATATCTCCTCTTTTCCAGCTCCTTCAACCATTCCTCATAAGGCTTGGTTTGATCCAGATCGAGAAAAAGAATAACCCAGCTGCCTTTTAAGCAGGTAATGTGCACACAGCCTATGATTTAGGTCTGCTGTGATGGAAGTGTCACAAGGAAACACACTTTTCTGAGAGTAGGCAGAACAGTGACCTTCGCAGCCTTGGGGAATGAGACAGGGCTATCTATCATAAGGTCTTCCGCTTTGGATCTGATCTGAAATAGCTATTTGGGCTACCACAGAGTGAAAGGAAGCTCTGGCCTGGATTATCTGTCTGGCGGTGATCTCCTGGGTACTATAACTCTCAGTGGGGTGGCACATATCCATTGCCACTACTAAGCTCTTCAAAGGCAGCAAACTAAGCTGCTGGACAGGTGAAATTCTGCTGCTGCTTTGCCAAAAGAAGCTGGCAGCTCAGCTCTTCCTATGAAAGGCCTTCCTCGTAATCTGTAGTGCTCAGGATCCAGCTGCTCACTATTACTGTTGACAGGATAGTTAGGAAATTAGCAGTGTTTCAAGGGGAGGGGAAAAAATGCTGAGCATAATCATAAAAGAGCTTTTTTAAAAAATGTTCCTTTAGAGGGTGAACCTCGCTTCAACAACTATTTGAAAGTTGTTGGTTTTTTTAATCAATCCTTTAAAGTTAATGTAGTTGTCAGTAGAGGGCACCCTAAAGCAATGAAGGTTTGAATCTATGTTCAAATTAAACTCATCGCCTTTACTAAAACACCCCCCCTTTTTTCCTTCTGCACTGTTATGTTTGCCCAGTGAACGAAGAAATATCAACAAGCAATTTTATAATTATTTTTAGCTGTTGGTGTCCTCTGTTTAGCAATATGCACAGGTGCTTTGCATGTACTTCCAAGAGACACATCTATTCCCCAGCCAACCTGAGATCCTCAGATGTCAATGGAGAGGTTCAGTTTTCATCTCAGACTGCTAGACATATGTAACAAAGCATAAGAAGAGTTGGATCGGGGCCTCAGCTCCTCTGCAAAAAAAACTAAAAAAAACTGAACAAACAGGAATTCTTATTCCAAGGATCTTATCATTAGAAACAAGAGAAGCAGTGAGAGGACTCTATAGTTTTTTTTAAGGCAGGAATATCAGTGAATCAGACTAAACAGACATCGCTCATTGTTGACATTGCACTGTGTAAAAAGTGTAGGAAAGAAGCAATATAGAAGGCAAGGTTGTGCAACAACCTCTAGCCAGTCCATTGTTTGGATTGTAAAGGTAAAGGGACCCCTGACCATTAGGTCTAGTTGTGGCCAACTTGGGTTGTGGCGCTCATCTCGCTTTATTGGCCGAGGGAGCCAGCGTACAGCTTCCAGGTCATGTGGCCAGCATGACTAAGCCGCTTCTGGCAAACCAGAGCAGCGCACGGAAACGCTGTTTACCTTCCCACCGGAGCGGTACCTATTTATCTACTTGCACTTTGACGTGCTTTGGAACTGCTAGGTTGGCAGGAGCAGGGACCGAGCAACGGGAGCTCACCCTGTCACGGGGATTCGAACCGCCGACCTTCTGATCGGCAAGTCCTAGGCTCTGTGGTTTAACCCACAGCGCCACCCGTGTCCCTGTTTGGATTGTACCATCTCACTAATCCCCCATCTTTCAGGGGATTGTAATAGCAAACTGGACTGGTTTGGATTTGGGAGTAAAAGCATGGGGGATCACATGTGTCTGTCGTGCATGTCAAATGTGCTATATCAGCTTAAACCAGCTTCTTGGAAGCAGTCTGAGTCTGGACTCTTATGAACTATGGTATGCACCACATAACAGAAGTTACTCCATGGTAGCTTGACTGAAGCTCTCACTGCATGGTGGCGCCTTGCAATGTGTTTTTCATCTAAGTTCAGTAGCTTCTCAAAAGGAGTAAGTGTTCACTTCCCACATCAGTTTGCATCTGTACATCTAATTTTGTACAGACTCTTGTGGAGGAATATTGCACTGTTGCATTAGCTCAAGGATATACATTTTGCACAACAGGACTTCCCCTTCCTCTCCTCTCCCCCTGCATGCCCATGCTCTCCTCAAATCTGCTCCAGAGGGGTAGGGGGTAAACCCAGATCATATTTTGGGGGGGCACAAGGGGGCACACCGGAAGAAGAGAGGGAGGGGAAGTTCTACTGCACACCCAAAAGCTCTTGTGCTAGTAGAAGTATTTCTCTGGACATTGGCCTAAATATTCTAAGACAGGCATTGCTATGTGTATTGTGGGAGGAGGATATTCAAACCAGATGCTTGAAATCAACGGGAGTTTTTGCCCTTGATTTCAGTGTGCTGTCACTTTTATTCATGAAAGGTGGAGAGATGAGTAAGGGGTAAGGTTCTTTGGATTTTTTCTGCTTCTGACAAAAAACTTACTTGTCTCACTATCTGCCATGGGGAAAATTTACATTTATTTATTTTTTGCAGTGTAACAAGCTTTATTAATAGTCTTACAATACATTAAATATATATAGTACATCTCGTAAAGTAAATTGGGATTTCAATCATATACACGCACACTCTCACACACAAAAAATATACCTGTCTTTTCTTACATAGTTAAGCTTCAGCTGTGTTTATGCTACTTTTTATGTGGTTTCTAACAAAGATTATTAACAAACAATATTAACAAAAAATATCATAAAAACTTTGGACTTCCTGTCAATTCCCGTTGTATGCTTTTATTCTAATAGTGAATGTACCTACCATTATTAATCTATTCTTTATATATTCTCGAATACATTCTTACAACAATTTGTACCGTTGATCTTATTTCTCCTATATTTCTTTATCCAAGGTCATTCAAATACTGCCATAGATGAAAAACCATTGGTATATTTTTGTACATATCTCTTGTATTTATCCCATTTTTGTGCAGATTCTTGTCTTGAACTGCCCCTTAGGCTGTTGGTCAGTTGTGCCATTGGCGGAATTTACATAATTAATTACGTCACATTGTGTACATTTCAATGCAGAGCAATGGGGTGAAGGGCATAGAATCATTTACGTATTGTTTGTAGACTGAAAACAACAGCAGCAGCAGCAAATACCGATTGCATTCACTGGATTGAATTCCATTCTGAACATGGGACTTACAAGGAAATATCAACAATTCCTTCTTCTGTTTCCTTCTGATTTCTGTGACATCCCTGTTTCCTGCTGAGTGCTTACCCAGACTAGCCAGTCATGGTTCCCTGGCAAATGTAGCTGTATGATACTCATGCGTCCAAACACCATTTTCACATACATCTTAGGTGTACTCCAGTAGGCCTGTACGCCCTTTAAATTTGTGTTTCCACCACTGACATGGTGGCTGACTGGTAGCTGAATCACTGCCTCTGGCATTCTAGCTGCAGTCTCAGATGTTATCATGACATCTTGCTTGAAGTGACTCATTTTGTCAGGAGTCCTTGAGTTATCCCAGCCTCTGCCCTCTCGGGCAAAGTCGAGGAAGTAAATTACATTTCCCAGCCATATCAATATCAGGTTAAAAGACAGCTAATTATTGATTTCATGCCCCCAACTTGATGGCTCGGGAGTTCAAATGTTTACAAAGCATCTACTCTCACAGCAATTCCATTATGGCATGTAAGTGGTGTGCAATTTATAGCAACTATAAATTAATGAGACGAAGGATCCGGCATACTCACACAAATTAAACAGTCAGTAAGATTGTTCCAGGCATGCTGGCTTGATTAAAATTAACAATCAAATCCGGTTTTCTATATACCAGTTGAGTTGTTCCATCTATTTCTAGGCATTGCCATACAAGGAGAGATGTTTCACATTTCATTTATTTTGTTAATTACATTCCTGTTAGTTACTGAATTGTAGGCAGATTTAATTTCTGGCAAGCGAAAGTTCAGCACAAAAGGAAAAGGGTGGGGTGGGAAAAACCACACAGTTATC